AGCAGAAATTGCAATAAAAATATTTAATATAGAGAAGTTCCTTTTGTGAGTCTTTGAGACCCTATAAAGAACGATGCAAAACAATCTTGAATCAGGTAGAATAATAAGCAGAGATTAATTGGACCTTGAAGTATAGGATGGGGAAACCAACCTATAAACTGTCAGGATCATTTTAGTTAACAGTTAGAGTGATTAGATGTGAAATAGTAGCAGCTGGCAATGAATATATGAAGTGCAAATGGACAGCAGGTGGCAATTCTAGTTTTGTTTCATGAATCTTTGCAGTAATATGTATGTTTGTATAGCTAAGTCAAGGATAAACAAAAACTTCATCGCTCCTGCCAGGGAAGAAAAAAAGATCCTGAAATATTTGCACAAGCAGCTGTGTACTAGGGTTATTTAAGTAGGCAATATACAAATATGAAAACAAGTGAATAAAAATAACATTTTCTGAACTTTAATCAGTAATGATATTGAAGTGGGGTATTGAATTAAACAGTGATTGTATGTATTATAACCAGACTATAAGGATAGATGCTTTCCTCACCTGGTGCTTTGGTATAAAGTTCATTTCCTGATGCCAATGCTCAATCAAATATAGAAAAAAATGGAATCATAAGTATTTTCTCCAAACTCACAGAAGATACCCAAAGGACAATAGACACCTGATGACAAAACTATACAGATCTCTCCATAAAAATCATTAAGCAGAACAGTGGTCTATACTTACTTCATCTTTAGGCCAAGAATAAGAAATAGAACCCTGTATCAAATAAAAAAAACATGATGAAGGTATAGGTGAAAATCAAGTAAGCAAGGCAAAATTATTGGTTCCAGCCACAGAATGTAAGAGGGAATATTACCAAAATTGTCTCCAGTAATTATTTGGTTTTTGAAGCAGCCTTTTAAGGTCTTTTCCAGACTCATTAATGTCTCCACATCTTGAGCTACAGTGCACAAATTACTTCCAGAAAGCTTGGCTGTAGATCCTGATATTGCTACACGATTCAACTCTTTGATCTCAGTATGGAGGTAATGGCTTTCTTTGGAGATTAAAAGGGTATGGAATTGGATCAGGATCAGACACTAGAACTGCGGCTGTCTGTAAACATGCATCTTCTCCAACCTTCAGGCTGGATTTCAGGCAAAAATTGGCTTCACTTTCAGTGTTCTCCATGGCAGCTCACAGCATAAGCCAGGGAATAAAAGAATTACTCCTGAACCTGAATGTTTTGCCCTCACTAGTAATGTAAACAACCTTTCCTATCCATGAAAGTCCAGTGATCAGTCTTCACTGCTAAGAGTTTTATACTGCAGCTGCAATTATTCACAATAATATAGGAAAGCTGCAACAGAACTGAAAGTCTTCTATATTAGCTTCAGCTGCTCAATAGACCAGGAGAAAGTGGAGCAGAGGTAAGATAAGCAAAGTAGGTGTATTATGAAGGAAAAGTAGAAGGAAAATGTACATATTTAAGTTTTCTCATGTGGATTTTTCAACTATCAGGAAATGTAAAGGGAAAACAATTGTTAATTTAGTGTTTATAGCCAAGTATTCAATACTCTTTAATTGTTTATCAGCATGATATTCAACTCTATTTATTATATTACTTATATAGAGATTGTGTTTGTAAATTATTTTCCCATGCAGCTAAAATCTAGTGACTCAGCATATATATGTTAGATCAGTTGTGAGAGTCTTCTTTGACTGACTCCAAAGAGGGAATTTGGAGCCTACAGAAAGCTAGCATATTTTAGTTTATGTTTGTTAAATGTTATACCCTGTATTTGCTCTGGGAAGTCCGGGATGGGTGGGTGGGGGGAGGGGAGTTGGAGGGAGAGGGGGGATGGGTGGAGGAGGGAAGGAGGGGGAGGAGGGAAAAATTGTTGTAATACCTGATAAAACTTTTTAATAAAAAAAAAAATTAACCAGAGGTTCCTGGCAACTCATAAACATGAAAGTGAAGTTTACTATCTGCTTGATAAAGTTGTGCTATTGAGGCAACACATGAATGGAATGATAGGACTGAAGAATGTAACTTATTCATAAGAAAAGACTGTAAAAAATAGGAGTGATGTGTATAAAGAATACATATTGTTTAAAATACAGGAGTTTGAACATGATGAATAGGAATGTAAAGAAGGACAAAAAAGAAACATTTCATTGTGAGGGCATACTATACATCATGCCTAACCGAGACAGAAGATAATGTCTTCCTGGACCAGATTACAGAACTTTCAGGAAGGAAAGATGTACTGTAGACTGGAAGACTTATAAGTACTCAACTGTCTGCTTTAAAACCAACTTGATCAAAACTGCAAGATCCCCAAACATCTCAGTGTTAAATGTTTAATTTTTCAGAAGTTTGAAAGCAGAGAAGGGGATTGGCTCTTTTAGACATCATCCTAGGACAAGAAGCTTGTTGAAGTAGGAAAAATGAAAGCCTTGGGAACAATGACCGTATGATCTTGAGATTCAGAATAATACAGAAAGAGAAATTGAAGCATTGACACATAAGTTGAGTTCAGGACTGACAATTTCAGCAAAGAAGTTGCTAGATGAAATCCCATGGACTGAAACCCAGAGGTCAAAGAGAATGCAGTAAAGCTAAGAACTTCTCAGAAATAATATATTGAAAGAAAAAAATCATATAATTCCCATGAGGAAAAATGAGAAATTTAGAAAATTACTGAGGATGATAAGGAGCTTTCAATTGAGCTATGTTTTAAAAAGGACATGTATAAGAAATGGAATATGCAGAAGAGAAGAATATGCAGAACATTAACAAAAAGTTCTTTTTAAAAAAAAAGAACAGTAGTAAAACAAAGGATGAAAGAACAATGGACATCCTGCTAAAATAAAAACAAATGATATTGGGCAGGTATCAGCCTGATCATAACGGGAACTTAAACTAATTTAAGCAGTTAACAAGGAAGTAGCAATCGGGAAAATAAGAATGGGTTTATTTTTTAAGAAAGTCGATGTTATTTGGATATTAGAAACTAAAAATCCTAATGCTAAAAGCTGTTTAATGTTGCTATGGTCTGCTTCAGAAAGTGGTGGATTTTCCTTTGCTAGTTGTATTTCAGTAGAGGCAGGATTGCCATCTGTCAGGAATCCTCTAATAGTCGAGTCCTGCATTTGGCAAATATTTGGAGTAATTCTAGAAAATTTGTTGCGTTCTATGATTCTACAAGTGTCTGTTTAAATTTCTATTCCATAATATACAGATAGATAGAAGGTATAGTAGAAGCCATCCAAACTGAAAACAAATTCCTAATCATTTGAAAGTACCACAATGTATTTGGAAGGACTAATACTTTTTAAAACTGCTATACTTGGGTGTTAAATTCATACATTTCGTAGGAATTATTTCCACACTGATATGCATGGGATTTGTCTGTAAATGTACTGTATGTACATTTATTTGTTTGTTTTTCTCATGAATGGTTAGATGGTTTGTTTAAAAAAAAAGTATACTCAACAAATAAGTGTGATTATTTATCCCTTTTTAAAATCTATTTATCCTTCCCCAATATCTTCAAAAACGTTACTGGAAAGTTGGAAGAAATCCAATGTAATCCAATCCAATATCTTCTCTTGCATCTGATAATATTCTCTTAGTTTGTAAGGATATTAAAATTTTTAATTCTGATTAATGTGAAAGATACACCTTTAACTCTTTAAAGTAAAATGTTCAATTTAATGTACGTAATGTGTATGTTTGTGTGTCACTGATACTTTACGTGCTTTGTGTTGCATGGTAACAAAAAAACCCAATTCAACTTTAAAAGATACATCATTTCCGAGTTGTTGTTCACTTGTATATATAATTTAACATTACTAAATCCACAATATAATATTCTGAAAAAGGTGGCCTAGTTCCATAGAGGATAATAAATAAGACACTGATATTCAAATACTTACCTTTAATAGTTTATATTTCTTGTGACCTGTTTAATCCTGGCAGCCCTCCGTATTTGTTCAAAAGAAAATAACATATATAAGATGCCACCATCTATAACAAATCTGATCATAAACCTAATTTTGTGTCTGTTGTTAAATTGCCATTCTGTGTGTGACGTTTTGTGTCGTGTTATTTTGGTACTGTGTGTGTGTATGTTCCTAGGGTCTGCCAGGCTTCCCCACAGTTGCCGCCCTTCACAGTAATCAGATCCTCACCGTCAAGGTTTGTGGCCACTACGCATCAGCCAGCCAGTCTTTCCATATCAGCATAAAGATGTCACGGATAATGAATTTGCTTTCAGAAGCTGCTTAGCCCACCTGATCATCCCTTATGATCCCTTATTTCTTCAATGTTGTTGCATTGCAGAGGGATCAGTCAGAGCTGCATTGATAAAACCCAAACTTATATGTAAATAATTTTAATCGTCAAAACAGAAACACTCTACTTATATAGGAACCAAAATGATTTTTAAAAACGTATAAAACCCTACTAATTATATTCACCACCATTTCTTGGTGGTGTTACAGTGACACTTGCATTCTTTAAACATTAATTATCATTTTAGCTACCTGGGGACCAGAAGGCAATTCTTATGCCTCCAGTATTTAAAGGTCCTGTTGCTCCTGGCATCCTATGCTATTTGGAAAGTCTGACTGAGTCTGAACTAGTGCTTTGTCTCTTGGAATCTTTGCTCATGATGTGAAATAAAAACATTCCCTTTTGATCTTCTGGATGCTGAAGAAATATTTTAAAATTGAAGTCCAACTAGGTGTTTTGAGAGCAAGTTTGTGTTACCACTTATCTCATAACAGGACAACACCGTGGAGGCTCTGCCTCTCACCTTGTGCATCTTTGCAATAATTCTAAAACAAAGCATAGATTCTTCCAAAGGCAGAAGCACCAGTTGGAAGTTATATTTGCTATGACAAGTCTAATGTATATCTTTCTATTTCTTCTTTGGTGCCTTCTGATGTCTGTTCTTCAACTCTTTCATCTCTGCACTTCAACCTTTGACCTCCCCTGCCTGATCAGATGGTGTTTCCTAAAATCAATCATGGGTTTCTTTCAGCTGATCAGCAGCTCATTAAACGCCGCCTCATTAAGGTAGTGCTTCATCTCTCTCTGAACTTTTTCCATTCTCTCGCTTGCAGCTGATTGCTGGGTTATAAGTATTGATGAAGCTTTTTTTGGAACTGTATTACTATTAATGAAATGGAGGTTTGGTTTTTTTTAAAAAAAACAACAACAGCAACCAAATAAAACTCATGGGGTTTCACTGTATAGTGCTAATTAATTTTATCAATTGTCTTGTGAGAGTTTTTCATTTTTTATTGGTAATTGAATAAAACAATATTGTTGAAGGAAGAGTAATTGTTAATTTAACAGTTAATTACTCAACATGATGCATTGTGAAGTGGATAGACTTATATACATCAAGTTGTTGTTCTTAATTGTATTTATGAAAAGGCTGCTTAAAAAATATATTAAATAAATATTTAACTGTTTGATTTAAAGCTTGAAAAAAAGATGTTCATATTTCAGCAAAAAGTCATACTATTTCACTAGCCCCTTAGATGTCAATCAGTGCTCACTTGCTGAATCTCATGCACTAATTTTGTAACCTATCATAAAAGCCCCCATCTAATTGCTCAACCTTTAATACAACATCCAAAGAAATGTTTTTCCCCCTGCAGAAATGTATAGTATGTGTCAAATTAGGGAGCAGTAAATCTGAAATAATCTTCTCGTGTATTCTTCAAATGCAGAACTTTCACAAGATCATTCTAGTTTGTGTCATGTACAAATGGAGAATATTTTTTCATGAACATTCTCTGTTGGGTTATTACTTGCATGTTAAAAGGGTGCTTACTTATGGTTTAAGAAGGCATTGCCTTATTATGTGTGTGCATTTTGTCACTTTCTAATCAAGATGACTGATACAGTTTGTAAAATCGCTTCAGAGGCCACAAAGAACAGACAGTCATAATCCAACAGAAATTTTAAAAAGGATAACTGAAGCCATGTTCTTGCCTAAAAAAGAGTAGCCATCAGCATAAAGTGATTATGCATAAAGTGATTAATGCCAATAAATTGTTTAGGAATTGCAGGCCTAAATCCAATTCCTTGTCTTCTCTGAGAAGTAACCAGTTTTTTGCTATTAAAAAAATATGGGAGGAAGGGAGGGAGCTGGAAGAAAGGAAGGGAGGGAGGGAGGGAGAGAGAGAGGGTTCAATGCTCCTTGCCAGCTTCCTACAAGGAAAGTCAATGGAGAAGCCAACAGAAAATCAAAAATCATCCCTACTCCTGCATCGACTGATGATCCCTCTGTTTCTCTGTTTAGGTAAGGTAATATCCTTGAAATGATGACTCAGCATGTCACAGGTTGTCCAGTATGTGATAAATATGAGAAGTTAGTTATGCACATAGACTGACTTGTCAGTCAATTATTGTATTTTGACCTTTTTTTGTATGCATGACTTTTTGAACATTCTTTTTTTTGTTGTTGTTGTTGTTATACTGGATTGTTTGAATATATTAATATTGGTCTTATTGGTGGGTGTTCAGGGTGATCAAGGGCAAGCTGGACCTCCTGGACCCCCTGGGCCCCCAGGACCAAGAGGCCCTCCTGGAGATACTGGCAAAGATGGCCCACGAGGAGTGCCTGGGGTGCCGGTGAGTCAGTCATCATAGATATTACACAGCATATGCATCATACATTAACATCAGAGTTGTAGATAGACAGGGGATTAACTGACTTATTTTATTTCTGAATATCTATCTGAAAAGCAAGTATTGGACTTAGCAGAGATGATGAAGACTTTTTTTTTTACAAACCCCTTTGTGTTAATAACCTTTTGTTGAAAAAGGAAGAAATTGAATTTTGATATTATTTTTTTTTATCCAGCAAAAAATATTATAGCACAGTGATACAATAATAGAAAAATATATTAAATAATGGCAGGTTATTATATTAACATCGTTACTTTTTTTTCCCTATTTTTTTTTATCACAGTTAACGGATTCTTTTGTTAATGAATAAGTTGCTTTATGCATACATGCATAGAAAAATAACTAAAAAAAAAACTATTCTGGTTATATTTTCTACAGATTGTAATAGTTAATTAAAATTGTCAGAACCTTGTATGCCAGAAGCAACCTCATAAATTTATATTATATTGATATAATTTATAATAATTAATTTCCATATTAAATTCATATATTTAAGATATATCTGGAAATGTTTTTTCTGTGAAAAATTACATTGAGAATTTTAATATCTTTTACTAGGTAGCAGTGCAGGAAATTAGTGTTAAAGTAAATATTTATTTATTTATTTATTTATTTATTTATTTATTTATTTATTTATTTGATTTTTATACTGCCCTTCTCCAGCAGGACTCAGGGCGGTGGACAGCCAAAGTAGTAGTAGTAGTAGTAGTAGTAGTAGTAGTAGTAGTAGTAGTAGTAATAATAATAATAATAATAATAATAATAATAATAATAATAATAATAATAATAATAATTTTATTTCTATACCGCCCTTCTCCCGAAGGACTCAGGGCAGTGTACAGCCTATTAAAAACACAAAACAACATCAGTTAAAATAGTTTAAAATTATTAAATAAATTCGGCTGAATTTTAAAACCCCAGAATTTTAAAACCCAATTTAAAATTGTTATGGTGATAGCCCAGCCTGGTGGAACAACAGGGTCTTGTTGTTCAAAAACATATGCTCAAAAACACAGCATACAAAAATTAAAACAGTTTAAAAGATATTAAATAATGTCAGTCCAACAATTTAAAACAACCCAGTTAAAATTAATTTCAAATTAAAACCAAAGGATGGGATCAGGCCAGCCCGGCTAGATGAAATAAGTGAGTTTTAAGGGCTTGATGAAAAGTCCGGAGGTCCGGTATCGTGCGTATCTGTGGGGGTAGGTCGTTCCAGAGGGCAGGTACCACTACAGAGAAGGCTGTCCCCCTGGGGGTCGCCAGCCGACATTGTCTGGCCGACGGCACCCTGAGGAGGCCCTCTCTGTGCAAGCGTACTGGCCGGTGGGAGGCAATTGGTGGCAGCAGGCAGTCTCGTAAATATCCAGGCCCTAAACCATGGAGCGCTTTAAAGGTGGTCATCAACACATTGAAGCGCACCCGGAAGACCACCGGGAGCCAATGCAGCTCGCTCAGGAGAGGTGTCACATGGGAGCGCCATCTCGCTCCCATAATCCCCCGCGTGGCCGCATTCTGGACCAAATATATTATTTCTAGGAAATAGTATTCTGTTCTCCTGTTTTGTAAGAATAATATTCTAAGGGAATACATGAACTTAACTAGAATTATGTTAGGAGAAGGAACTTCTAGGAAACCATTCCTACCATATTTTTATTATAATTTTATAGTATAAGTAATTTTATGATTAGTAGACCATATCAAGAAATAATGGATGTCAACCACAATAAAATAAGATAGAATTTGATAAGACAAAATGAAATAAAATAAGATAAAATAAAATAGAATATGACAAGATAAAATAAAGTAAGATAAAAATAAAGTAAGATGAATTATAGGATGTCTAGTTCTAGAATTTTCCATTTGAATGAAAAATTGGCTATTTAGCAAAACAGAAGCCAGACAATCAGGATGATTTTACTTTATTATTTAACACCTCATTAAAAATGTGGATGCAATTAGAACATAGCAAAATCCAATTAAACAGTATAAAAATTTGATTAAACAATCTCATCTATCAGTACCCTGGAACGGCGCCATTCCAAAGAGCCATAAAGACCTGGTTGTTCTCCCACGCCCAGGACTAGGATAGTTGTGCCCTTTTCAATAAAATCTGCAACATCAAAAATTTGTGTCATTTCTAGGTGCACTTGAATTTCTAGGAAATTCAAGTAAGCTATAATAACTGATGTTCCAAAAGTCATATGAATTATCATTTTTTCCTATATAATGAAGATGAAGTTGATGTTCAGTACATCCTGGATTAGATTATTCATTTACTCCAATGTTCTATAATATCTTTGGGTATATGTTTAGGACATATACAAAGAAGGCATGAGTGCAGTAACCGCCCACTTCTGCCATGTAAGATCCATGAAAGCACCACATGGCCCTCACAGTTAATAGCCATTAATGGACCTATGCTGCGTAACATTTTTGTCTATTTGTCTTCTTTTTAATTGTATATATCATTATTTTGTGTTTAAGGGAGAACCTGGAAAACCAGGTGAACAAGGTTTGTTGGTAAGTATGTTTATATTTTCATTTTTCTGTTTGGCAGAAGTTATATTCTTATTACTATGATCACTGTTCATTAAATATATTTGCTCTCAAATCATGTAGTTTCACAATGGCATACAATAACATGAAATAACATAAATATGGAAAAATCTGTTAATAACAGTAATAATAATAACAAATATCCATCCTCACTAATCTAATGATACAATACAAAAAACATTTATAATCAGGGTCCTCCAGAAATTTTAGAATACAACTCCCAGAATTCATCTGCTGTCTGGAATCCTGGAATTGGAGTTGTTGCCTAGCATGTTGTTAGGCACAAGAACCAGGCATAGGAGTTGAGTACAAAGCACTAAAAGTTTATTACATGCAACTTATATACCAGAATCTGATCTACTAACGATCAAGCCAAATTGGCTCTAAATAAGGGCAATGGAATGCATGGGTGGTGGGTGGGGGGGTGGACTTGGATTTCTTATGGGAATGTAGCTATTCCAAACTGATAACACATTTGATCCCGCCCTTGGGCTCAGCCTACTCATCTCCTACACATATCAAGAGGATGTTAAATTGTGGAAGGCATACAAGAACTGCTTCTGTTTTATTGTTTTTAACCTTTTTCTATGAAAGGGCTATCTCTTCTGCTACTTGATAAAAATGGAGAAAAACTGCTGATTTCCAACATAAAAGCAGAATTTTCAGTCATATGTTTATTAAGGGATGTTTAAATAACAGGCACTTGAAATTTGATAATAAAAGAGTTTTGTTTGATTATCCAACAAGTTTAAGATCTCACTTCTCACAGTGCTGAATCTGATTCCTTCAGGAGACTCAGAGCACTTACTTATAAAACAGAGAACAACTGTCCCTATTCGTGTAACATTGGATACCATTTCTTAACAGCATGTTAAATTGTTAGAACTATTATAAAATACTGCAAGATGTGCAGTATTGCAAGAAATGCAAGAACAAATGATGTAAAATGCTAACATACGTTCTTTTAAAATGTTCCTTCCACAAAAGCTGCAAGACATCCATGCAGCATGCTTGCTAAAACTAGCATTATTCAGCTACCAGTTAAGTCAGTTTGCACATATATTAATAAATTGCATTCCTTTGTTCTCTCTAAGAGTGTATAGAAAAATAGGCAGGAGAGAAAGTTATACATAGACCATAAATAAATAAAATGCAAAGTCTTCATGACTTGAAGTACCAAACCTCTTTTATGGCCATCTAGAGAGCTTCTAGAATATAGCTAGTGTTTGACTCAACCCACTGAGCTTCTAGTTCACAGGGCAAGGAACACATGTCAGTATGAATAAATGGTGAAATGCATTCTGAGGGTGGTTTTAATTACAGTTGGCATATCCAGTCGCAACTGCTGCAGGCAGCCTTTTTGCTGAAGAAAGACTTTTTTTTAGTGTATATGATTCATTTCCCTCTGGGAACAGAAAGAAAGAAAAATATGTCACTATTATGTTATAATATTGTAATAAGAGAAAAGGTTATTTTTGGAAAGCCAACTGTATTCCAAACTCATACATCACAATGATTTATTTATTTATTTATTTATTTATTTATTTATTTATTTAACACATTTTTAATCTGGCTCCTCAGCTTGAAGAGCAATCACAACATCCTGATGTGCAGTTTTTCACAGCTAGAGGATGGAAATAGTTGGTAGCAGTGCTTAACACTGCAAAGTTTCCCTCTATAAGCCTTCAATTCTACATACAATACTAAGGTCAACAGGGTCCTAATTCTGTATTTAATTGACAAAAGTTCCGTTTTCTTCACCTCTATCACCTCCATTATCATTTGATTATCAAGGGGTAAAATTTTCCTCCTCACTTTAACTATTCACTTTAATGGTTGAATCAAGTTTATAAATTGATTTTTGTTTGAACAGTGATTCTCTACACAGTAACACAAAGAATGGGTATAATATAGAAGATAACCAAAGGGGGTAAAAAGTCATAATTAATATTCAGGAAGAGAAAAATACCTATTGTATTTTTACAGAATGTTTTCCCTAATGTACAAAATGTCAATTGATTTTGACTCAAGATAAACAGTTGCACAATCGGGCATGCTTTTAATTAGTTATTTAAACTTAAACTGTCTACATTATTATGTTAATTCCATTGTTCTCCCTTTTAGGGACCTCAGGGGCCTCCAGGACAAAAGGTATAATATACACAGTGATAAGAAAGATATTTTTCTGTCTAGTGCCAAGGTACAATCTACTGGCATGAAGAGCTTTCACTACGGTACCCACATACTATAGCAGCTGTTTAGTCTGTAAGCTCTATTTTCTCAAAATACACCACCTAAAACAGGGGTGTAAAACTCAATTTCATTGAGGGCCGCATCAGGGTTATGTTTGACCTTGGGAGGCTGGGGTGGGCGTGGCCAGTGTGGGCATGGCCAGCTAAATGTCACTCATGTCGTAGGCACCTGTGGTGGCCCGAGCGTGCTGCTGGTGAAAACAGGCTCCCGAGCTCTTTTTTTGCCTGCGATGGCTTCCTGCAACCCTCTGCCAGCGAAAACAGAGCAGCCCTCCCGAGCTCCATTTTTGCTGGCAGACGCACCACAAGCCGGTTCTTCACTCTTTCCAGGCGGCCCCATGGGCCAGCTCTAAGCACTCCAGGGCCAGATCTGGCTCCCAGGCCTTGACCTAAAGGAAGAAGAAAAATCTCAACTCCTCACCAACACAGCTTAGTTATAGAGATGAGGGCAATGTTTTTTTTCAGTCTGTCTGCTAAATTTACCAGTTAAAGAGTTATAATGTTCTGAAGACTGGTAAAATAATGAAACCAAACTCTAAACATAGTGGGAAATGCAGCTTGAATTTCATTTGGCCTTTGAATAGATTGCTGCCATATGATGTAAGAAAAAAAAGATTCTAGGTGTTGTTGAAATATGGATTTTTGATTGCTGGCCAGTATAATTTGATTTCTATCGTAACCAGAGAACTGACTTCCTGTGAATGTTTTCAATATTATTTACATTCATCAGGATTGACAATGAAAGAGTGAATTCACAATTTATGGACTGTAGCATTGCACCAGTACCAAATATGGCAGGAATAAAAAAAAAGCATTTCAAATGAATTTTCTGAGGCAGCTGCCTGACAACTTAACCCCCCCTCTCTCTATCCTCAACTCAAGACAAATTGTTTTGAGCACTGTTTCTTTAAAATAAAATGTTATATTGACATTTCATAAACATTTCATAAAGAAGGAATGAAAGGAAACTAAAATAATTGTTACTTATAAAATGTGCAAAACTTCTGTTTATAACTGGAAAGTGGTATTTTCTTTTTAAAAAGATACAAAATAAAGTCATAAACTACTATCACAATAGCATAATGTAATCAATGAGGTTTGTTTCTTTTTATTCTCTTTTCTTTCTTTAAGTTTAGTTTGTATTAGATTCTATTTATAATAAAATATTGTATAATTTTAATATATTAATTGTAATCATATAAAAATTATAATGAAAATTCTTAATGAAAATTATGCAGTAATGTCCACTTTTGGAGTGCACACTCTATAGCTGTTCAATTGCCATTGTAATTAAGCTAGGAATTATGGTCGTAAGTCATTGTGATTGTAAATTGAGGTAATTTGACCCAAATTTTCAATATGCATTCATAGGTGGGGGTTTTTTTGTTTAAGATTAGTCCTCAAAACCTTTCAATAAGTAGCAGGGAGGGATCAAATAAGCTTGCTTTCATATTATTGTTTAAAATGGGCATATGTGTTTGAGTTCAGTATTTTATTAAAAAAAAGGCAAGGAGTATATTGATAACATGTAGATGATAACTATATTCAAAATTAGGGGCATTTAGGTAATCTTTTAAGAATCAAATATGGAATATATTCTAAAACCTTGAGAAACTTTTAAATATTGAATTCATTTTTAGCACACAAACTTTGCTTCATAATTCTGAAACAGAATACACAACAATAATAAAAAAAGAATAATTCTTTATATTTAATTTGAAGAACAATGCCATTGAAAGCTGAATGTATGAATCAAGTCCCACAATTTACAAAAGATAAATATCTACAGTGAAGAACTGCATGATCTGTTTGATAATTTTGCTAAATTCAGATATATGATTCTATTCAGGGCTCATTTGGTGCACCTGGTATCCCAGGAACAGATGGACAACAGGTAAATTATTATTGTTTTAGATGTAATCCTAATCTATTCAGAAATTACTCTAACTGAATTCAATGGTTCTTACTCCCAGGATAGGATTGCTATTTTAAAATGTTATTTTTTGCAAATCCATGAAATTAAGATATTTTCTCTAACATAAAAGCAAAAAGGAAGGTCAGGTAGTTTGTCTTGGCCAGAAAAGTTTATACAAATTGTAAAAACACTATGGCACGAGAGACAATAAACAATGTACAATTAGAATGACTGCAATCCAACACAATGTTCCATGCAGTGGTGGAATGCTTCACGCTGAAAATGGAGCATTTAGAAGCTCAGCTGCTTACCTTCCAAGTCAGCAACGGTAAGTAGAACAGCAAGAGAGGGGGAAATCAGCTGTGCCGCGCAATTGAGATGAGCTAGAAAGCAGGAAATAAAGGACAGGATAGGATGGGGGTAGGTGGGCTGGGTCAGCTGATCGTCGGAGCTACCGGTTTGCCCGAACCAGTCTGAACCGGCTGATTTCCACCTCTGATTCCATGTGTATAAAATCAAATGAAATTAATTAATTAGAAAACACAGTGTTGTTCTGTGGTTTGAAGGTTTATTGATGACTGTAAGGTTAGAGAGCAAAGTAAGAAAGATGAAGAAAATTAAATCCCTCCTGTGGGGATGGCCATGAGAGGAGAGTAGAAATCAATGCATTTGGCAGAAAGCAAAACTAGAGATCATTTAAAATATAGCTCCATGAGAGGTCCTTGGTGCTTGATAATTCTCCTTTATCAAGAAAATAAGTGATATAGGCTTAGTGCCAATTCTTTAACCTGGCAGTTTACATTAAATGTTGTTGTCTCACAGCTCTTTGACTGGCAACTTGCGTTAAACCTTTAACTAAACCAAGATAAATATTTCAATCCAACACTATAAATGACTAGAAAAAAAATGTCCCTCCAGTATTTCTAGCAATTTTATGTTTTTTTAAATTTCCATAATAAAATTAAGTCATTATAACTTCCACAAGGACAATCTATCCCCAAGAACAATAGTTAAATAAATCCCTTAAAATGTGTATTAGAATTTACAGCAACTGGTGTGACATTCTTGGCTGATCAGGTTGCTATTTTAATAACTTGCATCTTAGATAAAATGATTTTTGAATCATGGGCCTCATAAAACTGTATTATTAAAGATTAATTTAGCATAAAGAAAAACATTTGGCACAGTAGAATTTATATAATAAATGCACAAACTGTTGCCTTCATAGATACTACTTTTCTTTTTTAAAATATTCATCAGTTTACATTAAAATACATAAAGTAGCCTAAATTTTGTTCCTTCTACTTTCTTGCCATGCAAAGACTTTTCACTGATTTAGCCCTATAATAAATCAACTCTGGGTGTTTCTAGAAAGCTGTGTTCTGATGTTGGACATATTGCCTAAGAGGCATGTTTCAGAAATAAGAATTTATTCAACTGTTCTTAACTATGATGAATGATGCCAAAATAATGAAATGCGCATTATGATACCATGATTTAAGTACTATTTTGCATACTTGCTTTGCAATATTGTAACACAATGTCATGATGCATGTCTCCCTTAATGAATACTTGCAGATAAAGAATCTATTATTTTCTTTGCTTATTCTGGGCATAGGCTGCTGGAAGGGATGCATTCTGATCTAGACAGACTCAACCATACTTTCAACTGGCAAACTCCAAACCCAAAAATGCTAGAGAAAAAAACCAATCCAAAAATGCTAGAGAATTTCTGGAATCTTAGTATTCAAACAAATTAACCATCAACAGATACATAGAAATATACCATATTTACAAACCATTCAAAAGAGATAACAAAAGACTAAGGAGGAAACAAAAAGACTATAACACATCCCTCCCAGCAGCCAAAACCCACGTGAAGGGATTAACATTATGCAAACAATCAAACAGAAAATAATACCCCAATCAAGGAACTGCCATGAAGAAAACCACAACCCAATCAACACTGGCAAGACAAGCTACTGTATAGTGTGGGGGAGCCCCACACTCATCAGCACTGATAATGTTATCTAGTTGGGTTATGAAATAGCTGCAAGCAAATATCTAAGCTCGGAGAGCATCAATGATTCAATGATTTTTGGGCATTTTTCAGTGTTAATTCTGCTTTCTGTGACGTATAACTGGATTGCTATAGATAATATGAAACTTTAAGCTTTCTCAATTCAAATCTATTTTCCTTATGAGATTGTGTTTTAATATTAATTAGATGTTCAGAGGCATAGGAAGCATATATTAAAATCCTTTGGGGTTTGTTTTGTTTTGCTTTGGCTTGGGTTTTGTTTTGTTTTGCCAAGTAAGCTATTTCATTGCCACATTAGTTAAACTAAGGGAAAGCTTATACTGATAAACAGAAATAGTAACGCATTCATGCAGGTGCTCTTTTCAAATGTTAGACTTCTGTGTTTCGCAGCAGCTCTGCCTTTCTAAGGACAGTACTTTGCTGTTATTTAATCTTTCAGATAGGAAGGAAAGTTAAAGTTCTGCCAGTTTCATGACATATGTGAGGTTATTATGCAAGATGTAATGCCAGATGAAACTGCAATAAGTTTAGTTCCATTGTGCATTATGGATGCTTCTGCTGTGCTCTCTCACATTAGATCTAAGGCCTTCTGAAGAATCAGTAGTTCTTTCAAAATAAGATTCTGTAAACCAAAACAGAACAAAGCTCAGGAATGCTTGGTTCTGTATTTCTAAACCTCTCCATATATGTTCACCATAGACTAGAATACACAGAAATCGCACTTGGAAGATTAAATTAAAAATCTCAATATTTTTCAAGATTCTAGAGCATTCTTACGAAGTTTAACAAATTGATCTGTAATCAACAGTGGTTACTGAATTTATAACATGATTGAAAAGATGCCTTTATGTCAGTTAACTGAATGTTTCAGAGTATGTAGATTAAAATATTTTAGTACAGAAAAAGATATAGATATGAAAACAAAAATTACATTGTCTAATATAAAAAAATATTTGCATTGTTTTACATTTCATAGATACAGTTAAGTATGATACAACCTTAACTTGTTCTGTGTGTAACATAAATTTTGACTTACTATTAAAATGATGCACATTGGCAAGGCAAATTCTAAAATTGATGCACTTCACAATAAATCATTATGCTGATTAATGTAGCATGCTAGATTAATATGCTTTATTCAAATGAAGTTGGACCAATCGTTTTCTTGATGTCTTGATTATCTCATAAAACTGTTGTGAGAGAAAGATGAGCAGGTGTATCAATTAGTCATAAATAAATTCATGCATATGAAAGATATAGTTGCTACTGGGTTCCATCTATAATCATAGTTATTGTGTTCATATTATGCTCACATCCATTTGACAATTGCCCAGGAAAAGAATTGCTGCAGTCTTGTTTTGCCCTACAGTCATGGAACTAAATTCTATTAAGTTACATTGAAATGAAAGAGAGAAAAAAAGTCACAGCTAGAAAATGTTTAGTCATGTTAGTCATTTAGACATTATAATTAACTAAACCTACCTCCAACATATTGAATAAAAGCTTCCTGTGTGATATTCTTTTATATTAAATTAATAAATGGGATTGGGTCTCACTCCAGTGGAATTGGCCTGCCCCACACATGCCAGCCCAATGTGCATGCTGCGGACTTCATTGGCCAAAGAATTTCAGCTGTTTTGGTCCAGGAGAAGAGCCTTTTTTGCCATGGCTCCTGCCCTTTGGAAACCCCTCCCCCAGGTGAGATTCGCTCCCACCCTCTCCATAAGGCCTTGAAAACAACTACCCTAGGGCCCCAAAGAGGATGTGGTACTTTGGATGTAGCTAATGGAGTAGGTAGCTCCCCACCTCCCATTACACACATCTTGTTCCCTCCTTCCCCATTGTTTTAATTGAAAGTATAATTGTAGTTATATTTATTTTTTTATTGCTTCATTGGCTTTTATTGTTTGTAAGGCACCCAGAGTCACCTTGAGGTGAGATGGGTGGCAAATAAGTCTAATAAATAAAATAAGTAAATAAAAACCATGGCTATTTCCATTCTTTTGACTTAGATTTATAGGATTGTATTTTTTAGATCTGCTAATACTTTTCATTGTTTATTTCTTAATTTTTAGTAAAGAATATGTTTTTTTGTGGTGGGTTTTTTTTTTTTTTTTTGCACTAGACGTGATCTTTTTCTCCTTCCCTAGAAGGAATATTCACTTTTTTTTCCTTTCAAATGAGTATTCACATAAAGCAGGTTCTTCATAAATTTGGTTATTGAACTTCAGATCCAAAGGTAGTAAACATCACTGTTTTTAGTTTGTACAGAAAGTTCCCAGGCAGGTTTTGTGAGCATTCAAAACATTGCTAAAATATGTATTATTTACTTAACCTGGCATGGCAGATGGATAGAAAAGCCGTAGAAAAAATAATTTAAGGTATCAGGGAGGTAATAAGAAAGAGGAAAAGTATATTGAAAAGTTTTCATTCAGCTCTAGCTCAGAATGTTAGGAACATATCTAAAAGAACACTTTTCATTATCCCTGCCTTGGTCACAGAACCTAGGAGATGTCTGATTTCTTTTTTTAAATTGTAATACAATTTACAAATAAATTGGCATAAATTAGTAGAATTCTATAAATTTCCCTTTTTACATCAAGAAAGCCTTCCTAGAAAATTGAACTAAGAAATATCTTCCAACTCTATTTGGAAACATGGTAAAATCCTGTTTTATCAAATGAAGAAGGGAAAATGTGCTTCAAATTGAGTTTGAAAGCTACAGACATATCCCCTGTACTGTATTTGTTATTTATGGCAATAGTACAGAAGTGGGTTGCCAATGCTTTTTTCGTTGATGTTTTCAAGATCTATAGTTTATTTATTTTCTGGGAATGGGATGAGGTGATAGTAGTTCTATCACAAAATTAGTTATTAGGCCCATTCTTGCTTAGCTTCTTTCTCCAAGCATGTTCCATCACATATGCCTATTACACAGTATTTTTCACAAGACTGATAAAAGCATATAAGAAGCTTTGCCTCTTAGCCTTTGGATGATTCTTTTGACTCTGAGCCAATTGATTTTGTAACACAGCAGGATTGTTATCAATTCTGGTAAGAGAAGTATCTTCCACTAAATCATATGGGATAAGTTCTCCTGCTGTTCTTTATGATATTTATAATCAACTTTGAAGTTTTTTTGTGACAAAAGAACTGCCACAAGAATTCACAATGTCTGTTTTACAGAAGTGTAGTTTTCCTGGGGTTTTAAATTTGTCTTGGGCTAAATTGATTTAATTTGATTTTACTTTTGTTCTTAATTTTTGTATTTTACGTGTTTTATTCTGTGCCTGTTCACCGCCCTGAGTCCTTCGGGAGTAGGGCGGTATACAAATTAAATAAAACAAACAAAACAGACAAACAGATATCAGCACCTTCATTCAGGTTTACAGGCTTGAAAAAATCCTGTCCTGCCCAATATGACGGCTTCAAGTTAAAAAAAAGTTTTAAAAAGGTCTATGCTTTGGCAAAATAAAGTATTTTCAGAACCTTGGAAAGCTCCACACAGGAAGCTCAAAACTCAGTTAAATCTGAGATGATGACAGGACTACATTTTCATAGGGGAAATCATATTGAGGGTTTGCTTCAGTCAGGCTAAACTACTTCATCATACTCTGAATCCTTATCCTTTGTGGGAATATGACAAAGTTGAGTTTCAAGTATCTGGAAAATACCCGATTTGGGGAAGGCTGCTTTACTTGGGTATATCAAAAATATCTCAGAAGAGTAAACAATTTACATGCTGTTGTATGGAATTTTAATAATCCTAATAAAGATATTTTCCAGCTGTGGGTTTTGTACTTTAAAATGAGGTATTTCTGAGATATCAGCTCAGATACATTCAAGACTATGACATTTAATAAACCATATTAAAGTAAGCTTTTTTTTTAAAAAAAAAAATCTTGCTTAATGCAATTATTGTCCATGCTTACCTCCACTCTACTCTTAATGTAAAATGATTTGTTGAGATTTGTATATTTAATGCTATTAGAAATACCTTTACCCTCTTTCCACTTAAAAGAGGTAGTTCATGATAGAGATGAAGCAAATATTAATAAAATAATTAATTACAGAACTTTATAAAAAATAGCAATTATCCTACGTACTAGTTTAATTCTTTATATTAATCAACCATTCTCTGAAAATAATAAAAGAGAATTATAAATGAAACATAAATTTTCATTTCTGTTTTTATTGCAACGCTTATAATACTTTAGAACTGATCACTTACGCATGAAATTTGCTGATCCAGTTCAATTCAATTTATTTTTTTATGTCATTATTTCAGGGAGAACCTGGTGTAATGGGAGAAAGAGGAGTCTCTGGGCTTAAGGTTAGTAGATAAAATTCTGGCTAGTTATTTTTCACATTCTATTTTTATACATGATCTTTCATGAACAGACTACAGCCTGGGGGTTAGGGACCCCTGTTCTATGTAGTCACAAGAAGTCCTCTTTGCTTTGTAATTTTTAAAATACTAAGCAAGTTGCACATGAATAAAAATTTCTCTAACCAATTAAAAAGTATATCTTGCATAAAAATATATTACAGTAATGTAGCCCAAATATAAGACACTTATTTCTATTGAATCAACATCAAAATTACTATTTTTATTCTTACATTTACATTTATTAAATAGGTGCAATTGTCATAGATAAAGATCTGATAGATCTCCATGAATGTCCTTTGAGAACAATAAATGCATTATTTCTGTCTTCTCTTTCAATTAGGGTGATCCTGGACAACGGGGAGAAAAGGTAATGTATATACTTATTTATTCATACGAACAAATAATTTCAAAATTGAATTGTGAAGTGTTCAGCAACTGTTTTTACATTTCATTTTATGCAAGAACTTAGAAAATCAGCACCCAGATCAATGTTATGTATTCATAAGGTGCTGTAAAAAACTATAGAAAATCAGATTTTTCATTTTGAAAGGTTGTAGAAGTAGAAGAATTGAAACAAGGCATGCAATTTGGGAAGAAAAGACAACAAAAAAAAGGAGCTTGAACTTTGCACAATTAAGCATTTAATTGTAATGGTCTAGCTGATGCTATTGAGACCTAAAGTTTCCAGCTCAGCTTCTACATTCTTGGGAATTTATGAAATTCTGTAAAGAAAAATAATGTTGAAAAAATTTATCAGATTTTTTTTCTGATAAAAGACTATGTTTTATTATTTGTCAATAGAAAAAAAGATGAGATATGGGATAAAAAGAGTTTTTCTTGGAATATTAGAGAACATTCATTCATTCCTCCTTTCCCTTCCCATTCTTTCCCCTTTTTCACTTTCTATTTTTTTCTTATTTATATTAGTCTTGGTTTGTATTGGTTTTTTATCTTTGTAATTTTAAATTTCAATGAATATTATTGTAAAAAAAATATATTAAGCAACAACCAAGTTTGATATGACAGGAAGACAGGCTATAGCCAAGACAGACTTAGACTGAAATATTGTTTGGTTTTTCTAATATATCATTTCTTTCTTCCATTACTCTCACTCTTTTGGCTCATTTCCTTGGCCTAGTTTTATAGCTTTCTTCAAAACTCTCAATAGAAATAAATTTAGGATGCTTTTAATAGGAAGCAACTGGTAAATGAAAAAAATGTAAAAGAACTTATTCTGATATTTAGGGTGATGCTGGAGAAAGTGGTCCCAAAGGTCACCCTGGAGAAAAGGTACAATTCATACAGGAAGTCACTGAGTACATTTAAATTTAGGTTAAAAACAATACAGATAAATTTTTAATAATTTAATTATAATTTTAATGGTAAAATTTAATAAACTGTAATATATTCAAAATTATAATTTGTAGTTCCAATATATATTCATAAATGTTTATTTTTGTAGTGTTTGTAAGGCGTAGTCAAGAACATTTGTTTCATCAATAGGAATCATTTGGTTTTGTTTTTAGTAACTATAACCTTGGTATCATCATATTGTTTGTGATAACTAATTAGACTGATGTCACCCATATAAATCTGAGTATTCATTATAATATTGCTGAAAAGGGACAATTTATTAGGACTTTTTTCTGAGTGACCTTTATTTTCACTCTTTATTACACAAAGACCGATTCCTATTGTGAGAGGCTTTTATTTTTTTAATATTTCTTCTGCAAAATGTCAGTAATTACCATGACATCTCCTGGCTTGTGGAATCTCCTCCCCAGATTTCTTGGTATTTCTTGTTATTATATTTAAATATTTCTTGTAAAATTAGCTCTGAGCTTCAGGCAACAGTTTCAAACTGAAATGGGACATTATGAGCTCAAAACAGTTTGAACACAAGACGTTTACCACATTTCTTTTTCCTTTCTCCTTCAGTCAACAGTATAAAAAATTGAGGGGGGGAAATCCCTTAAATCATATAGGATGGCTGAAGCCTGTTTTGTGTAACTGCTGAGTCCAGAATTTTCTCCTTTGGCTTTCCTGGTTTTCTTCTTCTGTTTCAGAAGACATATATGTGGACAGACACCACATATTACTCATGAATTCTAGTTGGACTTCATATATCTTTGGCCTGCATTTATAGAGCTTTCCTTCCCACACTTGAAATACTCGGTTTTAACCAAATACACAGGAGATTCAAAGGTGAAACTTAGTAGGAATACATTGCCAATTCTCACATAGGACATATTCCACCATGTGAGCTGGTAAAGCTTTGTAAATGGTAGATGATTCAACAAGTTGTTCTTCCTCAATTAGAAACAGTTAAAGTAAGCATACATTGCTCCTATTCCTCCTTGATTTCATACCCACAAACATTTATAAAATAATAAACTAATTTAAAGTGTTTTCTTGGTGTCTTACAGGCCAAGACTTTTTCAGTTTGTATTTTTATTTGGAAATCCCACAATATTTTAACCTGCTTATTTTTTATTACTGTTTCAACTATATAGTATGTTCCCATCAATTTTTTTTATTATTGGCACATCTTAATTTTTACAGATGTTATTTGGGTGACTGTGTTATGTTGCTGTTCATAATCAGTTTGTGCAATGTTTTTTGCACAAGTTGCGTATATGATCTACTGCTCCTTCTGCTTTGCACAATTTGAACTTTGGATCATTGGATGATTTTTTCAACTCTGGCCTTGATTGCATTAGCTTGCTCTTGAGCAGCCAAAATCAAGCCTTCAGTTTCCAGTGTAAGTCATTGCCAGGTTTTATCTTTATCCATTTTCCCTCAATCTTTTATAGAAATTGACCATGTAATACTTTTCCTTGCCAGCATTCTGTTCTGGTTTTTGTTCCATTAGTTCAATATTCATGCTTTGTTTCTTTCACATCCAGTAAGTTCCAGTTTTTAATATCAATCAGTGATTGTTCTTAGCTGCCCTTTATGTAATTAGCCAATACATGCTTTTCTTCTTCATTAGGTTTTTTTTTTTTTTTTTGGTACTTGAAGTAAACCTCTGCCTCCATTAATTACTATTATTATTATTATCCAGGGTGATCCTGGATCTTCTGCTGCTGGAATTAAGGTAATGTGAATAACAAGAACTTTTTCACATGTACGCCAAAATTAAATTTTCTGTACTTTCTTTCTTATCTTGAAGTTGATGCTTTAATTTTAATTTTCTGCTTTATAATTTGTTTCTTTGTTTTAGGGAGAACCTGGACAATCGGGTAGACCAGGGCAAAAGGTAATGTGTTCAAATAAATAATTTTGGTTCCTATACCCTGTTTCCCCGAAAATAAGACATCTCCTGATAATAAGCCCAATCGGGCTTTTGAGCGCATGTGCTAAAATAAACACCCCCCCGAAAATAAGCCCTCCCCAAAAGTAAACCCTTCCCAAAACTATTTAAACACATGCACAGCTGGTCTCTGCCATTTCCTCTGGTTAGGGTTAGGGAGACAGAGCGGGAAATCAGGTAAGACGGCAAGAATAGCCCAGTCTTTCTCCACATGCCCCAAAATAATAAGACCTTCCCGAAAATAAGGCCAAGCATCAGGGTTCAAAAAAAATATAAGACAGAGTCTTATTTTCAGGGAAACACGATATGTATTTGAACTTGATTTCTCAGAAATGCATTATATGAAAAATGACACTGTCTTTTCCAACTATATTAAATGGAAAGGTGTTTAAGTAGCAAATATAAAATAAGAAGTAACTTCAAAATACTGTATATATAGTTTGATTTGTGCAACATTTTCCTGTTATTAAAATAATGTAATATTCTATTACAATGTGATATAATTGCAGGGTGAACCTGGACTTCCTGGACTTCCTGGGTTACCTGGAATTAAGGTAAATATACATATATTATCTATTCCAGTGCTGGCCAGGAGTTGCAGTCCACCCATCTTAGAAGTTTCTAAGATTGAGAAACATTGAGCCATACAGTTTTATTATAAATATGGGACATGTATAATTAACAGGCAGCTTAGACCACTGTTAACATACCTGAAACTTTTCTTCTGTAAATTAAGATCATCACTTCATATCAACCATAATTGGAGAAGTGAAGGAATAGCTACATTTTTAATTTTGTGCAATCTATAGCCAGTGAGCTACATACAGCTCTCTCCCTTCTCCCCTTTTTTTAATAACCTATAGAGTTCTGCAAGATTGAAGCATTAAAATTTAACAGTACAATTTTATGTTCTTCAGTTGGAAAAAAAATGGGTGAATTATTTTCACCCCTATAAACTTTTTACAAGCACTCTTTTACAAAGGTGAAAAAACAGATAGCATCATAGCAAGTTTCTGAAAGAAAAATTGGTTAATAAAAGCATGGTCTCCAGATGCAAAATGAACTGCCTACTATATACCACAGAAAACTTTGCCAATACTAACAATAACAGACTGTATTGATTGACATTCTTATCTCCCTTGCATCCTGGTATTTGATGACAGAAAATACATCTATTAATTCTACAGGCTAGATAAAGATGCTGAGAAGATCTTTTCTGTATCCTTATTGATTATGCCTCTGCCATTGTTGAGATACAGAGAAATGATCTTCATTCAGAACTGAGCATATAAACAAATTGGCAAGCACTACTGGTTTTGTAGCATTAGTGTATGGTTGGTTGCAAGCAACCTACAAAAATCTTGCTTTTGATTTCTGGACCACCTCCAGTTTCCAACATAGCTGCATCCAGAGAACACTTCATCTTTATTGTGGTGAAACACCAGTACAAAATAAAACCTCGTAGTATGAAACAGGTTAATCTAGCAAAGCCCAGTTTTATTCCAAGCATGCTTGTGCTGTTCATGCTAGGCTCCAGCAAACTTGCTAGACTTTAGACTATTGTCTACATCCCATTAACTTGGAAATACATGCAACATGCTAACACATTAGTCTATATACCCGTGATGGCGAACCTATGGCATGCGTGCCGGATGTGCAGTATCGCCTGTTCCTCTTCTGGGTTTCTGGCATGCATCACATGTGCATGCGATGATCTGGCCTTTGTGCGTGCAGCAGTGCTTGGAAACTGGAAGAGCTGGTTTTCCATTTTCTGGCATGACCATGCACATCGGCCAGATGATCGGCACGTGCGCATGCACGGCAGTAACTGGAAGACTTGCTGGCCGCCCGCATGTACGTCCCGGAAACTGGAATTACCTTATCTGGCCCGTGCGTGCCCCCTGGAAGCCTCTCTTCCTGGTTGCGGTTCCGATGAGGGTGCGCACGCGCTATCACTGCTATATACCATCTATATACTGTTAGTTTCTGTCTTGCTCAACTACTCTTCCTACAAAAAAACACAAGTATGTGCACATAAATATCCACACGCTTTTCCTCTTTTTACTAGAAACAGCAACGAAGAAAGGAGGGAGGACCAAATAGGGCTGACAAAATTAAGAAAAGAGTAAGGAAGAAAGAAACCATGCTTAGACATTATAAAAATGATTACATTTAATTATAAAGCAGTTCCTTCCAAGTAGCTCATTTTCAAGGCATCCTCTTTCACCTAAAAAGTCTACAGTCTTTTCCATTTTGAGGCCATTCCTTCTTCTTTTTTCTATTCTTATCAGCTAATTTGAGATGATCCCCACAATTCATTAAAAATATTTATCCTGGTAAATATGCTGACAATTTACTCTGCACCAATACATATTCTGTCTTGAGTTGTGTAGGTTTGTTTTTGAGATAGGCAGGTATGACACTGGCAAGAACATGGACATGCCCCTGTAGATTTTTAGGCAATATTTTTTAGAAATGATTTGCATTTGCCTTCTTCCTAAGACTAAGAGGAGCAATTGGCACAGTTGACTTCCATGCCTAAAGTAGGACTAGAAATCACGTTTATGTGCTTCTGGTCCAGAATTATTAATCAATAATCAACTATTAATCAATAGACCAAACCAGCTCAGTTGGAAGTATCTATTTCATCATAAAAGTTGAATAAAAATTTCTAATCTGAATAGTGAGAGAATAATTGGTTTCTTTGAGAAGGAAAGCAGAAATAATATTTAATTTGTGAATAATATGAGCTTCATAGATATTCTCTATTAAAAACTGAATCAGTAGGACTTGAAGAATATCTTCACTGTATTTGCCTGAGAAGAGGGTGACTTCTTTGAAAAATTCATACAATTACTCAGTAAAGAAATATAAAAACACACCTGCCTGCATTCTTGGCTTTTGAAGATTAAGGCACCATGGCCTCTGAATCTATAAAAGCACCTATCAAATCAAATTAAATATCTCGTTGTTTTCTCTTCACTGCTGCATTGCAGACGAATGCCTTATTGAAATGGAATTACTTGTTTACTTGCCTTCACACGCCATTAAGAACACTAATCTAGATAGAATCTCATTTACTTTCTGTTTTCTCAGTGAAGTACCTGATGACGGCACACAACTCAAAAAAACAACCATTCTTTTTAAAATATGCTTTTTATGTAGTGCAAAAGAATATAACAAGCTTGTACTGTTCCTTTTCAAAGAACAAAAAAAAAACAACCATCAGACAGTAGACAGAATGGCCAACTCAATGTTACATGTTGAAGTTCTGCAAAATCTTTTGCATAACTGCTTTAGCAAAATATCAATATGCTTTGAAACTATACTTATTCACTGTCTTCTTTTATAATTGAATTATAATTTGGATGCGATAGTTGGAAAAAAGTGGACACCTTAACTTTCTGACTCACAACAGCTCTGTCAAATAATGCTGTATTTGATTAATATTATACAGAATAAGTCAACCTGATGGGTAGATCCATGATGCAGCTGAAGTAAGGAAGTAAAAAAATAGAAAAAAAGATCTGTTCTTTACTGAAAAAAGCATTTGGTATGTCTAGCTTACTACTAGGTTTACCATCCTAGAGCTTCCAATAGGTAAATGCAAAACCTGCATCAAAAATTGTTTTCTTTGTTTCACCTCCTCTGCTTCTATCCTTCTATCTTTAGTTTAGTGTTTATGGGGGTTGTACTTTCCTATGCGAGGCTGGTCTTCTTGGAATCACAGCTCATATTTGAACAAACGGCAGTTGTGGCCATGAGGGCCTTTGCACAAGTTCCTGGATTTGGAAGATCTTCTCAGAATCACTCATGTTTTGGTTACCTCTCAGTTGGGTTATGAAAATGTGCTCTAAGCGGGGTTGCTCTTGAAAATCATTAGCAAGCTACAATTGGTCTTGAACTGTAACATTGCAGCAAAGGCAATGATGGGTGTGTTGTGGGATGCGCATGTTTTCCCACTGCTTTTCCAGCTGCACTGGTTGCCATTTGGGTTCTGGGTGCAGTTCCAAGTGCTGGTTATCACCTAAAATGCTGTGCATGGCATAGGGCCTCATTATATTTCTCCATATATTTCCACCTGCTGGGTCTTATCAACTCAAGGAGACATGGTCAGATTTTCTATTGGGCAGTGCCATGCAGAGGTGGGTTTCACATAATTTTACCACTGGTTCGCCGTACACTTAAAATGTGAGCTTGCACACATGCGTGCGGCTTAGAAAACGTGCCTAAATAAGACGGGATAGTGGCAGGACGGAGGGTGGCACCCGCAAGTCGCCACTACCAGTTTGTGTGGTCTGAACCAGCTGAATAATACCACTGCTGCCATGTTATAAAATTTAAGAGCCCTGCTTATATTCAAGTGCTCCTGGAGATCTGTATTGCTTTCACCTTTCTGACCTTTTGTACTGTAAATTGTTCAAAACCTGGCTGTTTTTTCAGGCCCTGAGCTAGTATAGGGGTTGAGTCCCTTTGGCTGGTTATTGGACATTTGGCTTTTTTGGTATGGGGTTTCTGATCACCTATCTTCTTTTACTTCTTGATATGTTTTTTTTTCTTTTGATTTATTACCTATATACTGCTCAGAATTGCTATGGAGCTGCGCACCTTCCAAATTAAATAAATAAATAAGCAAACCAACAAACAAAGTTTGTCACTAAGGTGGAGGTATTGGTAGTTTCATAGCAATATGGTGATTCAGTGTGGCAACTTTGGTTATTGCTCTTGCATCCATTCCACTATGGCGTTTCTGTGGTGTACTAGAAGCTAAACCTAAAGCCTAGTTTTGTCCAGAAGATATTTAAGGACTAACTATTTGTTTCAGGGATCATTTCAAATTTGCAAACTCTATCTTGGACAAATAGGATTGAAGTGATCTCACATTCCAAAAATATTACTGTTGTGAATATAATTGTCAGCTAACAAAATCAAACATTTCCCAATAAGTAACCCTTTGGATGGAATGAAGACTTAGAATCCCCATTCCCCATTTGAAGGCTCATGAATTTTTGACAGATAAACATATACCACAAAATATTTCAATCTTTCTGAGTCCTTCTATTCTGAGGATAGAAAATTTTAGACATTTTAAAAAACAAATTCAAAGGGCATAGAGAAAAAACCTGAGAAAAGATGCCACCTTTGATTAAAGTTCAAATTTGTCAGGAATCTATAGGATGCCCAAGTAAACTGAGACAGAGGGAACATATTTTTGAGGAAATTCTAGCTGGAGAAGATAGATGGAAAATATTTCTTCAAGAAAGTTAAACGTTTTCTTTATTATGTGGTGCTACAATATATATTTTTATTTCTATAAAGAAGACCAGAGATTTTTATGCATATCTTCAGGAAGGAAACAGTGTCTCTTTTGTGGTGGAACCAGTGACTGAAGGGCCTGGGGGAGTAAAAGACACATTCCAGTTTAGTTAGTTTAACTATCAGGAAAAAACCCCTGATTGAATCAATACTATTGTAAAAGAGAACTAATTTTCCTTAGACATCATTCACAAATTACAAAATATTAAAAACACACTTTCAATTTGATAGTATTCCATTCATAAGACTATGGACAGGTACAACAATCACACAACAACAACATATTTGGACAAGGTTTCCTAATATATTCAGGAATTTACTATATAGGACCCCACTGGTGTAAAGGAATAAAAATATGGCAGTAATATGTGCCAATCTTCATGCAGGGTATCCAGTAGATTACATTGGAAGTATCTTCCACCTCCAAACAATCTTTACAATGCAAAATTTGTCCTCATACTCTGGGCAGTGTGTGATGCCTACTTGCAGATATCGAAAGCTGTGTTCTACTGCTTCCAAAATATTTTTGATGTATGGCAGGGTGGGCCATATACAGTAGTTGGTCTTTTACCTTCTTTTTTCTTTTCTCTCCTTTGCTTTTTGCACAGGCATCTTGTAATAAATGCTTGTGGGTACCCATTATGTTTGAATTGTTCATGTAGGTACCTTTTCTCCAGTTGTTTAGGTTTTGGGGAACCACACTGGGTTCGCAGTCTTCCATATAGCGTTCTGATGCAGCTCTTTTTGTGTGATAGTGGATGGTTAACCATAAATCATTCAGAGGACCTGTTCTTAGGGATCGTTTCTAGATTAATATTATTATTATTATTATTTTTTAATTTGATTTATATGCCGCCCTTCTCCGGAGACTCAGGGTGGCTTACAATGTGCTCAGCAATAGCCTTCATCCTTTTGTATATTTATACAAAGTCAGCTTATTGCCCCCACAACTGGGTCCTCAATTTACGTACCTTAGAAAGGATGGAAGGCTGAGTCAACCTTGAGCCTTGGCGAGATTCGAACCTGCAGTAATTGCAGGCAGCTGGTCTCAATAACCAGCTTAATAACAGGGTGCCTTAGACCACTGTACTACCAAGGCTCTTATTATTTTATTAGGTAATCATATTACTCTAGACCATTTGATAAGAAGTTGAGGATTTTTAAAAATTTATCATAGTAACCTGAAGAAGGATATTGATAGCTTGGATTGAACTTTTGGTTAAAAAAAAAACAGTTTCCAATAAAATAAGGAATGAAGAGATATGTATATTTGCATGTATTATAAGTTTACATAAACATAAATAGTATTCTATGGAAAGTTGGCAATGAGTATGGACTGCAACAGTAGTTGAGAATGAATATGGAGAATGAATGAAAATGGAACGTGATTTTTGATGTACTGGTATTTTGAGTGTGCATAGTATGCTTCTAAGGTATCGACTGGCTCATGGTATTCTGAAACTGAAGACATTTTCAAAGGCTCACAGTACAAAGTAGTTTTGATCACAATCCATTTTTATTTCTGATCCTTGAAATCATGATTAAACAGATTAGAGAACCAAGTAACCACTGAGTTGACTTTATGGTAGATTAAGTACTTTGAGTACTCATTTATTCAGCAAATAAATTGCTGAAGGCTTCATTATTCCTTCCATAAGAATGATTGTTGCTTCCATTAATGATTAAAAAAACATTACAAGGATACATTTGAAAACCGTTCACAGTTTTATACATAATTTGCAGTGTATACCATAATTATTTCTTCTCTTATCCCTTTGTTCTTTTTTTTTTTTTTTTGCAGTTTATCTTTTTCAGGGATATGCCTGTATACCATGTCTGAATACAGTTTTTTATTTCTAGCTGTTGAAGAACTGTCATTGTAGTCATGTGGAGGAAATGGTTTTCATACTAATTTTATTTATGCAATGCTGTGAACAGCAAGAGGACAGGTTTATTTTTTCATTATGTAGTTTAATATAAATGATGATATCTCTTTTCTTAGTAATGCCAATGATTACATACAGTATATTACCAAACATTTATTTTAATTAAAAGGGAACTCTTCTTAAAATATATGTGGTAATGATTGTTTATTTTGATTTATCAGATATACTATAGGCAAATGAAATTCCTAATTGCCTGGTATTTACATTAAGAAAATAAAACTAGTGCACTAATTAATTCAACAGGTCTGATGAGGACATGCACCAGACAGTACTAATATCTGCAGAAGTAAATCAGGATAAGCAGAAAAGATCTTAGGGATGCAAGGAAACCTAAAAGCTACAAAAAGTGTATTGGGATTATGACAGTAGTAAAAATAAGATAAAGGATAGACAATGGGAAGAGAAAATGGTAAGCGAGTAACAGGGATGGGAAGAGAGCTGGAACTCCTAAACTTCTACTTTGGTTTAGTCTCCTCTCTAAGTGGGAATTCTTGAATGAACTTAATCAAAACAATTGACAAAAACAAGAGAAGGGCAATTTGAATTAAGAAAAGAAATTACAGGACACCAGCCTGAAGACGACGAGTGGGACCTCGTCGAAACATCGCCAAGATGCTTTCAATCTTACACGGGAAAAGACCCGAATACGTCAAGACTTGCATACTAACCAAATATATATATGTATTTGTGTATGTATGTATATATATATATACATACATATATGTATGTGTGTGTGTATGTGTGTATATATATACACACACACACACACACACACACACACACATACATATATGTATGTATGTATATATACATACAGTATGTATATACATATATATACTGCTCAAAAAAATAAAGGGAACACAAGCAGAAGACATCCGAGATCTGAATGAATGAAATAGCCTTATTAAATACTTTGTTCTTTGCAAACAGTAGTTTGTACACTGCTCAAACAACTAAAGGGAACACAAAACTACTGCATGTAACGAACAAAGTATTTAATAAGGCTATTTCATTCATTCAGATCTTGGATGTCTTCTGCTTGTATTCCCTTTTTTTTTTGAGCAGTGTACATATACATACACACACACACACACACACGTGTGTATGTGTGTTTGTGTATAACAGGTTTTCATTTCATAAAGTCTTGTTCTATAAAAGCTTGTGGTTCACTTGCTTTTCTTAACTTAGGTGGGGGTTTTCTTGAAGAATTCCTTGCTGATGGAAATCAAATGTGATTAATTGTAGCTGTCTGTAGCTATTCGGTTACAGCTAGAAACGTGACTAGGGAAAACATAATTGCAAGAAAATTCATGTTTTCTATAATTATTCACAGTTAAATTAACAAAGTTTTAATATGCTCATTTATTAAAAGGGTGAACCGGGTTTCCTAGGTCCACAGGGAGAACCTGGATTGCCAGGATTGCCAGGGACAAAGGTATGATTTACATTTTTTCCTTATTACGCACAATTTGCTTTACATCAGATCAGTTGGAGCCTAATTGTTAGAATAGGCATTTCGCTCCACAGCCATTAAAGTCTTACTAAAGGGAAAGTTTATCAGATTGAGATCACAACTCATCTATTACAAATGTGTAATGTGTGTAAAATAAATTAATTAAATTAAACTGCTATCATCTCTATAGGAAATAATGCAGCTGTGATTATTTTATATATGTTCTTAATCGTACAGCTGAGACTTCATCTCACTCTTTTTAAAAAGAAGGTCAGCATTGTCTAAAGTTGCTTTTATTCTGTGAAACCAATTTGAGCCATCAACACCTAAAACTGATACCAATAAATGGACAATTAAATATGGGAAACATTCTCTGTTTTGCCTCTTGTTCCCACCTGTAATTATTCCTATTTTATCCACATGTTCAGGTATTATTTACTTTGGGCAAATCAAAAGGGGGGAAAAGGCATATACAATGATACTGTAATCTATTTACACTTCCCTCTCGGGAAGGTTTGGTACTAATGTATGTATGGATCAATTGCTATTTTGACATACTCTTTGATATTACTTCTCTTTGATGTTTCAACAGCAACTCTCATCAATACCAAAAGTTACTGATGTTCTGTGATGCTTCTGTGTATATCTGCTATTATTTTTAACAGGGTGAAAGAGGAGAAATAGGACCTCCTGGGAAAGGTGAACGAGGTGAGCCTGGAGTTCCAGGGCCAAAGGTCAGTTTAGTTTCACTTTGAAATATTTAATGTGCTTTTGAGAACTCTGTGTTTAGCATTTTCTTTAAAGACATCCTTTGTTTCGGGACGTTAAACAGAACCAGAAAAATCGATTTCATTGTGATTGAATATGTATTCCAAGTGATTTAAAAGCATGTCGTTCACTTTTACTGCATAGTCCAGTCAAAATTAATTAAACAAATGGAGAAGTTTCACATTAATAATCAAAAACTTCCACTATGCAAATATTACTTATATAATCATAGTTAATGGCAATTAAAGTGCTTTAGGCATAACAAAAACAATAAAAGTATAATAAAATTCTGATTTCTAACTATATGGGTAGAGTGGCCATAGAGGTCACTTTAAGTAGATTTTAAAGTAGATTTTTCAAAATTCTATATGGTTAGTAATTGTGTCTAAGACAGAGAAGGAAGGAAGGAAGGAAGGAAGGAAGGAAGGAAGGAAGGAAGGAAGGAAGGAAGGTCCTTTAAATTCAGACTTTGCAGTGCAACTCAATTGATTTTCTAGATTTTCATTAGCAATTTAAAACCTGTGCTTAATAATATCCTGCTTATATGAAATGATCATATACTGTATCATAGATAAGACCTAAGAGTTGGTAATAAAATGGGTGGGTATATAAATATTTTAAATAAATAAAAGTAAACAAGATGCTTTGGCATTATCTTAAGAACAAAACTGTAGTGAAAAAAGAATCTGTTGAATTGTACTCATCTTCTAGTGACTGCATGGATACTTCCATGCAATCTTCTTGACAACAATATGGAAGTGGTCTGTCATTACTTTCTTCCAGGATGATTTTCCAATTCCTAATTCATCTAATAGATTTGGAATTAATGGTGATCTCCTATCTATCTACTAAACAGATCCAACCCTGTCTAGGTGCTTTGTTGTTGTTGTTGTTATTGTTGTTAAGATTAGCCAAAGTAAAGGCAAGGTGCAGGGATGTAATAGGTACAGGGATTTCTGCAGGATTTGCCCCTTTCATCAGAATGATACAATTTCCTCTCCTTTTGTACATGAATATGATGTCGCAACCTGTGAACACAAGGAACAGAGGTTGCATTGTATCAACACAATGCTGTTTTCAGCATTTGTTCCCTTTGACCCCATCAAGCCAAATGCTTTTGACTAGGTGTCAAATTCTGTGTGCTTCAATGAATTCTCCCCAGTGTTTTACCAAGAAAATCAGATTTAGGGACTATTTTAATTTTAAAGGGAATAGGAACAGAAAATGGAGACTTAACAAATATGATTTCATGCAGCATAGCTAAACATTTTACAAAATACTTCACAGTGTCTTTTTATTTGATTTCTATTATTTGTGACATTTGTTTCTATAATTGCGCATATCTCTGTATGTAAGTTGATTCAATTACATTCAGAAATTCTATTGATATTTTTATTAATTTTTTTGCATGATCTGGAAGAAAGCCACTTTTGTTTAAGAACATAATTTAGTGATAAGAAAGAGCATCAAGTTATTGGTCTGGAAGTTGCCAGAGATGAATTCTCATTTCTAAGGCACTGTAGGAAGGAAAATGATTGAATCGAACAAATATTTTCAGCTTACAAATTGTATAACTGACATTTTCACTTAGAAGTGATAGGATGTTTTTCAGGGAGTTGAGGAAATTATATTTCCTGGAACATGTACAAAACACATTTAGATTTTCTTCTACTAATCTTCTTGTGTTAAATCATTATAACATGCATGATTACTTAACTTTCTTATATATACATTTGTGTCTATAATGTAACTTTATAATAGCAACTGTTTTAATATGCATAGTTTCTACTACATATTTACTTCCTGTAGACAAAACTAATTCTTCATATTTCTCTTTACTTTTTCTTTCTCGACTCCATTTTGTATGTGTTCCAACAAGCAGGGAAGGTCAGGTGAATCTGGAACTAGAGGCCCTAAAGGGTCAAAGGTCAGTTATTAGCAACATCTGGTTTTATTGGTTAAATACACTAAACCAACACAGTTATTTCTTTACTGCCATTTTTGCATGTGTGAATTCTATATGTGGATGGGGTGTTATGTATGGTAAGCACACATCGTTATCTGTTTCTTTCAGTAGAGTGTTCAAATATTATCAATTTAAAAAGTAGTACAATATTTTCAGTAACGGAAAAGATGAAGTGTATATAGCCCTTAACTTTTCTTAGTGAAAGTTTTCATTCCCCAGTTAATTCCCCCCTTTCTGTTCTTTCTATATAAGGTCATCTCTTTTTTTCCAGTTCATTGATTAGTACCACATTTTAGTGCAGTATTTAGGTTTACACTAAAATTAAATAAGACATTACATACTATTTGACATTAGACATTAAGGCTAGCAGTTAGAGGCAGAGCATGCTCTGAATGAAAAATGAAAATGTTAGAAGTATGGAATACTGTAACTGAATCTTTTTTGACCTGAGGCAATTTCTGATAATTCTGAGGCAATTTCTTTCAGGAAGCCAGGTTTCTGTTCCCCAAAAAGATGCTTCTGGTACCGTTAGATAAAGAACAGCTTTCTCTGATTATTTGAATTTCAAATGTGGGAAGGTTTCCATTGTGCTTGGAAATAACTGGCTATTGGCATTTTTCTAAAAGAGATGCAAAATCCTTATTTTTAACCATTATATATAGTCAATTAGTAAAATTTTGAGGTAATTTTTGAATTTATCTCCATAGATAATGCATTGCAAAAGTCAATTTCATCATAAGCATGGAAATTCAGTTTTGTCTAGAAATTTGTATATTTGGTGACTCTAGAATTATGTTATTACAATGAACAATTTTCTGAATTGGCCTTGTTCTTTCAAACTGATGGTTGCAACTTTCTTGACAGTAAGGTGACCAATCGTCCTCCTTTAGCGAGGACAGTCCTTCTTTTGTAAGTTCTGTTCTCTCTCGAAAAGTGTCCCCCTACATGTCCTCCTTTTTGATATTTGAAGACTAATCTGTAAATCTCCGTATTCGATCGATGCCAATCCGATCCGTTGCATGTGATGTGACGTATTTGTATTTGACATGACAATTTGTCAAGGCTTGGTACAGTGCGGCAAGACGTGATTATGAGACACATGCGCTTCGCACAGGAGAATTGTTTTGAGAGAGGGCGCCCTGTGCAAGAGTGCACCACGCGCAAGTGGCTTTGTTTATTTCTTACCGAAACACAACTCAGCACACATGCATGCATTAGACTCACTTCTTTCTCAGTGAATATTCAATCATACATAGGTGAGCACAATAATTCATGTTTTATTAATTCATTATCTATTTAATAATTTAAATTGTGCTGCCCTGGAACTAATGCAGCAGTTGAAAGGGTTTTTTTCAATTGCTAATGATTTTTGGAAAAGTGAGAAATCGAGATTGAATGCTGATACTCTAGCTGCAGCACTTGTCATAAAATTCAATATGAAGGATATTACTTGTTCAGATATTTCCAATATATTGTTAGAAGATAATACATTGACAAAAAATATTCATTCAATGGAAAAGTACTCATTTAAATAATAATTAATAGGCATGTAAGCATAATTACAATATAAAATGTTATTGTTACAAATGTTTTTTATTATGCATTTATCATATTATAGTGTATTCTGTATTGTTGCAATGAATAAAATGTTTCTTTTATTTATGATATTGATGAAACACAACAACCATTGTTTAATAACACAGTTAAGAAAAACTTTCAGCAGAAACCAAATTTTCCTCATATGATTGTGAGCTTCATTGTTCTCTTGGAAGTAGTTTAGATGATTTCCTTTTATGGAGACCTTAACTCTTGCTTTGTTCTGACTGAAGAAACTTGAAGCCAACATTTTGGCTGTAAATTCCAAGTTGACCATTACTCCAGGTATGGTTTTTGCTATCTATTGAAGAATAAGACAGATACATTTCGGTATTTTGTTCAGTGGATCAAGTTTGTCGAGAGAAAAACAAAGCAAAAAATAGTTACCATTGTAACTGATAACGGTACCGAGTTTGTAAACACAAGATTTAAATCAATGTTGGACAATGCTGGTATAAAACATAGATGTTCATCTCCATATAGACCACAACGTAACTCATATGTTGAAAGGAGAGGACAAACTTTACAAGCAATGATGAGAACAATTTATTTATTTATTTATTTATTTATTAAATTTATATTCCGCCCTTCTCCCCGAAGAGACTCAGGGTGGTGAACAGCCGAGAATTAAAATAACATGCAATATAAAAGTTAAAATAATTAAAATAAATTAAATTAAACGGCCGCCCCAATTAAAAACCCCTAGCAATACAATTAAAAACCCCTAAAACCTATTCAGGCCAGGCCGGCTTGCTGAAATAAAAACGTCTTCAGGGCCTTACGGAAAGTGCGGAGATCCAGAATCAGCCGTATTCCGGGAGGTAGCTCGTTCCAGAGGGCGGGTGCTCCCACAGAGAAGGCCCTCCCCCTGGGGGCCGCCAGCCGACATTGCTTGACCGATGGCACCCTGAGGAGGCCCTCTCTGTGAGACCGTATTGGCCAGTGGGAGGTTATCGGTAGCAGCAGGCGGTCTCGTAAATACCCTGGCCCTAAGCCATGGAGCGCTTTAAAGGTGAGAACCAACACCTTGACGCGCACTCGGAAGACCACCGGGAGCCAGTGCAGCTCCCGCAGGAGAGGTGTTATATGGAAGCGCCATGTCGCTCCCGTGATCACCCGCACGGCTGCATTCTGGACCAGTTGGAGCCTCCGGGTGCTCCTCAAGGGGAGCCCCATGTAGAGAGCGTTAGCGTAGTCCAGGCGAGAAGTGACGAGAGCATGAGTGACTGTGCATAAGGAATCCCGACTCAGAAAGGGGCACAACTGGCGTATCAGACGAACCTGATAAACCCCCCCGGCCACAGCCGTCATATGCTCTTCTAAAGACAGCCGTGTGTCCAGGAGGACGCCCAAGTTGTGAGCCCCCTCTGTGGGGGTCAATGACTCACCCCCAATAGCCAGCGATGGCGCCAGCTGGCTATATCGGGATGCCGGCATCCACAGCCACTCGGTCTTGGAAGGGTTGAGTCGAAGCCTGTTCCTCCCCATCCAGACCCGCACGGCCTCCAGACACTGGGACATCACTTCAAGGGCATCATTGGGGTGGTTTGGGGTGGAGATGTACAGCTGAGTGTCATCAGCGTACAGATGACATCGCACCCCAAATCCATGGATGATCTCACCCAGCGGCTTCACATAAATGTTGAACAGGAGTGGCAAGAGGACCGACCCTTGTGGCACCCCACAAACAAGGAGCCTCGAGGTCGACCTCTGCCTCCCTGCCAACACAGACTGCGACCGGTCGGAGAGATAGGAGGAGAACCACCACAACACGCTTCCTCCCAACCCCAATCCCTCCAGCCGATGCAGCATGATACCATGGTCGAGGGTATCAAAAGCCGCTGAGAGATCTAATAGGACCAGAACAGAGGAGCAACCCCTGTCCCGAGCCCTCCAGAGATCATCAACCAATGCGACCAATGCCGTTTCCGTGCTGTACCCAGGCCTGAAGTCAGACTGGCACGGGTCTAGATAGACGGTTTCAATGTTAGCTGATGCAGGTTTACCGGCCAGTATGGGGAGAAGCCATAATGTGTGCAAATACACTCTTGAACAATGTCGTAAATACAACCACTAAGAAAATTCCCCATACTGTATGGCATGGAAAGAAGCCGGATTTGAGTTACATTCACACATTCGGGTCACCTGCATGGGTACATATTCCATCACAGTTAAGACATAAGGGCCAGAGTAGGGCACAACAATTAATATTTGTTGGCTATAATTCAAACCACAGGTCCTACAGATTTTGGCCAAAAGGAACAACAACGGTAGTTAACAGTGCGAATGCAAAGTTTATGGAGCATGTAGGGTGGAATAAATTGGGGACTGAGAATGAGGTTATCATTGAACTCAGACTGAAGCTACTAATGAAATGCCAGAAATCCAGAACAAAGAGGTAGAGGAGGACGTAGTACAGGAACAGGTGAAGGTGGAGAGACCATCTGTAAGTCCTGATCTTCCAAGAAGGTTGAATAGAGTATCTGTGTGTTTAACCAGCAACGTATCTCTTTGCTGTCCGGTCCGTTGCCTACTATGCAGAGGGAAGTTTTACCCTCAACATAAAGTATAAGAAGAAATTCCATGGTGTATAAGATTATGGTCTGTCCAGCCCAGTCAATTTTGATTAACATTTGTGCTGGACAAAGAGTTAAGATTCTGAAAAGCTTTGGCTACTTTACAGTACTCTTTCATATTTTTTTTATTGCATCCTATAGCAGGGTAATTTATTTCTTCATCTTTTATGTCTATTGAAGTCAGTGCCTTTGCAGATAGGAGTGTCTGTGCAAATGCAAAATACTGAAATAATTTTGCTATTACACTTTATTAATTAATTTGTTGTACTATTATTTATTTAAAACACTAACACATAATTTGGCTGAAGTTATTTGAAATTTGTTCCCCATTTCAAAGGTGGGGGAAATGATTTCTTTACCTGCTGCTGGAAATAAAATTATTTCTAGTGTGTCCCAATGAACACAATCACCTACTTATTCCTGTGCTTGTCAGCCAAGTCCCTAGTGAATATTCCTTCTGTCTCGATTCTCAGGACAGAACACAATATTATCAGATCTATTTCTTTCTGCATTTTCAATTTTTCTTCTCTCAAGTATTCTGTATGGAAGGAGGAGGTTTAGAATCATATCCGTGACTGATAACCATAAAGCCTTTGTTTTAACAACTCTGAAGCAGAGTATATCATTTCTCCACTTAGACTTTTCTAGTGATATATAGTAATTACTATTTTTCCCCTAATGTTCCATTAAAAACATTTTATTTGTACACCACCTAAAACTCCTTTGTGAGGGAGATGGGCAGTTTCAAAATTTGATAAATAAATAAAAATGTTCTTATCTTTTGGAAAATCTGAAGAATTCTGCTTTGTTTCTACATTACAGTATTTTAGAAATTTGAAGAGAGCTCTCATATCTTCCTATAATTTTCTCTTCTACAAACACTTCCAACATTGTCATTGGCTTTTCCTTCCAGATTGCTTATGATTTGGATTGGTGTACTCTGAACACATTTCAATTTATCAATGTCTTTCCTAAACTGTGATATTATGAATATGGATTGACCAATGCAGAACAGAGAGGAATAGAATACACCATTTCCTAGATCTTAAACACAATTCTTTCTTGATGCACCTATAATTGAATTTGCTTTCTCTTCTGCTGCCATTACACACTGTTGGTTCCTGTTTATCTTTGATGCTGTAGGCACCTGGATCCTTTTGGCAAGTGCTGCTGTCCAGCATTGTCCATCTTGTCATGCACCCAAGACTTTGGTTATTCCTACCCAAGTGCAAACTTTACATTTGTTCCTGTTAGGATTCATGTTGCTGATTTTTCCAGCAGATTTTTCTGAACCATGATGTTAAACCTCTAAGATGTTTCTTCTCTCCAACTATCTTTGTTTCATGTACTATTTGTTAATTGCATTTTCTAATCTCACATCAAGTAATTTAAAACTGTTCAACAGTACAGAGCTTACAACAGAGCTCTGCAGTTATGCCATCCAGTGCTCCAGACTGATACACAGCTATTGATGTATTACTTTTGGGTTCCTGTTGTTCAACTCATCATATTTATAAAGGAAAATATTTGTAGCTCAGAAAAAGCTATTTCTTTCTCTCTCATTCATCCCCAGTTATAAAATATCTGCTCTGCAACCATCATCGTAGCTCTTGAAGAAAACAGCTACCCATAATATTGCAGTCATGCCATCTTCAGAGCTTCATTGAAAATTTATAGGCAAGAAAGATGCCATGTTGATAACAAGACAGTTATCTCCTCATAACAATCTCTTGTAATTATTGCATAATGATCAAATGTATTCAAAATTTATTGAAAACAGGGGAGGCTATTCCCCTGTTTTGTTTAAAAGGAATGAGGGAGTGAGAAGCCTTTTGGTTATTCCCTGGAGCAAAGCAGTTACTAAATTATTACTTTGCATTCTTTATTGATTAAGCTGTTGCAGGGACATATTCCTTCTGCAGCCTTCTCTCAGTGCTTTCATCTTGTAAAGAATGAAGATAATTGTGGCACCCCTTCAAAATTCTGTAGAGAAATTGGAAGGTTTTGGTGACTTTAGTTTTCTACTGTAACAGCAAACTTAAAATATTGATGCTTATTATTTTTCCCCCTAGGGTGATCCAGGAAATAACGGTGATTTGGGAGCAATGGGACCAAGGGTAAGTGACTTGAAATATGTTCCTTAATTGATAGTATATAAAATGGCTCCCTTGAGGCAAAGGGACACAATCATTATTTTCAGGTTTGATTGTATAATCTATATCAGTGTTCCTCAATGTTAGCAGATGTGTGGATTTCAATTCTAAGAATTCCTCAGCCTTTATACTTTGCTTTATACAATGCTGGCTGGGGAGTTCTGAGAGTTGAAGTTCAGTCATCTGCTAACATGGAGAAACACGAGAAATTATCTAGAACGATAAGATCCACTTCAATAATGTATTGAAAAAAGTGAGTAGCTATAAAATGCCTTCTAATGGCACTGAAGTATTAATGTTCATCCTCGAATAGGCAATCCTTTTTCACACAATATGTAATCAATCATTCATTAACATATAGCACATAGATATACTGATTCTCACAAATAGTTGTCTACTATTATTAATAATTTTTTAAATGAATGTTGTCTGACTCTAAATGATTTTGTGTATGTTTTCAAACATAGCACCTACTACAATTTACACATCTACAACCTTGTGCATTAAATAACTGATAAATGAAACTAAGTCACATGAAACTAACTCACAGACTATAAAATGGATTGGAGATTTCTCTCTCTCAAAAAACAAGAAAAAAAGAAATGCTGAATAGATGTAACTGGAGTTGCATTCTAGAGTTTGAAAAAGTAATATTGATATAATTGGGATTAGGTTTAGCAAGTGCGAATAATCCAATAAATATCAATAATCTGCGCCTTGCTAATGACACTATATTGTAGCTGTGAAAATACACAGCAGTTGAGACAACCAAGGTTGTTACTGGTGATCCCCTTTTTCCCTCATTTCACCTTTCCAAGCATTATAGATTCCTCAAGAAAGCTACAGTAGGTAATTGCATAATGCATTCAAAGTATACAATACAAATTACAAAGAAAGTCACTGTAAATATAGATCAGACTAAGCCAATGACAACAGATACAGCAACCATATTTAGAGCTGATAATAAAGACATTGAAGTAGCTGATAACTTCTACTGTTTTGGATAGACAACCAACAAAAATGAAATCAGTTATCAAAAAATGTGTTTGAACACATTGTGCAAAGATCCAATCTCTGCTGGGACAAAAAAAAATTTCCCCAATCTCTGTGAGCCTTTCCTTAACTTCCTTAACTTAGGAAATAGGTGGTATTAGGAATATTTTAATGTTCACAAATACTAGTGGAACGATATGTACTGTAATTAGTTTTACTTGCAAAATGAGCCTAGGAAAATGAAATTGTTTTTATTGCATTCATTAACACAATTTGTAATGTGGGCTTGTGACAAATGCGACCTGTTTGTACATTTCCAGTGCTTTTTTTATAGGGTCCACCTGGAGAAAAAGGTGACCAAGGTGCCACAGAAATCATTGACTTCAATGGAAATATCCATGAAGCATTACAGGTTTGTGATCAGTACACAATAAACATAAGGCACCGTTGTTCATAGATTACCAGTATAACTGAGTAATAAAGCTTATAATTTTCATGTATATTATCCCTGTTTTAATTCCACCATAACAGAACTTGAAAATAAGTTGATCGTAAAATAGTGTTATTTAATGGGTAAAAGACAGTTTCATATATTTTTAGAAAACGCCAGGTGCAATGATTATCTGGAACAAATTATCCCTAATTTGTTGTTCCTTGAATGTACATCAACATGTACATTTTCTAGGTAGCATTGCTTCTAGCTTTATTGGCTGGGAGTTCTAGTTCCAGTTTTTGGGAAGGTACCAAATTAGGGAAGCCTGATATGGAATCTTAATTGTTAGCATTCTTCCATGATAGCATTAAATAAATTATTGCTTTTGCATCTCCAGATCTTTGCTTACAATTTATGGTTAATAAGATGTTAGAATATATTTCAATATTAAATATTTGTACTGAGTTCATTCAAAATGCCTTAACAGGGAGCAGCAGCTATTTAACCGTATATTGGTTTGGGAAAAGCTAAATAGGGTCAGATTTGGTTAGTATTTAGATGGGAAACAACTAAGAAATCCTAGGGCTATAAACTAGACTGGGAAGTTGGGGGGGGGGGAAAACCAAAATAGTTCACAAAAAATGTATATTTCAAATGAAGTTATTTTAATATAGGATAAATGACTACGTGGGACAATTAGTTGTAAAGAATTTTATTCTGGCTGCTTATTGTTACCTTTACCCATAGTTAGGTAATGGACAGGAAAGTCTTGTGTAAATTACATATCTTGTAAATCTTTTCTGAAAATATATTGCTATTAATTTATGTCCAAAGTTGTCTTCTTTTTTAAAGTCAATTTGATGTAACTGAAATCACTGGAGTTTATTTCATAACAGTGACTTATTTGCTTATATGAAGACTTGAGAGTCAGCTAAGATGTAATATTTGTAGAAAACACAGACGCTAAATATGAGAAATGATTAGAATAATCCATATATAAGTGTCCAGTCCCGTTAGTAGTCCCTCAGAATAATCAAAGATTCTTCATGAAATGAAGCTTTTTAATCTAGGTATCACTCAAGGGATTTTGTATATGGAATAACAATGATTCTTACAATTTAGTCATATATCTATCTACTCAGAAAACTGTCTCATTATATAGATATATGTTTGCAAACTTAGTTGCTTTTGCCAATATAAGATTCAGCCATATCCCTTCTCAAGGACTTTTTCAAAGAACTTTTCAAGCTATATAGAATTTAATTTTGATGCCTGTGGTTGTTGCTTAGCACAGTAAACAAAAGACTCACTATAGAGATCAATCACTAACTTTCCTTTCTGAAGATGAAGGTTATAAGTTACAGCAAGATTTTGTTGCATGAAAGCTACATTCCATAATCTTTACGGAATAGAAAACTTTCATCATTGAAAAGTAGTAAGTGTCTAATGTCTACATACAAAATATGAGATAAATGTATAAGCAGCAATCAAAATACTGAAGGAATAAACATTTAAAAACAATATCCTTACTGGATTCTCCAATAACCTTCAAAATACTGAAAAAGTAAACATTTCAAAAATAAATCCTTTTATTGGTGAAAAAATACCCTGTTTCCCCAAAATAAGACATCCTCTGATAATAAGCCCAATCAGGCTTTTGAGCGCATGGCAATAAGGCCAAGCGCTTATTTCAGGGTTCAAAAAAATATAGACAGGGTCCTATTTTCGGGGAAACACGGTATATAACTATAAATAGGATTTTCATCCAAAATGTAGGAATTAATGTAATCTATCTATATAAGGGAAATAACTTTTTATTCATGTTAATTGTTTAGACAAAATTATAAATGATTAAATCTAAGCATTTAATCTACTTTAAATTTAAAGTAAATTAAAATTTTTACTAAATGCTAAAACCAGTTCTGCACATCTTTTGGAAGTCACACAAGTTATTTTATTTGAAAAACATATGTCGTGGTCAAATATTAAGAAATATTTCTTTTTAGTTAAATTTTGTTCATAATTCTTGTATTTATTTGTATTTTATTTGATCTTGCTCTATTGAGATCATTATTATTTTATATATTTCAGCACTGTACAATTTATTCATATAAATTAATTTCATCCAGTTTAAGTCACACATAATTAAATATAAATAATTATAGTTACCTAATGATTTATGCCGCGTAATAACGGGGTGAGCTCCTGTTACTTGCCCCAGCTTCTGCCAACCTAGCAGTTCGAAAGCACATAAAAATGCAAGTAGAAAAATAGGGACCACCTTTGGTGGGAAAGTAACAGTGTTCCATGCGCCTTTGGTGTTGAGTCATGCCGGCCACATGACCACGGAAACATCTTCAGACAGCACTGGCTCTTATGTGCGAGGGGAACCTTTACCTTTTACCTTTAATGATTTATAATCCCACAGATGCATTCCTTCAAGACCATTATTTGTGAGTTTACAAAAATTGATCTTAAAATTATTATAATATAATAGGAAATTGACAGTACTTTTTCTTTTTGAAAGCAAACAAAGTAATTCATAGTAAATACTTCAATAAATACATGGATCGTTACATGTAGATACTTAGATGTAAAAATGTAAGAGTGGTACTTAGACAATCTTTTATTTTTGGGGAGCTAGTCAGATGCTTCTCTCAAACTTTTCTCAATTCTGTGAAATCTGTTCTTAAACAAGCAAAGTATTCTGTTTCAAACTGAACATCTGGTAACATTATTTTCTGCTAATATATTTTGCCAACAGAGGATTACCACCTTAACTGTCACGGTAATTCCTATTGCATGACGTATTTTGTAGCTGTTTTCTTGTGTGGCGTTGCATGTTTACACTTACATTCTGATTTATAAATGTCTTTTTGTCCATCAGATATTAACTTTGCATTAACACCGCCTCTATTTTCTGCATCAGGTGTATCAGTGGATGCATTGTGGAAAGCTAGTTTTAGTACTTGTGGTAATTAATAGCAGCAGTATGGCCATTTCAGCAAAGAAAGTAGGGATTCAAGTTTTCATTAGCATTGTAAGATCTGTTTAACCATGTTTATTTAAACCAGGCATTAATGCAATTTTCAGTGGCAATTTTAAAATGCAATAACTTAAAAAGGGATTGATTTTTCCTATAATTTACTTTTCTGAATTAATTGTTTTTTTTAAAAAAATCATACTGGTTGTGTTAAAAGATACAGCACATGCTTGCTTCAAAATTGTATTTATTTCATTCAGTACAATTGATATGAATTTAATTGCCATAATAAGTACTTTTGGAACAGAGTCGCTTGAAATTTCAATGCAACCACTGTCCATTAGAAATGTTCCTTTTCTATTCAGAATCAATAATGACTAAAAGAGAATATTTGTATTATTTAAAAATGTGTAAAATAATATTAACAGAAATTTCAAGTAACTAATTGAAAACATCCCCAAGCCTCAACTTTTGTACTTTTGTATTGGTTTTCTTCTATTTTCATTAACTTACAGGTAAAACAAGTTAACATCAAAGTCAGCTAAATATAGATAAACAATGATATTTCCACGAAATATAGAGCCATTTTAGTATATTGACTAAGGTGCTGAACTAGAACACTGGAAAATCATGAATTATAGTCATTCTTAGGTATGAAACTCATCTGGATGACTTTCGGTTTCTCTCAGCCCAACTCCCCTTAAAGAGTTTTAATGAAATAGAAAGTGGGAGTATTATCTACAACACCTAGAGTTGTACAAAATAAATGCAGGTTATTGTTATTATGATGATAATGATAATATTTAAGTGGGTTTTGGCTTTTATAATTCATGTAAGATAATTGGGTGTTAGTAGTATTTCAATGAAACTTTGGCTTTATTTTATTTATTATAGATCAAAGTTTTTATATAAATAGATTTTTCTTTATTATTTCATTGCTGTATAGCACTCAGCATAAAATGCTAAATTAGTATTGAAAGAAAAAAAAGCTAAATGACAGCTTGTATTATTGATTTACTGTATACTTACATTAGATTGTGTGGCATAATGTGTCAAGAGCAATTCTTAATCTTCTGGTCTTTAGTGCTTACCACATAGCACAATAGAGACGGTTTCTGACTAAAATCATGTAGAGCAGTGATTGGCAGCATCATAATGTCTGCATGCCCCAACTTTGCCCCAAATATGTTAATTGTTGCAATCAGGCCTCCATAAAAAAAACAAGCTAGATCTTTGTCTTGTCTTTCCTATTTTGGAAAGTTTAGCTCCCTGGCAATGCCACTCATTCCAGCTCTTGGCAGGAAATTGAGATGTGTGACATTTTAAAAATAAAAAAAAATTAAAAAAACAAACTTTTTGAATAGATGCTATTAAAACTCTGTAAAGACTGGGCAATTCATTTTGCAGTTATGTTTCAGAAAGTAGTTATGATCCTACCATTAACAGCCATATTTTATCCTGCTATATGGCAGTCAAATAACCAAACCTTTTCTAATGGAATTCCATACGGATTTGTTTTATTCAAGACTTATTTACAGGATTTACAATTACACAAATTTACTAATTAGAAGTATGCAGAGAAGAGGACAATAGTCTTGTAGTTTTCCTTTCTCAGTACTTTCTGGATAATTTTCTGGTCCTAGGGAGTCAGTCATTTTTGAAATGAGATTATAGTCTTTTCAACTGGGATTCCATGAATCCCTAAGCTCCACAAAAGGTCTGCAAGAGATCATGATTGAGAAAAAGATAAATATTTTTTTAACATTGCATGCCATGTAATTCTAGTGCTCACAGTGATTGGAATTTTTATGTGCCGGGATTCAGCTGCTGGCCTGTTGCTTTGCTAGTGTTGTACATGTTGTAAAACATTGTATAGGTTTCATATTTTTTGTGATTTTTATGCAGGGGTAATCTGAAACCTGAATATTATTTCAAGGGTTTCTCTAGGGCAAAAGGTTGAAAAAGGCTGTTTTAATCTGAGCCAGGCATGATTTGTCATACATATCCTAACCCCACCACTAATTTTTTTTTCTTTTTTGGTCCTTTGATCATGTCACCTGCTTATTTTTTTTTATTTTTTTTTAATTTGATTTATATGCCGCCCTTCTCCGAAGACTCAGGGCGGCTTACAATGTGCTCAGCAATAGCCTTCATCCTTTTGTATATTTTATACAAAGTCAGCTTATTGCCCCCACAAACTGGGTCCTCATTTCACCTACCTTAGAAAGGATGGAAGGCTGAGTCAACCTTGAGCCTTGGCGAGATTCGAACCCTGCAGTAATTGCAGGCAGCTGGTCTTAAGCAGCTTAATAACAGGGTGCCTTAAACCCTAGTACTACCAAGGCTCTTTTATTTAATCCATAGAACTGATAAATTCTTAATAATTCTTAGATACCGTAATATAGACTATATCAGACTTAACCCCATCTTTACCTTGTCTTGATCTCTTTGGCAAGGTTGTAAATGAAAATTAATGTACATTTTTAAAATCTTGCTAAGCATCAGCTTTTCCTATTCTCCTGATATAATCCAAAAAGGAATTTAACAAACAAAATCCTGGAAGCCTTTAAAATTAATTCTATTTAATTCTTCCTGCAAGCATTATGTTAAGTAGTATATATTACAGGATGGCTAGTCTTTAACTGGGAATAGGCAGCCTTTTAAGTGGCCATACCTATCTAGCAATCAAGTAAATTGGCTATTATTCTACAATCAGATTGCATATCTGTCTTTGTGTACCAAAAACTGTTTAGTTTGTTAGAGTCAGATTTCATCACTACTGTTTAATACAGTCATTCTGATATTTAACACATTTTGTCTGTCTATCTGTATATGGTCATCAATTGTCATTGCTGTTGTTAGTCCTTGTTAGTTTAATGCAGTTTTCTTGTTGTGATGTTTATTTTGCATAACATATTAGAATATGTTTCAGAGAAAAGTGTGATGAATATATGGGTAGTGTATACTGCAATAAAGGGAATTAATTTTATATTTAGGGTCCTCCAGGCCCACCTGGACCCCAAGGATTGAAAGGATCAAAGGTGAGCATATCAATTGTATTTGTGTGCTTATCAGTACATTATGTATTTGGTATAATTAATAATGACATGTGACGTCTGTACCACTGTGTGCTTTGAAGATCTTACAAGATACTAGGATGATTTAAAAAAAATATTTAGTTCAACAATAACAAATTATTGCATAACAGCTAAGTTTGAACAACAAATGTGAATGATCATTTAATTTTCTTATGCTTTTCTTGAAGTGCTTTAAAATAATTTAAATACCAAGCATTTGTAAAGCAAGATTATATAGTCAATTATTCATGGGAATACTATTTATGAAAGAATTTCATGGTATCCCAAAGATTATAGACCTGTCCATTTATTCCTGGTATTTTGTGAAGCATTAGATAGAGAAACTTTGTTGAACCACATCAAGAACCACCGATGGGTTTTTATTATTATTATTCTTCCTTGTTTCAATAAAGCATATTTTGGAAGTGAATCAGAATTTCTAATTCAATCTAAATGACAAACATTGGTTAGTTCAAAAGTTGAAGTAGGTGCCTTTGATTTCTTCCTTGTAGGAAGAAACAGGAAGGAGAAAGCACATTGACCAAGCAGACTTATTTATTTAGTATTAAATTACATTATATTCCAGATAATAATACCACTGTGGAATTGAGTTGGAGTTGGATTTTATTTTGCAGGGTGAATCTGGATCACCAGGATTACCTGGTGCTGATGGGGAGCAGGTATTTGAACATCTTTCTGATATTACTATTGATAAAGGAATATCATATGATAATGGTTCAGTAAAAACTGAATATAATTGCTACTAATCTGCCTTCCATTGAGGACCTGTATAGTGCACGAGTCAAAAAGACCCCTCACATCCTGGACATAAACTATTTCAACACCTACCCTCAAAATGACGCTATAGAGCAATGCACATCAGAACAACCAGACACAAGAACAGTTTTTTCCCGAACGCTATCACTCTGCTAAACAAATAATTCCGTCAACACTGTCAAACTATTTACTAAGTCTGCACTACTATTAATCTTCTCACCATTCCCACCACCCATCTCCTTCCATTTATGACTGTATGACCATAACTTTGTTGCTTGTATCCTTAATATCCTTATATTGATATTGTTTCCCGATTGCTTATTTATACCCTATGACTATCATTAAGTGTTGTACCTTATGATTCTTGATGAACATATTTTTTCTTTTATGTACATTGAGAGCATATGCACCAAGACAAATTCCTTGTGTGTCCAATTACACTTGGCCAATAAAAAAATTCTATTCTATTCTATTCTATAAAGGAAGAGAGAGAGGGAGGAAGAGAGGAGGAAGGAAATATTTTGTGCAGAACATTTTTCACTATCTTTGAAAAATAAAAAATACTGTCAGTTATTAATGTAATTACATTTTCTACTTCTGAAGTTAATACAGTTAAATTGATTTACATTGTTAGTATAATGCACAGTTCATTGTCATAAATATGCCATTCCAGGGGTTCAAAGGTTCAAAAGGTGATCTGGGTGATGCTGGAATACCAGGAGAAAAAGGAGGTATTGGACTTCCAGGTTTGCCAGTAAGTTTGTTTAAAATTGTATTTGATAGCATCATTTCTCACTACTGCTTCAGTATCTTTTTCTCAAAGACAATCATATTGTTTTTATTTTATAACATGTTACTTGGTACTATGCAAAAAGATTTACATAAAGGAAGGACAACAAAGGAAGACAGGGGGAGAAAAGAATGGTAGTTTTAATTAATTTCAGATTAGTGGAATCAAAGAAATGTCAGCTTTGAAGAAAGCTTTGAAAGAAGAGAAGAAATAGTAATTTTTTGTGGAAGGAATTCCAAGTGTATGGGCAGTGTAAATGCACTGAACATATAAATACCCTGACCATGCATGTGTTTGTATATGTGTAAATAAAAATCAGAATGGTATAGAAATAATAAATCATTCTTGATTTATCTTCCTTTGGAAACATTTAAATCAACTACTTTGATGGTAAATCAATTAATTATGTTTTAATTCCAAGATGTGACAAAGCTAACTAGCAAAATTGCAAATAAATATGTTAATTAAACTTAGTGGGAGATGAACTGTTTATAAGATAAAGCAGTATATACTGTATAACAGAGTATTTAAAGTTATTTCCCTCCCTCCTCTCTCCCTCTCCCTCTCTCTCTCTCTCTCTCTCTCTCTCTCTCTCTCTCCCTCCCTCCCTCCCTTTTTACTTATAGTGCATTATTAATAGCCTGTAGAGGTCTCCTGCATTACAGGAGATAGCATTCCTGTGAAAACATTTCCATATTATCAGGCATCTTTAGACGCTTACTGTATATGTAAAATGAAAGCAGTTATATATAGAATCCCATTGAGGAGATAAAGAACTGAAAATCCTGCTGGTTTGTTGGGGCACTTATTATTCTTCCCAAGTGCACTGCTCTCACAAGGGTGATGATACATTTCATACATTTAAAGTTCATATGAAGCGCAGGAAATCAGCAATTGAGGTTTAAATGAATATTGATGTATTGCATGCTAACACTCTTTATAAGAATCTGAACTACTAATGGTGAAAACAAATTGGCAGTAGATAAGAGTCAATAGAATTCAAGCTAGGATGGATTTATATCTCTTGTGAGTATGAAGGGATTCAAAACTGATGACACGCTTGAGCCCTCCCTTGGTCAGCTTGGTCATCTCCTACAATTCAATGTTAAACTCAATTCAAACAAAAAATTTTTTTTGAATAAATCTAATAATATTGTTCTTGTAACTAAACTTCTTTAACATAATATGTGTGTTTAAAGTTTCCACAAGTTAGCTTGCAATACTACAGCAGAATAGAATACGAGGATTGCATCCACATTCAGTTCCTGCTATCTCCAAAGGGTATGGAGGGACCTAGTCTAAGGCTCTGGACAGGCATTATTGGTCACTGTAGAATCATTTTCCCAACCTAATGCCTTTGTTGACAAAGGTCCTACGTTAAACGGCATGTTCTGAATATCGGAATTGCTTTGAACATCAAAATATAAAGGTCAGCCTAATCACAAATCTGACTATTGTAGATGTGCCAGACATAATCAAAGTTGGGCATACTGAGGATAGTTGTAACTAATTTTCAAAATATCAAATCCTGTAGGAACACCTAAAAAAAAGTTTCTGATTACATCACTTGAGTTCCACCCGACATCTTGAAATAACTGAAGCCGGTACCTAGCATAGATTCAGCCAGCCTAATGATCTTTCAATTTATTTATTTATTTATTTATTTGGTTCGATTTATATGCCGCCCTTCTCTGGAGACTCAGGGCAGCTTACAATGCGTTAAGCAATAGCCTTAATACTTTTTGTATATACCTGCTAAGTAGGGCTTTCGGGGGCCCCTAAGCGGTATTCTTTTTTATACAAAGTCATCTTATTGCCCCCACAATCCAGGTCCTCATTTTACCTACCTCGGAACGATGGAAGGCTGAGTCAACCTTGAGCCTGGTGAGATTTGAACTTGCAGTAATTGCAGGCAGCTGGCAGCTAAGTGCTACTTAACAGCACTTTAGTCTGCTGCGCCACCAAGGCTCCTGTGCCACCAATGGCTTTGGACTGAATTTATCTGCATGGAGTATTTATTTTTTATTTATTTTTATTTTATATCGAATTTATATACCGCCCTTCTCCCTGAGGACTCAGGGCGGTGTACAGCCAAAGTAAAAACATAAACTACAAACATTAAAATACAATTAAAAAGATATATATATATATTTGGCTTCATAATTAAAAGCAATGACAAACCAATTAAAAACATTTTTAAAAGTGTTAGGCCAGCCTGGCTTCTGAAAAAAGAAAGTTTTAAGGGCACAGCGGAAGGCACCGAGGTCTTGGACTCTCCTTATCTCTGGGGGCAGCTGGTTCCAGATGGGTAGGTGCCCCCAGAGAGAAGGCCCTCCCCCTGGGGGTCACCAGCCTACACTGTTTGGCTGATGGCATCCCGAGGAGGCCCTCTCTGTGGGAGCGCACAGGTCGATGGGAGGCCGTCGGTAGCAGCAGGCGGTCTCGAAGATATCTAGGTCCTATGCCATGGAGTATGAGGCTAGATAAAAGTATAAGACAAATTATGTCTTAAATATTAAATAGTAAAGTGTAACATAAGTCATGTTTTACTGCAGTTGATAAGATGACAGTATGTATGATAATTCCATAACTTTTTTTTAGGGATCCAATGGAATGAAAGGAGAAAAAGGAGATGTTGGATTACCGGGTCCTCAAGGTCCTTCTGTGAGTCTTGCTATATTCTTTCAGTGTTGCTGTAAATATAGTCTTTTGGTTTTCTAACTACAGGTAGTTTTTGCTTAATGACTGCCCTGTTTAGTGATCATTGGAAGTTATGACCAAGTTATGAAAAAGCCAATTTTTTCATTTATGATCATTGCAGCATTCCCACTGTCCTGTGATCGAGATTTGGCTGCTTCATAATCAGCAGGCATTTACAACCACAGCATAATCCTACAATCACATGATTTATTTATTATTGATTATTTATTTAAAACATTTAAACAGCCACCTGTTTTTTAACCAGCTCCAAGTAGCTCCCAGTCAGAAATTAAAATAACATAATATCATATTAAAACTATGAAACTAAACAGGTCAAAACATTAAAAACAACATGATTGCCATTTATGGGCTTCACAGCCAAGTCACAGAATCAATGGAGAAAGGTGAAGTAAAAATGAGAAATCATGGTCACATGAAGTCTTCCTTAATGACCATGGGCAATTCGCTTCATGATTGTAGTGCAAGGGACATAGGTTTTGCTTAATGATTTTCATTTTAATTTACAAACTGCCCTGGGCTTTAGGAAAGGTGAAATAAAAAACAACCACAACATGCTCTAACAAAGGATTGCATAGCTAGCACATCCAAAGCATTACAGCTAATTGCACAGTCCCAGCAGATCAATGAGCCCCTGTCTGTTGAAATGATAAACTTATTTTCTAACTATATACATGCATATATTTTACACAGATCGTAGGACCTCCAGGTTCCCCTGGTCCACATGGTCCACCAGGACCTATGGTAAGCATTTTTAGCCATTTATCTATTGTGTAGTTCATGAATTAAAGCAATCCATCAGCATTTCCTGTCCTTGAAAACCTAGATGTTCAAATAACAAATAACTAATATTTGCAGGGGCTCCTAGTAGTAGAAGAGATTGGGGGAAAAGAAAAAAAAAGTGGTGTCAAATGTTTTTTTTTAATGAAATGTAATATAGACAGATATATGAAAGGAGTAATTTTGCAAAGATGCAAAATAACTTTTATATAAATGTAAGCAGCAAGTTCCTATTGATTCTGCTTCTGATAATTATTTTTCACATATTTTCAAAATCTTTAGAAAACACTTTGGAGCTGAAAATTGATAGAGGTTTTTAATTTGTTAGACTTGGCTTGGCTTTTATTAAATAATTAAGAGTTATTACTTAATGCAGTTTTGTTCAGCCATCCCTTCATAAGTTGCACACATGGACACATTCACATGCATACATATAGAGAGCCCCTCCAATATAAATATATGGAAATAATAGAGAAGTGCATCCTTTAAATTGTTATTTTTTATTTATTTTTAGGGACCTCATGGACTCCCAGGGCCAAAGGTAAAGAATTTAGTCCACAACTAAAAACATTTTTCCAATTTGTTATGCTGTCATTCTCATTAATCATGTTGAGGCACGCACTTAAAATTTTGTCCTTGTCTCATTTTTCTGTGAATTTTAAAAAATATTCGTAAACCTTTAAGCAGCTGCTTAAAATAAAATGTCAAAACATATATAAGGATTTATGGCAATTTCCTGTGTCTGTTCGACATCAATGTAACCTAAATTAGCTTTCTATAATGTTAATTATGGAGAGCCAGTATTAATATTTAGTTGTCTAGTGATAATTTCAAACTATGACATTTGAAGCTACCTTACAGAAAAGTTTAGGAAAACAGAGGACGAGTGTTTATGTACTTAAGAAGTTTTTTTAAAAAAATATTTTATTCTTTACTATTGTCTTTCAGTCTTCTAATCAAGCTCATTTTTCTCTTAACTTAATATGTCCTTTTGAATTATTTTGCCCATATCTTTGTATTTGAAAATCCATGTTCCTAACAATACTAGTCAAAAATCCACCATTGCAGTTCAAAATATTATATAAAATATATGGGAATTAAATGTGCATGCAAACATATTTTTCATGCAAACACATTTAGCCACTTCAAAAAGAATAATTTAAGCCCTAATACACTTTAATGCTATTTGCATTTATTTCATATTTCAGTCTTTTTTTTGAGAATGCAACTTTGTAATTACTATAACTTTTTATTTAAAAATTTATACTTTATTTTAAAAAGAATTAACTATGCCATGGTTTATTCACATCGGTTCTAAGTTCCCTTCTTCCTCCTTAATGAAATCATTCATATCTTTCTAGGAATTTCCAAATAGTTGTTGCTTTTATAGCTTTAGTAGCTAGAAGAAAAAAAACATATATATATGTTTTTTTTCTTCTAGCCAGGTTTTCCCTACGTAACCAAAGGAAAACCTGGCTAGAAGAAAAACACACATAAACCCTACGAAGAAGTAAGAAAATTGATACTATGCCTTTACAGGGAGGATATGGGTGTGGCCTACTGATGACAGCTAACGAGCTAGAAATGGATCTATTTAGGTCTCCCACCTAGCAGTAAGGGGGGGGCTGGGGGTGGCATTTCTGCCCAGCCTACCTGGCAGGGAGGTTGTTGAGGGGAGGGGAAAGGGTTGCTGGAGGGGTTTCAATCCGGGCACCGGCGCTTCTTTATTCCTTGGCTTCCGTAGACTCTTTTCCTGCCAAGGCTGCAGGCGAGGTGGGAAGGCAACGAACCAGCCACTGCGATAGACTAGATTAGATAGGGTGGGAGAGAGAGGGAGACGATAAGGAGGTAGGTAGATATAAAATAGATAGGTATAGACAGGTGTAAATAGAGATAGGTAGATAGATATAAATATAGATAGATGATAGATGATAGAGATAGAGAGAGAGAGAGATAGATAGATAGATAGATAGATAGATAGATAGATAGATAGTTATAGACAGGTATAAATAGAGATAGGTAGATAGATATAAATATAGATAGATAATAAATAGATGATAGAGATATATATAAATAGATAGATAGATAGATAGATAGATAAATAGATAGATATAAAATATAGTAAGATATTGACAGGTATATGTATATGATAAATAGAGATAAATATGAATATATATAGATAAATAGAGAAAGATAGTTATAGACATGTATAAATAGAGATAGGTAGATAGATATAAATATAGATAGATAATAAATAGATGATAGAGATAGATATAAATAGATAGATATAAAATTTAGTAAGATATTGACAGGTAGATAGATAGATAGATAGATAGATAGATAGATAGATGATAGAGATAGATATGAATATATATAGATAAATAGAGAAAGATAGTTATAGACATGTATAAATAGAGATAGGTAGATAGATAGATATAAATATAGATAGATGATAGAGATAGAATAGAGATAGATAGATAGATAGATAGATAGATATAAAATATAGTAAGATATTGACAGGTATATATATATATAAATATAGATAGATGATGAATAGAGATAGATATGAATAGAGATAGATAGATAGATAGATAGATAGATAGATAGAGAAAGATAGTTATAGACAGGTATAAATAGAGATAGGTAGATAGATGTAAATATAGATAATAAATAGATGATAGAGATATAGATAGATATAAAGTATAGTAAGATATTGACAGGTATATATATAAATATAGATAGATGATAAACAGAGATAGATATGAATAGAGATAGATAGATAGAGAAAGATAGTTATAGACAGGTATAAATAGAGATAGATAGATAAATAGATATTAAAATAGATGGCGTTGAGTCATGCTGGCCACATGACCACGGAGATGTCTTCGGACAGCGCTGGCTCTTGAAACAGTTGAGCACTGCTCCCTAGAATCGGGAACGACTAGCAGGTATGTGCGAGGGGAACACCTTTACCTAATTAGGATCCAATGCTTCAATTAGCTTATTTTGTCTTTCTTCTAGGTACATAAGTCAAGGTACATATTCCTCTAATTGTCTCTTTCTCTTTTAGGTACATAACATGTACAGAGTATACCCATTTTTACGGAGGGAAGAAAGTTGGTATGTGACCAGACCTGTTGACTCATTTGCTGTTTGTCTCATTTGCATGTCTTAATTTATGTTTTGGGTCACCCCCTGGGAGGAGGGTGTTTGAAGGAAGATGTCCCTCATAGTATCCCAGTTGTAAGATTTGTTGTTGTTAGTCGTGTCCGATCCATTGCAACGCCATGGACAACGTTCCTCCAGGCCTTCCTGTCCTCTACCGTCCTCTGTAGTCCATTGAAGCTCACGCCGACTCCTTCAGTGACTCCATCCAGCCACCTCCTTCTCTGCCGTCCCCTTCTTCTTTTGCCCTCCAACGTTCCCAGCGTTAGGCTCTTCTCCAGGGAGTCCTTCCTTCTCATTAGGCGGCCAAAGTATCTGAGTTTCCTCTTCAGGATCTGGCCTTCTAAAGAGCAGTCAGGGTTGATCTCCTCTAGGACTGACCGGTTGGATGGCCTTGCAGTCCAAGGGACTCGCAGGAGTCTTCTCCAGCACCAGAGTTCAAAGGCCTCCATTCTTTGGCGCTCAGCCTTCCTTACAGTCCAACTTCCCCAGCCATACATTGCAACTGGGAAAACCATCGCCTTGACTATACGCATTTTGGTTGGAAGGGTGATGTCTCTGCTTTTTAGTGTGCTATCTAAAAACAGAAAGTTGTAGGATAGGCTGAACTAAAAGGGAGAATTGACCAAAGTCACTTAATTGCAACATTTTTATAGGGTATTCATGCGAAGAAGAATGTGCTGAATGTGTGAGACATAATATTTTTTTTTCTTTGAATAGAAATTCCACAGTCCAACTTCCGGCGCCTGCCTTTTGATCACTGTAGGTAAGTTTGAAAGAAATCGAATCATAAAAATCGGAAAATCGGAAAAATGTTCCTTCGTTCCATACTTTTACAGGAGTCTTGAAAATTGCTTTTGGTTGGAATCAGTTTATACGGGTTGGGTTGGTCATTCTTCTTTGTTGGCTTAATATTATGCCAAATGGTTTCACAATGCTTTTTTTTATACGAAAATGGAATTCTTTTTCTCCATCCTAGCTTATCTTTGCAACCATTTGAATATCCAGTTTGCACACCAGATGGAACCATTTTTGACTTGCTGTAAGTTGTCTTTATTCCAGTTTCTCTTACATTACCTCTCTCTCTTATCTATCTGTCTGTCTGTCTATATCTATCTATCTATCTCATCTGTTGCTAAGTGAAATTTGTGAAGTGAATTTTGCTCCATTGTATGGCTTTTCTTGCTACCATCGTTGAGTGACTCATTGCAGTGGTAAAGTTAGTAACACATTGTTAAGTGCATCTGACTTCCCCATTGATTTTACTTATAAGAAGGTTGCAAAAGGGAGTCACTTTTTTCAGTGCCATTGTAACTTTGATGTTCTGCCCCAGCTACGGACTCCAAAGAACACAGCACACACAAAGTCCATTCAAACCTTATTTTACTAAATAAATCAGCTTTTTATAATTACGGCAGTTAATTAACTGCATTAACAGCCGCCAAGAATTCAAAGAATAATAACTGAAAGCTTACTGCGGTTGGCAGAATGCCCAGAAGCAATTTGCAGGAAGCTGATAAGATAAGCAAGACAAGACAAAGGTATGTGAATGAAGTTGTTCCCTGCAAATTGCTTCAGTCAGCGTTCCTCCTTAAATAGGCTAGGAGAGTGGCCAATTAGCTCCAAGCCTTACTTTCGAGGAGACCTCCTCCTGAGGAGCCACTCCTGCCTTTTGGCAGCTCTGTGCGCCCGTGCATCGAGAAGAGGCTCCTCCTCTTTGTCCTCATCACTTAAGGGAGCTTCTGGAGGTTCTGAAGGCCCTGACTGACTCCTCGCCTCTGGCACCACATCTTCTCCAGCCTCCTCATTGTCTGACTTGAGTGCCAGCTGCACAGGCTGCTGGCGCGCAGCACCACACCAGCCTCCTCGCTACCAGAAACAGCTACTAGCTGCACAGGCCGCTGACGGGCCGCAACATTTGAACGGTCTCTAAACGAACTGTTGTATGTCAAGGACTACCTGGGTTCAGATTGTAACCCTTTAACTGAGCATCCCACCTGATTATGTATGGGGATACATGTGTGTGTGTGTGTGTGTGTGTGTGTGTGTATGTATATATATATAAATTTATATTTTGCTGATAAAGAAATAAAGGGAGACTATACAAATGTACATACACATACACACACACTAAAAAAAGAAAAGATAAATTATATGCTACTTTTTTTAGAATCTGGAAACCATAAAATTCTATGGTGAAAGGCTATAAATTAAACAAAAATAAATGTACACATGGTTGCTCTTTAGAAATGTCATGGAATTCTATTTAGCAGAGGTAGTGAATTATTTTTATATATCAATTCTTTGTAAAATGGGTAGATTCACTGGTAATTATCATAGGTTTTTTAAATTATAAATATTGATTCAATTAGAAATACCTAGATTATTTTTTTTCAGAGCAAAAGAGTTCCCTTATCAGAGAATTTCAGAAACTTGAAATTTTAATAACTTTGGTTATCAGTAAGCATTTAATTACTTTTGGGGTAACTGTTATATTGTGGTCATTAGAAAGGATAAGCCAATGTATCACAGTCTTCCTCTGTTTAACTGATAATAGCCATGCTTAAAGGTTTGGAATATATTTTCATGAAATAATGCATATTTTAGTTTGCTATCTGAAGAAAAAGCCAGTTAAGGCAATGTAGAAAAAAATACTTTGTGATTCTGATTGATCAAATCACATTCACATTTTTTCTGACTTCATTAATTTTGTTGAAAGCCTGCAAGATTATGAATGGGTTTGGAATACATTTGCCATAAGCAAAATAACAGTAAAACCATATCCAAATTATTCAGAAACATTCCAAGATGTATGATTCAAACATGCAAGTTTATGTAGATAGTTTCATGCCACCTACTTTAATAGGAGTCATGACTATTGCCGTAAGAAAAAAATGTTATGATCTAGCAGCAAGATGATCTATTTTGATAAACATAACCACTTGTGTTAAAAAAAAAAAAAAACTGGATTTATATTCATATCCTTCACTGGCTCTCTTCTGTCCCAGCTTGAGTATCCCTGTCAGCATCTTCACAAAATAGCATTTATACTTTTATATTTAGGGTGAACCAGGGTTAAATGGTCTTAAAGGATTGAAGGGTGAACCAGGTCACAAGGGTGACAGAGGGCCCCTTGGTCTCCCAGTAAGTAAAATACTTCCATTTCAGTGCAGATTACAAGCTTCTCATTCTACTTTCAGCCCAAAACTCTGGTTTACTCAATAGCAAATATAAAGCTATCTCATGCTGAAGTAGTGTCTTTTTCTTAATCGAGTCTAATCTTGTATCATCCCATAGTATACAGTTTTGTTATTTGTTGCTTTTATATTGTTATTTGTCAGTTGGCAACATTACTTAAAAACGTGACTTTCTACCATTAATTATGCCATTATTTAAATGTTGTGCAATGTTTTGTTTAAATATTAACCATTGTCCACACAAAGATTGTCCATATGCTAACTGTAGATTTTTGTTTAAGCAGAGTGGCTGTAATTATAATATAGATATTTTAGGAGGCAATTATGGTTAGTATCCTAATGAACAAGTTTATGTAACAAAGTTATTTTTCATTTGCTTGTAGAAGTATATCTTCTATGATTTAACATTTTTGGGGAATTTTCTCCTTTGTATATTACTAATTCATTGGTAGTCAGTGAAGATCAATACAATCCGTATTTTGCTTTCTGGAAGTGTTAAGATTTTCTAAACACAAACAAAGTCATATCAGTGCAAAGTTCACTTCCTGAAATGAAAAACATACAAAAGTAAAATAACTGAGCAAATCTGTTCAGAAGGGGCATTCATCCAAAGTCAAGTCCTTTTAAATCCATTATAGAAATTCAGCAAGAGCTTACCTCTGTTCTGATAAAATTAATGGAAATATAATACATAACTTTGCTTGATCAAGGTGTGAAAATTCTCAAGGGCCACCATATACATAAAGTCTACCAAATAAAGCTATCTGGCATCTTTAATTCATTTTGGTATGTGTGTGACAGCACTGCATTGATCTTGTTCATATAATATCCACAGGGATCATATAACTCTTAGCAATACCAAATTGAGAGTTGCAAATTTGACAGATATTTCAGACATGATGGCTAAACTTATTGAAATAATTGGTAAAGTAGCTCTAATTTTAATATTCTTCCTATACTAATCATGACTACAAGTCACTACTACAAATCACTGAACTAGCTTGGAATTTATTACAGATTATCATTCAGTTAAAAAAAAAACAGAAATATTTAAAAATATTTTATGGTTTTAAATCTGTTATCGTCAGACTATATATTTAATTTTTATTGCACTACTGCTTTCTTAGTGTTTTAGTTCTGGTTATGAAAATATACTTATATCTTTGTTTTGCTTGAGTATCTCTTACTAACTTTTAAATAATGATGTTTTTATTAAAGATCAACAAACACTATAGCAAGCAAACTTTGTAGCACTAATGCATCTAAGGACTAATTCTGATCTCATTAAGCAATTCCACTAGTTAATAAGATTACTGTTATATAGCCTCTAGTAAAATCATAAACTTGTTGTGTTGTGTATGAATTTATAACTTATCTAATGTAGTAGTGTGGTAGTCATTCCTGTTACACTGTGTAATCTGTGTATTAAAAAGAAGTTGTACTTGTTTCTCACCACAGTTACTAATCTAATGTTCTTGTCATTCGTTGTTATCCCTGTCATCTGTGCTTCCGCTTAACTATATAGGGAGCATCTGGCTTAGATGGAAAGCCAGGAGCCCGGGTGAGTCTTTCCTGTTCCTATGTCCTTCTGCACAAATTGTTTCTCAGTGAACACATCAGCTGATTTACCATGTAATGCTGCCTGCTTATGTTGCAATAGAACTGACTAGGTTATTTATATACTGATATTTAGCGGAGGAGTTCTTGATAATGATAGACTAGCAATCTTAGTAGTGATTACTTAGCAATATTGTATCCTATTTTTTTCCCAGAGGGAAATGTTGGATTCAACTAAATTTATAATCTTATATATATATCAGGTTATAGATTGATAGCCCCTATGCTTATGTCCATGACAAATGACGTGACATAACATCAAGCTATAATATATAAGTTTAAAGAAGTCCACCTTTCTCTTTGTTATTGACGTCAATCCAGCCACTCTGGCTTGGCTGGAAAATTGTTGGAAAATTGGAGAGTAATGGAATAGTTTAATTGACCATAGAAAATGTCCTTTTTCAATGTGTCACCTGTCCCAACTATCTTTGTGAGTCTTTTTTGTGAATTCAGCATGGGATTTTCTTGTGTTATCTCCCTTTGTTTAACCTTTTAACTCTTCTTAGAAAAAGATCCCTCTATGTTTTAAATCTTACATAAATCTAAACAAGCAAGTAAACATTCAAGAGATAGAAAGAAGCACCACAGAGCTTTAAGGAATACAAGTGGGATTTCTGAGTCTACAAAAGCAACCAAGAGATTTGGAATCTCAACAACTAAACCATCATTCTAATCCATGTTCTTAATTGTTGACATCAAGCTTGATTCTATATGGATTCAATATAAAGCTTAATTTAGGTATTTCCAACCTTTTTCAGATCATGTTTTATTACTCTTCTAGGGTATGGATGGTCCCGTTGGTCCACATGGCCCTGCAGGTCCAAAGGGAGACAGAGTGAGTCCATGTCTGAGATGTTCAAATATACCTTAATAATATTTATTTATTTATTTTTATTAGATTTTTATATTGCCCTTCTCCTACTGGACTCAGGGTATAAACAGCCAAGAATAAAAACATCACATGCAAAATTTAAGATTAATTTTAAAAGAATTAAACAAGTTTTGGCCCAATATAAAATTTAAAACACCCCAACTAAAATCAATTTATAATTAAAATATCTAAAAATATCTAAGAGGGGGGTTCAAGCCAGCCCAGCTTGATGAAATAAAAAAGTTTTAAGGGCATGGCAAAAAGCACGGAGATCTGGGATCCTACGTATCTCTGGGGGCAGGTTGTTCCAAAGGACAGGTCCTGCCACAGAGAAGGCCCTCCCCCTGGGGGTCGCCAGCCGACATTGCCTGCCCGACAGCACCCTGAGGAGTCCCTCTCTGTGGGAGCGTACTGGCCGGTGGGAGGCTATCGGTGGCAGAAGGCGGTCCCGTAAGTACCCAGGCCCTAAACCATGGAGCGCTTTAAAGGTGGTAACCAACACCTTGGTTGTATATATTGTGTGTGTGTGTGTGTGTGTATGATTTATATGCCGCGTTAAGCAATAGGCTTCATACTTTTGTATATTTATACAAAGTCAGTTTATTGCCCCCACAATCCGGGTCCCCATTTACCTACCTTAGAAAGGATGGAAAGCTGAGTCAACCTTGAGCCTGGTGAGATTTGAACTTGCAGTAATTGCAGGCAGCTGATGTTAATAACAGTGCTTTAGTCTGCTGCACCACCAGGGCTCAGACATATTTGTGTGTTCTGTTCAAATTACTAATTAAAATATGCAGTGGTTGCATTAATACAAAATCCCTAACCTGATTACTGAATTTTCCCATACTTTAGAGTTACATAATACTTCCAGCAATAAACCAGCTAAAAGCACTGGGTTTTCACAACATATCAAGACTTACAGAGATAATTATCATGGTCATGATGATGACAGTGGTTACAAAAATCTACATTCCACCTAATATTATAATTCTTATACAAATGCAAAAGCACCAGACTGTCTTCAAAGATGTTAATAGGAAACTGTTTTATTTGCTGCACAATTCAAGGCTGCATTTATTTATAAATTTTGTTTCAACAGAGAAAATTTTATTGTCGTTCTGGTGCTAAGAGCTTCCTCATCAGAAAGAGTAGTATGCTAATAAAACACGTTATGAATAATGTAAATACTTGAGGTTTTTATGATATTCATACAAAATCATACAAAAGGCAGCTTTGCTTTTAGAAATGAATAACAGGAAGTTAGCATAGACCTATCACTATCTCTCATCTTGACTTATCTAAGGCTTCTTTTTAATAGCAATTTAATTAAAAATTAGAACCATAATAATAAAAAAACTAATACAAACTAAAAAAGGAAAAAAAGAAAAATAGATATAGAACAGAAAGCAAAAAGAAGAATATTGTAAAGAAAAAAGAAAACAAATATATAGAGAAATGACTTTCCCTTCATCACAAGTATAAACAATTTTAATAACTTATCACCTTCTCTTAAAATGCAACAAATGATTTCTTCTTCCAAAGAAATCCTTAAATGTCTCTTTGGGCTGCCAAAGGCTTGTTCTGAAAGCAAACATGGATCTTTCGTGAAGGGTAGAAATATGTGAAATATATTGCATAATAAAATCTCTTTACTTTATATAAGCAGCATTGAATTATTATATTTTAGGGTGAAAAAGGAATTGCAGGAGATCCTGGGCCCAGAGGACCATATGGTTTGCCTGTAAGTTATATGATTTTTCAGAACTGCAGTATTTGTAAAACCCTTCATTAAATCTTGGTACATTTAATAACTGTTCATCACAAAGAAATGCAATTAGTTTAAGTAGCAAGTCATGGCTCATGAGACTATCTACTTATTTCAGGTTTAGACACAGAGTCATCCTCTCAGCACACTTTGCAAAAATAATGAAGTAGGTTTGACAAAATAAGAAAAGCCAATATTGAATATCAACTCTTTTGTATTGCTCCTGCCATTTTTATAATTTTGTGAAGGTGTCCTTAGGCACCAAAATATACTAGTATGAATTTGTGTCAATAAAATATTAGATTATTTTTTTAAAAAAACCTTACACATCTCTCTGGAGGAAAGAGCAAACAGGTCTTAATTATGCAAACCATTTTATGCTGTTATGTTTTAATTTGCATTTGAAGCAAATTTGGTAAGAGTTGTTTCTGTTGTTGTTTTAAATGTTACATAATTATGTTATTGTCTTGTTTCATTAAATGTCTTAGGCAAAGTATCTTTGCTCATGAAAGATTGATATAAGTAACTGCTTGAATATTGCAATATATTGGAAAAAATTATTAAACTTTGCTGACATTGCAGGTATTTATAATGTGCAGATATTAAATTTTGTTTGATGTATATTTTATAAGAGGTATATTTATATGTAGATATGTATAAAATGAGGTGACATCTCCATATCAGTATAATTTTAGGATAAATATTTTGACAGAAATATTTTTCTATAGGTTGAATACTAAAGAATCATATATTTATACGTATAATCTGAACTTGATGTTGTTTATTTGAAAACATTAGAATGTTTGAAAGTAATTATTTTGTGGGAAATTTTAAATATTGAAATGTACTTAATTTTTCTTTGTGTCATGCATGATATCATTTATTCAAACTGCAAATGAAACTATTTGTGTATAAGCACACATGAAAGGGAGAGAAGGATAGAAGGAAACCACCCAAAGAGCACCTAAGCCAATTCATACTTTTGTATATTTATACAAAGTCAGCTTATTGCCCCCACAATCTGGGTCGTCATTTTACCTACCTTAGAAAGGATGGAAAGCTGAGTCGATAAAAAAATAATTGTATAAATTTATTTAACACATATTATTTTTTAAAAATAACTGATTAAACAGTATCACATTAGAATAAATCAGTCTTACCCATTCCTCCATCAGATTTCTATCTATCTGTCTATCTATCTAGCTAGCTAGCTAGCTATCATCTATCTATCTATCTGTCTGTCTATCTATCATCTATCTATCTATCTATCATCGATCGATCATATTTTTGAACCCAGCTCCCTTAGATAAATAGCTTTATTTAATATCAGAAAATGTTTTGCAAATGGAAGAGCGGGAAATAAATGCATATCCATTGACAGTGTCTGTCAACTAAGTGCTGTGTTCATTCAAAAGGACTCCAAACATGGCAGTGGTGGCTTCTGTATCAATTACTGAGAATCACTATGTGTTACGGAGGAATTTACTAAGCCGAAGAATGGCCATAGTTCCTTGGTAAAGCAAAATTGAGCCAATTGAGGCAAAAAGACTTGTCTGAAAATCTGAACAACTGTTGCCAAGCATTTTAGCCACTCAGATTAACATTAAGACTGCTCGCAGTGCTTTGGAAATATCTGTCTCAGATTTCAAACCACACTGTTCTTCTGCCAGCTTCCTTTGTGACTTCATAATATTTTTTCAGCAATTCAGGTGAATATTTCAGTAGAAATGTTTCAGCAAAAGTATTTATTGAAAATAGTTATGTAGGATAATTCCCAACTTTTTAGCATTCTCAATCTCTCCATGTGTCATATGGATAAATATTCATTCCTACTAACTATTGTTTAATTCAGGATACTCAGAAAGTGTCCACCCTAACAGATCCTTCAAGATTGGAAGATATGACTGAATAAAAGTGATCATATTCATAATCAGCTCCCTCAGTTCATAAACTAGACATTAGAGGAAAAGTACTGTATTAGTCTCTGGTGACAAAAAATCAGAGTCAGATAGCACCTTTTCTGATTAATAAATGTTATTAAAAGGTATAAGCTTTTGTGACCCTCTTAATAGCATTTGTTAGTTAGGAAAGGTTCTAGCAGATTCCCAATTTATACAAAATTAGAGGTCCTTAATTTGTACTAGAAGTCCTTTATTAACATTCTTTTAGGCACTTCTGAGCTTTCTTGCAGTGGTTCGATTGCTACTAAAATGACTTCACCCAATAGTAGACATGTTCAGAGGTTTCCCAGTATCCTAAGAATCAATAAGACAGAGTCTACTCAAATGACATTTTGCCTCATCCAAACTCATTATTGCAAAGTAACCTGAGTAGGAGTTCCAATGTAATAATCAACATACATATATTGCATTCCCTGACATTTAAATTGCTTGATATTAATTGGTCATTGAATATATTCAGTGCCATGGATTTCCATTTCCTTTCCTGTGCTCCATCGGAACTCGGAATAAGAGTTTAGAAGATTTTATTTTCATGTTTTGCTTAACATGTTGTCTAAACTAACAAACAGTTAACTTTGGTTTGCCGTAATATATAGCGCACTATTTCATGCTATTTTGCTTCAACAAAAGCATATTTAACAATAAAAATAATAACCCTAAGTGATACCTAAATATTTTCTCATGTTTAAGAGAGTACTCAGTATAAAAAGGGTAAATGCACTGTACGTGATTCTTCTTCATTCAGAGAGCTTCTTCTTAAGTCAGTTTTGGATTCAAAATTGTGTTTTGTACACAGCGCGTATCTGAATAATCCAGGCAAATATTTAAGCCCACTCAAGTTTTATAAGAGCCTGAAAGCTTAACCAAACTATTATGGTTATTTAATAGGGCAAAGATGGTGAACCTGGCCTTGATGTAAGTAATAATTGATCACATATTTGTCTGTGTGGTAGGTAAACATTTGTTTTTAGTAAATAGTCGCATGCTTACAGCATGTTGAAGATTATCCCATTTCCTATGCACGACAATCATGCAGAGATTATACTCAACATTGTACTGCCGTTTGTCTTAAAGTAACACTAGAGAAAAAAATAATAATACCGCCATAAATAGTACCCCTAATCGTTTTGCAGCAATTGATGCTAACTAGAGCACGGATAAATGACCACGGAATGACAAATGTTCGTACAATTCTGTATTGTTATAAGCATAATACTAAGTGCATCAAATCTTACAAATGCAGTCAGTGGTGCTCGAAAATGCAGTCACATCAAAACATCACCACAAGGCAACTCCTATTTGCAGTAACAGGTCCTCCAAGGTTTGGGGTGTTTTAATCATGTTATTATAAACCACACATTAAAAAAAAAAAAAAAGCCTGCCACTGCATTCTAAAACAGCGAAAACCTCATGGGAAGTTGTTCCCACAAGAAACTAGTGTTTCCAGGTTGCTACAGCATCTTTGATTGCACATGCTGACTGCAATTGAGTTATATCTTATCAGAATTAAATTAGAAGTTGTGGTTAGATGTTCCAGTTTGTGCAAATTCTGTGGAACGGAGAGAAGTTAATTAGAATGCTGTTGCCCATTTGTTCAGTACCACTAAACCTCTATGAAGCATTTGTCCTTGAACATTGCCAGCACTAATTTGCATGTAGGAAAACAAAGGTAATTTTCTATCAATTCTTTTTTAGTTTCAAACTGCTCGATGCAGTATTCTTGGGACTGGGGCTGCTGGGGGACATCTCATATAGCTCTACAGTAAAAAAAAATAAAAAATAAACCCACATATCAATATACAGAAGCCAATAGAGATATTTTTGTTCATTTTTTATAGGGATTCCCTGGTCCACGTGGAGAAAAGGGTGATGTAGGAGAAAAGGGAGAAAAGGTGACCTCAATGCTATTAACTGTTGTTTGATTACTTAGCTTAGTCAGTTGCTCTCTCTCCCAGACTTACAATTTGTCCCGTTAAGTTTTACTTTCTGCCTTCTGTGTGCCAAAAGGCTTATCACTGCTTTACTAGACAAAGTCATTTGTCAGAATGTGAAACCAAGCTTCTACTCAGATCCAAAAGAACAGCATATTCCATAATGGGAGAAAGTTTTTTTTCCCCTCCAAGACTCCTTGCAGTCTGTATTTGTTTATACTGTAGTTACTGACAAGAGACATTGGAGTAGCAATAGGACAGGAGACCCTGGTCCAGAGTGACAGCTTTTGTAAATCGATATACTGGTAGGGCTACAAACTTCAATTAAATGTGCTCTGTATTTATACTTTGTAAGCACCTGGCTTTATTGCTGAGAAGATGAAAACTAAGCTAGGAGCACTTTGGACTAATTCCGAAAAAGTTAATTGCATCAGATTCCTCCTGCAAGTGATAGCTAAACATATAATTAAAGCACTTAGTCCTACTGAGACAGCTTCAATATGCTTGTCATTGGATTGTCCTCACATACAATCATTGAATTTTTACTAGAATATGCAGTGTGGAAGCTCTGAAACACATGTATATATCCAGCCCATGCATGGATAAATCTCTCCAGTTCTTTATGTTTATTTTCACTGTGAGGCAAACTATGCACTCATACATACCCCAAACATTTATACATGTAAATGTAAACATCTTCTTTTTTAGTTCAGTGGGTGGTATTTAAGACATCCCAGCAGTTGAGGGATTTCCAATGTATTCTCTTTAGGTTTCTGTGAAAATTCAAATGACTTTCGATTCTGAATAGCAAAAGCAAGAAATGACAGGAATTCACATCAAACTGCTCAAAGCAGAAGTCCAAATTATCTGTAGGCTGGCTGTATCAGATTGCTAATAAACAAAGAAAGAAGCTTGCAGTAATAGTTATTTCCCACATTATAAAGACGAAACTTCTGCCAACCTAGCAGTTCGAAAGCGCGTAAAAAATGCAAGTAGAAAAATAGGGACCACCTTTGGTGGGAAGGTAACAGCGTTCTGTGTGCCTTTGGTGTTTAGTCATGCCGGTCACATGATCATGGAGACATCTTCGGACAGCGCTGGCTATTCGGATTTGAAACAGATGAGCACCGCCTCCTAGAGTCAGGAACGACTAGCACATATGTGCGAGGGAAACCTTTACCTAAAGATGAAAGAATGTCTTTATTGTGGCAGGAGATTACACTGCAGTCTATGCCCTTGAAGTGGTAGCTTCTTCTAGTCCCAATTCTGATGACCAAGCATTAGGCATGATTTTTTTGCTGGAGAAAGCCTATATTGTATATTCCTCTTCACCAGCCAGAATGGAAATCAATGTTCATACAGCCTACATATATGCAATGTTATCTTGAGCCTTTCTTCTTTGACTCATCCTAAAGCCTAGCCATAGAAGATGAAGAAGTCAAACAACTTTGGATGTGATGAAAGCAGCATAACTTTCCTATTCAGTTGTGTAATTCATAAAAGAGTTGAAAGATCAAACAGATGTAATTTTATAGGATAAACAATATTGTAATATTTCCTGGGGTTTGGGCAGAAAATGAAACCTAAATTGGGAAATCTGCTTTGGAATAGCCTGATGAGCTTCATACTGAATAAGCTTTGTTTAGGCTTATTCCCTCCTTTAGTTCATTTTCCAAAGTTTTCATGTTTTCTCTGTTGACTATGTTGGGGAAATAAATTCCCTGGAACAATTTCTAATTAACAGAATTGGGTGAAATATAACAGGGCTGCAGCACCACCTTCTGTAACAATGAAGTATAGCATAGAGAGCAGGGATTAAACTATGTCTGATTGGAAAAACTAAACTGGCCACCTTCAGCACCAATCTCTGTCACTTTCTAGAAACTGTATTTGGTCCAACCTTAGCTTGGAAATGTACCTGTTCAATCTTTTTTAATTGTGCTTGCCAAACTGGTTTAGGACAAAGCAGTAATGCTTCCAAAGTGTAGTATTTTTAGGAATAAAAAGAATATAGCAGGGATATTCAGGGAGAAAAAATTTAAGTGCGGTAAATTTTAATAATAATGGTAACTTCCATTTTTCCCCCAAGCTATTTTGTGAGTTTCTTCCAATTTACTTTGCTATACAAATGTATGCTTCCATGTGAGATCATAAACATAATTGCAGACCCTATACCTCTATCAAATGTACTAGATTTAGAGCTGAATAAGAAATGGAAGGGACACAGTGGCTCAGTGGCTAAGATGCTGAGCTTGTCGATCTGCAGTTCAGTAGTTCAAATCCCTAGTGCTGCGTAATGGGGTGAGCTCCTGTTACTTGTCCCAGCTTCTGCCAACCTAGCAGTTTGAAAGCACTTTAAAAATGCAAGTAGAAAAATAGGGACCACCTTTGGCGGGAAGGTAACAGCGTTCCGTGCACCTTTGGCATTTAGTCATGCCGGCTACATGACCATGCAGACGTCTTTGGACACCGCTGGCTCTTCGGCTTTGAAACAGAGATGAGCACTGCCCCCTAGAGTCAGAAACGAATAGCACATATGTGCGAGAGGAACCTTTACCTTTACCTTACTAAGAAGTGAATGAAAAAAAGACACTTTTTATAATAACTAATAGGCTATTCACACTTTATTTGTACTGTGTCACAGATTAGACCAGTGTTTTCAAACGCTTTCCTTCATTACCCAAAACCGTTTATCAAAAAGTTCTTGTTATTGCTTATATGAAAGTCCTTATTTAAATGTCCCTGTCATGATTGGGTAATGGGTTCATCAGTCATTACCCAAGAAAAAAAACACTTGTATCCAATTTGGGGTAATTTACCCAGGTTTGGAAAGCACTAGATTAGACACTAAACTCCAGACTGCTGTGTGCCTCCTACCTGTGTGGTTAATTATCGATTCTGTGTAATGTACAAATATTAAGGCAATTTAGGCAGCCAGAATTTTAACTTAAATGTCAGTAAGCATATTATGTGATCATAACCACAGAGTCACTTGGTTCAGAGATAATTGGAAGATCTCCAAAATCAGCTTGAGAAAAATAAGATGCAGTCCATAGAATAACAAAATATTGCTTTGAAGGCTAAACTATATTCTTACATGTTCAAAGAACAGCTGTTTAAAGAAGAGCTGGCAGAGTTTAGAGAAGTAGGATATCAATCCTGAAAGAGTAGTATTGCATCATTGTATACAATATCATTACCTGGTGTTTGTTTTTCCTGGACATCATTTATTTGCTGGCTGAGTTAATTGTAAAAGAACGCCGAACTGGCTCAGTCAGGTCAAAATTTGTCTTATGGAGTCAATTGTGCCGAAGTGCAAAATGAAATTGCTTTTGAAACTAAATAATTTGCCCTAGATATTCTAGATGCAAATAGGGAAGTAATATTTAAACTAATTTTTCCCTTAAAATTTATTAATATGGTAATTTAGTATACTATTTAAAACTTATAAACATTAGGCCAAATTCTAAATCTTGTATCAATAAAAAAGTGCCACATAATTATTCCCTGTCAAATTTGAAAAGTGTGGGAAGCCATATTTTTGCATAAGCAAGATTAAAAGGCCCAATTTATTTTCCATTTATTGTTCCCTCAAGTTATTCTAATCCATTTTTGTTGGCTCGTCTGATTCATGGTTTGATCAGAATCTACAGTCAGGGTTTGTTTATTTCCTTTTCTGAAAACTTTTGTTTATAGAATAGAATAGAATAGAATTTTTTTATTGGCCAAGTGTGATTGGACACACAAGGAATTTGTCTTGGTGCATATCCTCTCAGTGTACATAAAAGAAAAGATATGTTCATCAAGAATCATAAGGTACAACACTTAATGATAGTCATAAGTTACAAATAAACAATCAGGAAACAACATCAATATAAATCGTAAGGATACAAGCAACAAAGTTACAGTCATACAGTCATAAGTCGAAGGAGATGGGTGATGGGAACGATGAGAAGATTAATAGTAGTGCAGACTTAGTAAATAGTTTGACAGTTTGAGAGACAGTTCTATGTACTGTAACATCTTTATTCACCCATGCCTCCCTTCCAGCTTAAAGTGGCATCAAAGCACTCTTTCGTCTGATTTTTCCCTGGGCTCAGAGTTAGCCCCATTTGTAACTCATATTTGGAAAAATGACTTTTTAATGTAGAACTTAAATTATCAATATTAAAGATAAAGTCTATCAGGTAGATCTAACCTAAATGGAAATGCAGTTTTTCATAGTTAATTCCTTTGACTAATAGTTTCTGAGTTATATCTTCAATTGTTCAGTTACTGCTAAGAGCTCCCCTCACCATTTTAAAGTCCTTCATATTTTGGCTTACTGCTGAAACTGATGAATAAATATTAGTTGTAGGATATAATACAGTATATCTCTCCATGAAATTGTGTTTGACACTCATTAGATGTTTTGTCTTATGCCATAGTACATTGTGCATTTTGTACCACTTTTAAAATATATGTTAGCACAATAATTTGATATGTTAATTTAATTTTGGAGGGGGGGGTTCATTGAGTGACTTTAAGAATGCACTGCTTTAGGCACTGAAGTGTTAAATATTATATCATTACAAAGCAATTGTTCTAAATATTTATTTTCTGCTGTAAATGGATGCATATTTTTGATTTGAAAATGAGTGACTGTCTATTCCTTATACACCATCCTAATCTTCTCTGCCTTTTCCGAGGTGCATTTCTCCCTTCTCCTCTTACCTTGTTTCCTTAAAATTCATCTGGTCTTTTTTACCCTTTTCCTTGCAAATTAAATCCTTCCTTCAGCTTAGACCTTGACAATCATTCCTTAGTTCTGCAGTACTAACTGTCTTTCTGTTGTATCTCCATTACACTAATATTCTTAATTTGTGTGTGTCTATGTGTTTAAATAGAGTTACTTTTGGTTTTGTTAAGGACTGTGAGCCTGAAACTCATTTACCATTGTAACTGATCAGGTGTGAAAACAATTCTAAATTAGTTGTCAAAGGTGTCCTCTATTGCCTTCTGATAAAGCCATTTTTCTCAGGTAGCTGTTCTTGTCTTCAAGTATTGCATTTGTGTAGTGAAATCTGTTTACAGAAATCTCTCAAGTTCTCAAACTAAATATTGCATATTTTCTTTGAAAGAATGTCTATTTTCAGACAAAAAAAAATTCTAATTTAGTCACATGAATATTTTAATCCAGGAAGGATGCCAATGAATGTACATTTGAATATAGAGCTCTAATGTGGAAACGCATCAGAATACTAGATTGAGACACATGGGTCTTCAGAATCCTTTCGCAGGTTTGGACAAGGAATTTGAACTTTATCACTTAATTTTCTTGATTGGCTTTTCCAACCTAATGCCTTTCAGTTGTGTTAAACAGGATTTTATCTTCTATTATGGTTTTATTTGCAGGGCTGTCAAATTCATGGCCCATGGGCCAGATCGTCATGCACTGGCCACACCCATGCCCACATGACGTCATGACTTTGACACCCCTGTATTAGGAGGAAAGCTGATCCCTAACCCAAGCCCTTTACCTGAATATTTTAAAAAGGAATTATCCTAACATGTTTGGTTAAGATCTTAATAGAATTCCTAAAGAAAAATCAAGTGGTACAACTTGCAACAAACTGAATACATTAAAATTTGTCCCTTTAAATCCAACTTTTTTTTCTTATTGTGAAGCCAACTCTGAGATTCTAACAGTGCATCCAGTTTAGAAAAACTGAGATGTAACATTTTTGCAACCTTATCAGGCCATCTGTCTTCTGAGAAAGAAACCTCATCACCAGATTGGAAAAAGCTGACCGAGCTCTAAAACTGATGCCTCGGTGTATATTGAGATTATTCTGAACTGGGATTGTGCCCACGTGCACAGATGTAGTTTCTGTAAGGATGAGCAGTTTGATATAGGCAAAGAATTTTCTCTTTCCATTGGAAAAAGAGGAAGTCCTTGTGGACAGGGTCTTACTATTTAACGCCCGTGATATTGAGAGACACTTGCCTCTAAAAAGATGATTGTGCATATAATAAGCAGAATGTTCTTCCCCATAAAATGTAAATCTATCCAAGGAAAACAGTGATCTTTTTGCAAAAAATCAAGCCCAGGAAAGCAGACCCAACACAACTGTTAGGAAAACTATCGCAAACCCTTGTTTTTTAAATGACTGGCAAGTTTTTGATGACCCCTTAGGATGAAAAAAAATCAAGCTAATTCACAATTCCAAGTCCTGCTTTAGGATTCAAAGTGCCTGTCCTTGTTGCATTAACGCAGAAGAGCAATATAACCAAACTGATGCAGTTAATGCTTCTGATCATCATATAACTTATTTTTCTACCTAATGCATCCTGCAAACTAGAACACAGTGGTAAGTGTCCTTTCAGCCCTCCATTGGCTAATAAATAACAAACTTTTAAAACAGATCTTTTTGATTCCCTGAAAAAGAATAAAACATGTGTTTTATCCAAACCATTGTGTCCACAGGGGGAAAAGGGAAAGAAAGGCAAAAAGGGGCCTAAAGGGGAGAAAGGAGAACAGGGTGCCCCTGGATTAGATGCACCTTGTCCATTGGTATGTCTCACTCATCTATTGGAAATGTCTCCTCTTACAGTAGATAATATAGCAAGATGTCATACTGCCAAGAGGAGCAAGCTACAGTTTGAGCAAAGTTGTTATTCATTTAAAGACTTAATGCACTTTAAACATAATCATGATCTGGCCTGTTTCCATGTAAAATATCATTTGAAGTTTTTCAAATTGTAATTAATGGAAGAGTCTTCCATAATTTGCGGTGCAGTGGCTCATGTGCGACCTCATGTTTGCCATATAGATCATCTGTTTAGCTACAAATCTAAGAAGGGAAGGACCCACATTCTTCTGTGGGTCTTCTTCTGGTCAGCTTGCTCCTCTTTTTTCTATTTGCTTGTTCCAGCAAAGTTGATGTAAAAGACATTTCTTAGTAACGTTGCAAGTTAATCTTTACAAACAGGGATTCCGTGGAATTAAGGGGGAAAAAGGGGAGCCAGGCCAGCCTGGTCTGGATGGGCTGGATGCCCCTTGCCAATTGGTACAGTATTGCTCTTTCCTTCCAACCCTGCATGTGATTCCTATATTTCTAATCAGCTGTTTCCAATGTAAAGTTCACAGTAACCAGACTTTACATTATATGTGCCCATACATGCATGTGCATGATTAAAGTGGCCTGCCTTGGTGATGATAACAGTATCCAGAGATCACTCCACCTCTCAGCATCAGCAGTATAATACTGGCAAGTCATATTTGCATTGCACAGTGGTTCTGAAGTTATTTTACTCCAACATCTGTAGTGAAATACAATTTTCTATTTAAGATAGTTATCTTTCTTCCCATCCTTCCCATCACCAATAAAACATGTTCTGCCATACTTAATATTAATGAAAATGCCCTCTTCGCTGATACAGAATAGATCCACAGAATCCCATGACTGAACTACTGATATCACACATCACATTAATACTTGCCCTTCCCATAAGTGTGAATTTCATCTGACCTCACTCATAAATGGGTTTTATGATTTTGAATCATAACTATATTTGCATGTTCTTTATTTTTTTTAAAAAATGGCACTGGAGTAATAAAGTATATGCTTCCAATAGAAGAGAACTTCCTCAAGGTTAAACTGGGGAGCTCCCTGAGTTTGGTTTTTTGCTTGCAGACATTTTGTTATCCAACTAGGTAACCTCACCTATTAAGTGTGGGGCTTGTTCTCAACTCCCACCATCAGTGACAGGATAAGCTACTGTATATAAACAGGGAAGAAACCATACACTTACTAGCACTGATTATGTAATGAAGTGTCTGCAAACAAACAACCAAGCTCAGGAACCACCAAGGACTCCAGAGTATATGTGCCTAAGAAAAGAAGAGAAATTCTCATTCAAAGCACATAAGTGTAAAACCAGTGATACTTTCCTGGGTATGGCTTCACTGGGAATACATATGTCTCAAGCAAAATAATATCTCTTACGTGTCTATTCCTGTTAACTTTTGCAGGGTGGCATGAACAGCCAACCTATGCAAGGAACTCTTAATGTCCACACACTAATCCTTTGACAACCTCTGGGGTTCCTGTTCCTGATATTCCATTTATTTGCTTTGACTATCATCTGTTCTCATTAAGCAAATGAGGAAATTGAGAACTTGGTTTGCTCTTTGCTTTTGAGCAAGTGTACAGAAGGAAGCTAAAGAGAGTGAGTGAACAAGTGGAAGGTATGATCTGGAGTTAGCATTATCTCCATGCTTGACCTTCTGCTTATCTAATAGATAGATGACAGGGAGACAGACCCACTGTGTGCTTAAGGATCAGGGCAAACAGTTCCAAAGAGTGCAGACTTTACCTACATTAATGGAGGGGATATAATGATATAATATATTACAATAGGCAGTTTAACTGGAATGCTCAGTTTAGTTTTTGTTCTGCGATTTCTGGATTAGATTTATACTTAGTTATGGGACACACCAACTAAAGGATACATTGAGCACAAGATTGTTAAGATTAGGTTATAAATATTCTTACATAGAATTATATAGTTATGTAGGTTATTTTGACAGGGAAATGTTCTTGAATAGATTTACCTGTCTGCTATTCCCGTGATCACACCTACTACAGATTGCAATGTTATGTTCACTTCAAAATAAGCTTTATGAATCCTTCATAAGGAATTAATGGCCTGCAGCCCAAGCACTTATTGTCTGTTTCTTAAATGTTTCCAGCATAACAGTCTTTCCTTTGGATCTTAATTTCCCACAATACATACAACAGTCCCTTACTCTTTGCTAGCATGAATTCAAGCACCTGCCTATACTAAAATTCTACTTGTTGATCCCTTTCCCTTGTACCAATCTGGCAAACATTTCAATATTATGAAAATATGTTTTTTTTAATAAAAATCATCATCTACACATTTCTAGAAAATGCCAAAAACATTTTAAAGGGTAGATATATTTGATCTGCATGTTTTGATACTGTGTGTATAGTTTAAGCACGATTCTCTAAAAATGAATGGGAAAGTTTAGTGGATTTTTTTAAGCCTATCTATAATCTAAATTGTCAGGAAAGTCTTTAAGTATAAAGTCCATGTTTTATTTTGTTTGTCATTGTTTAACAATAACCTATTGTTATATATTTGATTGCAAATAAATAAAGCATGCCATCATAATTCTTTAAAGTATATTTGACAGTATTGGTTCTGTCTGGAAATCAATGAAAACTGTCCTCTAAGGCACCTGTTAGCAACTTTTTGCTTAGCTGTTTTTGATGTTCATTCAAGTGTATTTCCCCCCTCTTCTACTCAGTCATGTCCAATGGACAAGTCCCTGCAGGATTCTTGCAAAGGTTTTTCAGAAGTGGTTTACCATTGCCTCCTTCTTAGGGCTGAGAGAAAGTAACTAGTTTAAGATCATACAGCTGACTTTGTGCCTGTGGCAGCACTAGAACTCACTCTTTCCTCACTAGAACTCACAGCTCTCCCAGTTTCCAACCTGATGCCATAACCACTATTCTAAACTGTCTCTCTTTATTCAAATTATCAAATTATAAACTAAGGAAGGAGAATGTTATCCTAACATTCAAGTAAATGTTTTACTAGACATTGCAAATATGTTTCATTTTCTTATAATTTTCAAGCAAATTCTGTAACATAAAGGCTCCCCATATATTTAAGTAGTGATCGAAACTTCCCAATGAGAAATACATAATTATCAGAATCCAAATTCTTAGAATTAATAGTACCTGATAACATACTACAGTATCTTATAATTGGAATAACATTTGGTCTCTTATCTTTCAGAACAAAGATATGCCATTGTTTGCAATATTGCACAAATACACTATGTTGACTCAACCTGATATAATTGATCTGAAGTTAATAGGAATGAAATCTCTCTATTTAAAATAAGAATACAGTTAAGACAATAGAACTAAACTTATTTGAACAAAATTTTTGATTTTAGTCAAAGATAGATACCATAGATTTAACCGATAGCAACTTAAAATTAAGTTACTCTGTCTTATTAACAATATCCAGTATTGTTCAAACAGCAAAGAGAAAAAGTAGTCCACAGGCCCCCTCTTACCTACTAGCTGAAGCAGACTTTATAGAGTAGTTTCCAAAGTAGAAAATGGATGATTTTTAGCATTCATAAGAACCTGAACATTTACTTTATAAATGTAAATCCATCAAATTAACCAGATTCAATAGTTTAATGCTTCTATATTAGCTTAATAATGTCTATCAGCATCAGTTATGGACACTACCTTTTCATAATTTCTGAGAACTTATATTTATTTGGTTTTCCTTCATATACTTTTAATTTCAAACATTGCATATTGAAAATGTGCCATCATATTTGAGTGTAGCTAAATTATATTATTTTGTGAAAGTAATTCCAGTACATTCCAGACAGAAACGATGCTTGCTTATGGAAGGTTGTTTTGGTTATTTTATATTTTTCCAAGTCTATCTAATTTTCTTGAGAAGGACTAACTAATCCTACTCAAAACCAAAAGATCTATAACATGCTTGGGATTTTAACTGTCATCCATTATCACTATTATATATGGATCAAAGCCATAAATATGTTTGCATGGAATAAGGCATTTGTTAATGTATGGTGTTCCTCTGAATTGACTTCAACTATTTGTACGGTCGTATGGCTGCAGTTAATTGTTCTTCTGCAAGCATGGGGGATATATGATTATATACATAAGAACTTCAAAAATTGCCATGTACTACATCTGTTATATTGTTTGAATTTTGCTCATTTTCCTAAGTACAACTGAGGCATGGAATGATGTTAGCATTGGTGTGGTGTATTATCAAACTTAACAGTATACTTTGATTTTCCTTATTCCAACAGGGGCCAGATGGGTTACCAATGCCTGGTTGCTGGCAAAAGGTGAGATCACTCAATTACTCTTATGCTTACCATTTTAATCTCTCAATATTATATATATACCATCAAGAATCAGTAGGCAAAATGACATCTGTCACCCCAAGGAAAGAATATAAACAAATGAAGAAAAAAGCATTGCTGATATCCCTTTACTAACCAGTTTTTAGGAAGAAGGAAGAAAAACCTTTCTTCCTCCTTTAACTTCTATAAATTGAGAGTACTTTACTCTGTGGAAAGAACTCCACTTACATATCTCTTTATCCAGCTTAGTATTATTTATATAATTGAAACATATCTTTGAACAATACTACTAATATTGCTAAAATGTTTTTCTTTGTTTCTTTGCAGTGATGAATCTAACTTGCAAGCATGAAGTTGTGTATATAATACATCACCTCCAGTATTTATAATTGAAAATGGAAGCATTGGTTTTACAAGTTTGAAATATGTTTACATAGCACTGCTTCTATTTGTTTGTAGTAGTCATGTGTATATATGGCTGCAATCTGGCAAATATAAACTGTGCAATAAATGTACAGAATCCAAATATTCTGTCTACAGAGCTAATCCCAATAGAGTGATCATTCATAGATATTTGAATTGTTTCTGTAGTTTTCCTTTTTTACATTTTGGGATTTTTTTTTTACTTTTATTTTTTGGTTGCAGTCTTGTTTTATTTGGCTTGTGGACAAGCTTGGAGAAGTGCCATGAATTAGGTTACATTAATTTGTGACCACAAATGAACTTGATAATAGACTGCCATTGGAATATAATAATTCTGTTGCCATGTTCACCCTCATAAACTCTTATTGGTGCTCCATTGCCCCAAACTTGCTTGTGCAAAAGCATGATTTGTGTGCTAAAACAGCTTGTTGTGCTACAATGGTTGCTTGCTGTCATATGCTACAATGGCTGCTTGCTGTCAATTTCACTTGACACATTGAATTGTTCTTTCTGTCATCTCAAGGGAGTCACACCATGGCTTATTGCAAAAAAATGATACGAAGAGATTAAGACAAAGCTCTTGAATTTGGAGGGAACTTCGGTTCCTTCTGACGGTGGATGGCCTTCAGTCTTCTGGGTTATGAAACCATCTTTGTGAAAAAGAAGGATGATATCTGTTCATCAGCCTCTGTTTGCTTGCATTGCTCACAGTCAAGAAGCATGGATTTCCACACATGTTGGATAGTTTTACCAAGAATGAAAGAAGATGAAGATCATGCTTTATGAGTAAGATGATTGAGTTGCAGAGACATCAAATGGAACATTCAATGATAGGTCTTAGTATCAACTGGTGGACAATGTAATCTTCAAAGACTGCTACAATATGTGTTTCACATGTTGTATTTTCAAGGTGATAGAGGAAGTGCTTTGACAAAAGTCACCATAAAATGCCTTCCTCTCATATAATGAAATGCGGTTGACTTTTCATGGTTTACCATTTGGATTTTAGAAATTCCTGTGCAATGGCATATGCATGTACAGGCTTGGAGAATATATTTAATTATAATTGATCAATGATTAAAGCAAATAGCCTCCTTTGCTTTCATGCTTATAAACATTCAAGTTTTGAAGAACAAACATATTTGTGTTTAATTTTTTTCAGCATTTTTTTTTAGGCATATACTGTATAAGGACTTCTTCAAAAGTAACGTTTTTTTAACTCGTTCACCTATTCATTTTTAAAAAATTATTCTACATCACTGTTGGGGTTCCAGGACCCAAATAATATGGAATTGGTAGGAGCTACAGTATAGGCTACTTTGTATCTCAAATATATTGCTATTTTCATTATTTTTAAAAAAATATTTCATGTCTCTGTTTTGAACCGTTCTATTTAATATGTTTATATTTAAGCTTATATTCAAATGTATGCTTGTAGGCATTCTAAGAAGCTAATTAATGTTGCTAATTATTTTGCTGGGGGAGGGGAAAATACTGTTATTGTTCACATGGTCATTACATTTAATGAATGTTCTGTAACTTTTTAAAGGTCTGACCAAATAAGAAATTCCATACACTTTCAAAAAAAGTCAGAGGGATATTTTAAAATTAGATTATCAAATAAATATTCATTGCTGAAAAAGTCATTTTTATCAGCTTAAAAATGGAATTATATTTATCACCGTACCAAATATTAGTTAAATCTCAGTACTATTTTATACCCTTAGTATATCCCTTACTTTCTTTTTTAATTTATTTTTTTGTTTACAGACCATAGTGTTTCAGTAATAACCTCTCAACAGCAGTGGGAAAAAATTTAGTGCTCAGGAAATTCAGAGAAATGAATGCCTGCTTTTAATAAATATTTTCTTGATGTTTTATTATATTTTTATCAAAATTTGTCCTGTCTGCATGAAAAGGTAGAATTAAATTTTTTGAAATGCAAAAATAGGAGAAATTAGTTTGTGTATGCATGTATGATTGTGTACACACACATAAATACATGTATTTCAGTATATATTAACAGATATTTTCTCCATGTAATGAAGATATTTGTTTGTAAGATAGAAATCCTTTTCTCTTTTTGAGGAGAATATCTCCTCCTCAAACATTTTCCCAAATCTACTCTGAAGAGTCCTCCAGGGAAAAACATTATGTCTGTACAGCCAATGGTAGTGAGAGAAACAATTGTCTCCATTTTTTCTGGCTGATGGATAATGTTGAATTCCATCCATAGGCTTCCTGTATATTAATCTTTGTCAGGTGTGTAAAATCAGGACCATACATGAAGTTCCAATTAAACTGATTTATCACTACTCATTCCTATTGCACAGGAATCTGCTCAACTAATGATTAGCATTATTTTGTCATTAGATAAGAGTCAACTGAATTCAAGAGGGATTAGACTTAGTCTATTTATGGATATATAGAAACTATAAGCTGATTCCTCTTTTGACTCTGCCACTCCTTTTCCTACAATCTTTTATGCATTTCTCTGTAATGTAAACTATTTATTACTCTATCTTCTCAAACCCTAATCATTTAATTTTAAATCTGATCAGATATTACTTATATATAAGCATAATGCCCAAACACTGGGCTGCACATTCCTAACAGATTGTTTATGAGGGTCATTACAGTCTGAATGGCCCCAGTAAGAATAAATTTAGGTGTTCAGATGTGCCATTTAAAAAGTATTTTTTAAGGTTTTTTTCCTCCACTTCATAGGAGTTTACATATAAAATAAAATACCTGGGACTATGAGTGTTCCTTATATTCTCATTAAACATTACCTTTCTTTTTATGTTTTTAAAGCTAGTAATAATAGCTCTATGAATACAAGATGAGGGAGCAGAATAGTTAGGCTGCATGGAAATATCAAACATGTGGCTTTACCCTATGGCTAAGCATACTGATCAAAAATAGAAAATGGTTGTGGAGACCCCTTCACAAATCAGGCCTATGACCCTGGTTTGTTTGTTAGTTTATTTTTCAGTTGATATTTAAATGAGTTAATGATAGGATATCAATCACTAAGTTTAAAGTGAAATTGTACACTTGCAAATGTTTATTAATTTGTGTGCAGGTTGATGGAAAGGAATCTAGTCTCTACAGAAATTAACAATATATGAACTGAGAATATGAGCATGTAGCCATAAATTAACAGAAGCAGCAATTTGTCTTACGACAACTGTAATTTTCTAGCTATAGCAATCATTGGAAATGTTTGCTGATTTTTTAAAAAAACACTTGCTGTTCCAGGCTATTCATAGATTAATTCTTATTTATATTGTTAAAATCAGGTCCATTATATTGATATCATTGTGATAAATCTACATCTACTAGATCTACTAGATCTACAATCTAGTTAGATTAGCATAGCATACTTTATTGCGGTCATAGACCAAAAAACGAAAACATCCAAGGCACGTAGCTGGCACACGACCAGACTGAAGTGCAAAACGACAAGATCAGTGGTCTAGTTAGATTTTGAAGAGAAGTAAAAGGAGATAACACAATGGTGTCTGGTTCTTAAAAATTCCTGTTAAAAACAAAAATGTGCTTAGTCTGGCTATGTAGTTGTTTTCTGAAGACTTGTAGTGCCTTTATGTTGATATTTAAGAATTAGTTTGGTGCTAAAATGTTTTCTATTCTTCTTGCAAAGCTCCTCCAAATTAGTAATTTACGCAAGTATATTACAGTTTAAATTGCATTTTTTTCTTTTTGTTTTTAAACTTGCAAATTTTTATCTTACAATGATATAGATTTTTTGTTGCCTATTTTTGTTTTTATATCCTGACTGGAAACAATATATATTCGTTTACTTCCCGTTTCTAACTTTCCTAATTACTTCATCTTTGGAAGTTTTCCCTCCCAGCAACATTTTTTGGGTACTGTTTTTCATAGGTACAAAGAAATAACATATTTTTGATGAATCTTTCCTGAAATCCCTTAAGGTGTTTCATTTTCAAGTCCACAAAGTGAAGTATTATGTGTAGAAGACATAATAGTAGGGATAAAGTGTCAACCATAGCTCATAATATCCAAAGCTAAATATTTCCTTTCCTGATTTTATCTCATGGTTAATTTAGAAAAATAGACTAATATATTGCCCTCCACTATATAAATAAAAAGTATAACAATATCAATATCAATCTTATCAAGTATACCAAAAACTCTCCCAGCAACTTGTTTAATGTATGCAGTTAAATAGAAGGATAAGAAGAGAACTATATGTAATGTAGTGGACTTGCAGAGATATTCTCTTGTGATGAGGTTAATCACCTCAAGGAAACTTGGCCTATGCTCTGAAGTGATAGTATGTACTCTATTCTTTACTATTTATAAACTATTTAAAAGAGAAGCACTGAAAAAGGTAACTTCCTGTTTATCTTTATATCTGTCATTAAAAACTTGAATAATGTCCTCTCCAGACAGTATTATGTAGAGTGCTGAAAATCTGTGTGAATGCTTCACTTTTGCTGAAATAAAAAGTGCCAAAATATTAAGACACTTTAAGAAATAGGCCAGAGACAATCTAGGAATCACGTTGGACATCCCTGATGGCCAGTTGGAATGCCTGGATGGAAGCCTTGTTTTTATAGGGTATTGTTAGCCATAAGAATATGTTATTAGAGTTGTTTGTATAACAGAACTGTTTTGTATCATAATTTTAAATGGAAATGGAATTACGGACATCTTCAGATAGATAAGGTTAAGATTATACATTTTTTGCAAGCTTCCTAATTATCATTACTATTTTATTATGTGATTTTTAGCTGTACATCTGTATCTTTTGTCTATTAATGATTTACAATTTTCATACAATAAGCTATACTGTACCTTAGAAAAAAATATATTACGAGAAGTTAGCAGGCTCTTTATTCTGGAATTTCAGCTATTAATATTGCTATTAAGTGCTGAAGGGTTTTTTTTTCTTACCCCTTTTTTCCCCCTATATGGTAAGAATCATATAGCAAAATCCACCAAAACCTTTTGGATCATGGTGGTTTAAAACAACAACTAATAAATAACTGGTTCATTCATATTGATTTGAATTGTAAATTTGAAATGGTTTTTTTCAGCCTGTCCGAGGGCTGGCTAGATATAGAGAGATGTTTTCCCAATACAGCTGTCCAAACATAAGACAGCTAATAGTTTTCAAAACTATTAAACAATGGACAGGGCCGAACATTTATTTTTTAAAAAAATTACTATTGAAAGGCATCTTTCTTTTTCTTTAGCGAACAGGGGCCTTATTCAGTCTTACTATATATGTTTAATGGAGTTAAATGAAACTTCAGCAGTTTCCACAGTTGTATTTGGTACTGGTGATATTTTAAAAACATTTCATATGGGGGTAAATGTATGGTTTTTTTTTTAACATATTCTTAACGTTGTCCGAGCTTGTCCTGGGCCACTATCTTGAACAAGTGAAATGGAACAAATGAGAATCTTCTCTAATGTTCATACATGTCAATAGATTGGGCTTGTTCATTGTGGATATTATGACATTGTACATGTTGGGAAACTATAATAATTTACAACCTATTTTTAAAGGTGTATGTATCTGGTTTGGGCTTGGGTTGTTTTTGTTTATTTGTTTGCTTGTTTTGGAAAATATTATATTTTATTTGCTTTTTTACTTTTTTATAATGAATCTGTATGTGCAGGTATTTCCATATTTCATAATGATATCTGTTAAAAGCAGAAATCTGCCATTTGGGGAAAATTATTCCTGCTTGGAATAAATCATTAATACTGTAAGCCATTTCATATCACATTCTAAGTATAATATCATGGTAAAAACAATGTTTGTTTTTAAGCCACCATTTTTATTTGATATTAATTTTTGTATTGTTGTAGCCTCTGGTTAAGAATTAAAACAAGACTGAGCTTTGTCAAATAGGATGAATCATTTTCTTTAAAAAAAAAAAATTCTGGTTCTTCTTATGCTTATAAATGTTTTAATTGCTCCTGTTTTAGTTTTGTATTTGGTTTTTGTCCCAACTTTGTGAGAAGTTGAACTTCAGAATTATTTTTACACTATTTATGACTTATTTTCATAATGTAAAAAGTGTGTATTATTAAACTCTTAATCTTATCGCTGAGATTGGTTTTCCATGTTGTAAACATTATTTGCTTGCCTTTGGTTGTAAAAATATTCAATACTTAAAAAAAAAGTTTTCCTGAACTATATTTCTTTGATAGTCTCCTGTGAAATGTATTAATCTGAAAAGTTTTTGACTTAAAACCAGTGGTGGGTTGCTATCGGTTTGCCCTGAATCGGGTAAACCGATAGCGGTGGCGGCAGGAGGCTATGCCCATCTGCCCAGACACTTTTTTTTTTAATTAAATGAATTTTTATTTGTTTAAAAGTACAAACAAAACAGAACTAATGACAACAAAACATACAGAACAAAACATGTAAATGTCACGCATGCATGCGAGCAAACCGGTAGCAAACTAAATTGAAACCCACTACTGCTTAAAACCTATTTTGTTTCAAAATTCTCTTACATAGACCTGACTATTTTGCCACTTTCAGTATGTAATGTAAAGAATTATTTGCACTGGATAATGAAGACATAATTCATATAACATTGGGATGATTTTATTAAAGGGCGAATTCACAATGGTTTTAATCACTCAGCTCTGATGTAAGGAATCTCAGGAGAAATAATGACTAAAAGAATGTCCTACAAAGTCCTACTAGAATTGGGCCTAACAGTCCTCCATCTAACAGTTGGAGGACAATGTATGCATGTTCCAAGAAATTCTTAGCAGCCAGGCAGATGCCAAATGTACATCCGATGTATAAACGGCTTCCTCTTATTCCAGGAAATATTAATTCATGCATTATTGAGGCATTGCAGAAGTTATAAAGAATACCACTACCAGAAATAAAAATATTTCTGACATTTTACAAGATAATAAGAAATGCTATCTTTTAAATGCATACAGGATTCGATATACAGCTCAATATTTGCATAATAATTCTCCACAATAAAGTTCTTTATTTTCCACAATCAGGACAAATAAATAATTCATAACATATCACATGAAGTCTTTGGGAAACTAATGACTACCTACAGTAAGGCAGTCCATGAGAGTATGGGTAGAAAAAGTTATGATAGTGGCCATAACTACATGATTGAATCCTGCTTTTTTGCTTTCTTTGACACACATGAAAAGGGGAAACAATGATTTGAAATGATGATGTCTGTTCCAGCTTATCCATATCCTGTAACTGAAATGTGTCTTGATGAAACAGCATTTCATTATCTGACAGACTCTTTTCTATCCAGGAATATTATGCTACTTTGCCTCAGATAAACAAGAATGGCTCGAGAATAAAATGTTTTTAAATAGTGGCAGTTAATGCTTGCCATAATTTAGATCCAGTCCTTTTAAGTATCTTGCTTGCCTATCCTGATGTACAATTGACATGATTTGGATTGAAATTTAATTTTCTGTTTCATTTAAAGAGATGAAAGCATTTAATATTTCATAAAGTAACCCATATGTTTTAGATAAATCAATGGGAGCAGGAGAATCTGGAATCCACATATCTGTTTGTCCTAGCCTAATCCAAATACAACCTTGAATATAGAAAAGAAATATGGAAAATTGAAACCACCAATTCACTGTTCAAGATGCATATATTGTCTCATAATGTACATATTCTGTATATTATACATAATGCATATATGGATGCATAAGTGCTGATTTAATATGAAGAGGAAAACAAAACAAAATCAGTTTATACAGATTTTTTTATTTTTATTTTTTATTTTTACAGAATAGACTATTCCAGTTATTTCTGGATATTAGGACTTTGTTGTGAGTAGCTTTTTCATTATATTGTCTTGTGTTGATGAATGACACAGGGGGAGAGGCATGGAGAAAAGAGAGAAAGACAAGGAGAATGTGCTATCTTATTCTGCTTCATTACAGGTAGTCCTCAACTTACGACCACAATTGAACCCAAAATTTCTGTTGCTAAGTGGGATATTTGTTAAATACGTTTTGCCCCATTTTATGACCTTGGTCTTCTCTATAAATGAGTTGCTTCTTTAGAAACGGAGTTGAGTTTTAGATAACATAGGATTTATGATAAAATCTCAGCTAAACATACCAACAAATAGACCATCACATGTACGTTGTAGCTATTTGCAAGAATATTGGCTGTAAATGAAAAATATGCATGTGGAAGGTCTTTGAGTCATCTAAATTGTAAATTCTTCCCTTTCCAGGCTTACTAGCTGCTTATTGTGCTTTATGAACCACAAGGGTGATATCTCACCAACAGGTGGCAGATGCTGACAAGGAACCATATAATACTTGTTTATTTTCTGATAAACTATGAAAAAAGTACTTGAACTTTGTTGCTTTTTATTTACATTAGGATCAATTTGGGAATTAGATTGACGGTAAGGATGCTTGCAGTGATTTGCTTGAAATTTTTAGAAAGTGGAAAATTATAAACAGAAAACAATATGCTTGTCTGTTAGAAAGTGTGTGTGTGTGTATGTGTGTGTCAGAGGTGGTAGTCAGCAGGTTCTGACCAGTTCTGGAGAACCAGTAGCGGAAATTTTGAGTATTTCGGAGAACCAGTAAATACTACCTCTGATTGGCCCCACCCCCATCTATTCTTTGCCTCCCGAGTCCCAGCTGATCAGGAGGAAATGGGGATTTGACAGTATCCTACCCCAGGAGTGGACAGGAATGGAGATTTTACAGTATTATTCCATTGCCATGCCCACCAAGTCATGCCACGCCCACCAAGCCACACCCACAGAACTGGTAGTAAAAAAATTTGAATCCCACCACTGGTTTGTGTGTGTGTGCGTGCGCATGCGCGCACTCCTACAAATCAATCAATTTTTGATTCCGGGCAACCATCTAGACAACTCTCTGCTGTTTTTGTGGTGAGATTTCAGAAATGGTTTGCCATTACCTCCTTCCCAGGCTGAAAGACAATCATTGCCCTAAGGTCATCTAGCTGGCTTTGTACCTTGGAATGAACTAGAACTCATGATCACCTGGTTTCTAGCCTGGTGTCTTAACCACTACTCAACAGTGGCTCTCTTTTGGATAATTTAATGAAAAAATTGACTAATTTTAAGTGATATAAACATTCTTTAAAATAATCAGTGATATGGTTCATCTTCTGTAAAAAAGACAGAAGATATCTAGCATATACCTGTTCCCATGCCAGTCAGCTAACAACCCAACTTCCAAGTTGGTCCATTGGCAGGGTGGTGGTGTTATTTCTGTATCTAGAAAGTTTTGAACCCTGATATAACTAAGACAAGGTGATGTGCGGTGTGTCGAAAGGTCATTTCAATTACTGTAAGGTACTAGAAAAACAGGAATGACTTGGAAACAGAAAGAACTTAGTTTTGTGAGGTTTTAGTGTGCTAACAAAAATATTATGGCCATGCTAAACAGTCCTATACTTCCAGGTGTTGAATAAATCCATGGATATAAGTGGGAAGCTAACAAGAAATGGGATCTTTCAGTGATACTATCAGCATAATGTCTTATTAACAAAATGTCTGTGATTTTTGATGTTTGATTTCCTAACATTCAAATGTAATTTGGAAAAGTTTCACATGGTCTCTAAGACTCTCTCTTCACATAAGATTGGTTAGTATTCTGAGGAACCAATATTCTTTTGACTAGGACAGTGATCAATGGAATCAGGGTTCTACTTACCTTTACTACCGGTTTGCAATGGGAGCATGCATGCTTGCTTTGCTCTCTCTCTTGCACGCGCTTCTGCGCATGCACAGATCGTCAATTATGATGTCCGGGCGGGTGGGTAGAGCCTTCCGCCACTTTTACTACTGGTTCTAAAGAACCAGACAGAACCAGGAGCAACCCACCACTGAATGGAATGGTTTAGAGGGGAAGTCATGGATCCAAAGTCAACTTGAAGTTCTTAGGAAAATAAGGTGGAAGTTAAATAATTAATTGCAAGTATGGTAAAAGGAGTAAGATGTCATTTTACAAGCAAATAAAATAAATATAAAAGCAATTCTCATCAGATATTTATAGGCTTTATCAATTCATCTCAATTGGGATTGGATTCCTCTTTCTCTGAATGAGACGATTTTATTCTTTTGATCAGGCTTTGCATATTACTGGCAAATTTTGCTGGGCCTCTTGACCTCATTTTACTGTATTTTTCGGAGTATAAGATGCACCTTTTTCCCCCCAAAAAGTGGGTGAAAATCTGGGTGTGTCTTATATTCCGAATGTAGCCCCACCCAGCTTCTCAAACGGAGGTTTCAGAGGCTGAAAAAAGCATAAGAAATGAAGCTTCAGAAAAAAGGCCCCCAAACAGAACTTCAGAAAATAAGCCTCCAAACAGAGCTTCAGAGGCTTTTTTTTTTTTTTTTGAAGCTCTGTTTTGAGGCTTTCAGAGGCAGGAAAAAAAGTTTTTTCTGAAACAGAATTTCAGAAGTTTCAGAGGCAGAAAAAAAAAAGCAAAAAAAAGCAAGGCACAGAGCTCACAACCAAGCAACCTGTTGCTAAAATTCAGCTCTGGGAACAGTTGATTGGGGGTATTCCGGGAGCAGTGGTATGTTGCCCTCGGTTCGGACCGGTTCTATAGAACCAGTAATAAAACCGGCGGGAGGCTCTGCTCGCTGACCCTGACATCACCAGAAGCGATCTGCGCATGCACAATCCCGTTGCGAACTGGTAGAACCCACCCCTGTCCGGGAGGCCAATCCACCTACCAATCAGCTTTTTTCTTATTTCCCTCCCCAAAAACGAAGGTGTGTCTTATACCTCGAAAAATACGGTATTTACTTACAGTATGTATGCTCTGGACTTGAATCAAGTTGATAAAGACACTTACAAATCAGTGGAAGGAAGATATAAATCTGAAGGCAAATCAAACATCTTTCTTATAGCCTTTGGACCTGCCTTTGCAGCAGGAAAAGAGAAATTGTGTGGTACAGCAATTCATTATCAGCGGGAAAAAAACCCAATAAGACAATAAGATAACATATCTAATTAAATGCTGCACAACTGTATGGCTTTATGAAAGTACCTGAATGTAGAGTTAGTATCCCTTAAAAAGAAATAAACATAAAATGTCTCAGGATGACCCCCAAATTTAGAGGTGATCGGGAAGTTCAAAGCATGTCTTGAAGACACCTTTAAAAAGGACCTTATGAGGACATGGGCAAAATGGATCCACAAGAATCATTTCTCTGTAAATAAGGAGTCCCTTGAGATTTTCCCACCAGCAGTGCTGAAGGGAAGGCATCAAAGCAGACTCCGGAAAAGAGCCATATATATTTGCTTAGGGTTAGAGTGTATAGCTATCCCTTGGTAAAGGTCTTGTGGCTATCTAATATTTGGCAATAGAATTGAGGGGCATTTTGGCAAACCAGAGCCTTGATTTTTTCTTTTACTATTGATTTGGCCTTTTCTAGATTTAAATAGCCTAAATTCAACAGAGATGCCAAGATTGCAAAGTTCTTTCACACAGGTATAGTATCAGTGAGATTGGTTGCTGTCTGACAACAGCAGAGGTATCGAATGCAATACTGAATCCTGAAATCAGAATCCTGGCCCAGGACTGAGCCTTAATAATACTTGGCACCCTTAGTTCAATGTGGCAGGGGCTGATTAATAATCATTAGGAGTAATAGAAAACAGTGGTGAGAAGGATTAGGATAAGAAAATAATTCCTTGGTTATTTGTTTTCTGCTTTCTTTTGTTCTTTATGTGTTTGGGCATGGAATATCTGTAAAATTAGTAGTTCATATACATAATTAAATGAGCAGAGACCCAGTATTTGTGAGGTTTTACAAGCACCTTATCTTCTGTTGTTGTTGTTGTTGTTGTATACAACTGACACTACTTATGAATATATTTGCTGCAGTGATATATTTGCTTAATCTGATACTAGATTTATGCAATTCAGTAAAGCGATTCAAAAAGACTTTGAAGGCTAATTTGGGGGCGATATGCTAGACTGTAAAAACACCTGTCTGAAGGATTTAGCTGTGATGCTTGTATTAGTCTATATTATTAACTGTAAGTCTGAGCTATTAAGTCATTAGTTAAAGTTAATTAAGTTATCAATGTGTTAAGGAGATGTAAAGTTATTTATGTTATTAAAACATATTATAATAATAGGGGAGATAAATTGCATAAATAAATTTCATTAGAGAACAAAAATATTAATCACTGGTTACTGATCTACTAACATTAGTAATTACTGTCATCAGCATATCCTCATTCTAATCAGTATTCACTGAGTACATGGTCACAGAGGATCTGCACATAGTAGCAAGGTCCAGTTAGCTGGAAATTTCACACTGTAAAATCAGGCCATGATTTAATACATTGCAAAGAGTGGCTAGAATAATTCAATTCTAGCTCATCTGATTAAGACAATTATTGTGTGGTGTTTGTGCATAATAACCTAAGTGTGTAAATTGGAAGGTTGAGGTCAGTTTGGAAAAGGAAAGAGTATATACAAAGAACAGGACTTTAGAACATATTCCAGTATGGCCAAATCTGGATGAATAACATGGAGTTGAAAAATATTATGATATCCCAAAGTAGCATAATTTCTTTCTTATAATCGTATATAATTGCTAGGAATCTGTCATTTCATGTGTCCTCAAAAGAACCTTAAGGACCGGTGCTCAGTACTGTAGTAATAATAATAATTTTTATTAATTATCAAAGAAAAAAGGTTGCTGTTTTTGCCAAAAGATACGTAATCCTCCAGTGATACATTGTTAAGCAGATTAAATGTATTAAATATGTGGGCATAGAATTCCTGCCTCAGGAAGCCACAATGTATTAATGTTCTGGGTTTGGGTTTTTTTTTTGTTTTTGCCTGCTGCCCTCAAACAACTTGATGTGAAGATATTGGCTCAGCTCTTATATGAAGCTCAGTAAAGTCAATAGCGCAAGGTATCAAACTTGATTTCATTGAGGGCCACATCAGGGTTGTTTGACCTGGGGGGGAGCATGGCCCGGAGGTGTGGCCAGCTTGATGTCACTCATGTCAGGAGCGCCTGTGGTGGCCTAAGTGCGATAACGGGCTCCTGAGTTCCATTTTCAGCTTCCTGCAACCCTCTGCTAGTGAAAACAGAGCTCACGGCCCTCCCGACCTCCATTTTTGCTGGCAGAGGCATTGCAGGCTGGCCCTTTGCTGTTTCCAGGACAGCTCTGGGAGCCAGATCTAAACACCCACCAGGCCGGATCCAGCTCCTGGGCTTTGAATTTGATACCCCTGCAATAGCTCGATTGTTTCTTTCAGAACAATCCAGTCCAAAGACAAGTCCTTGGGACAGTCATTCAAACTGCATATTCATATGACCTTGAGGCTAAAGCTTTGTTTACTCAATTTGGTGACTTGTGTTTGGCTGGTGATCTTTCATCTTTTACTATAGTTTGACTCCTCTCCAGTGGGCAAACCTCCTTTAATAATTCCTGAGCCTAGAAAAAGACAATTGTTGAATTCTATCAAAGTTATCAGTTCACATTCATGGTCAATGAATGGACATTTTGTGTTGGAGGTAAGTATCTGAAATATTGCTTTAGTTGAAGCCATATCAATATTTTTTACAGCACTGGTATTTTTTATAAAAAATACAATCAGATTAAATATGCATAGGCTGAAGAATGTCTATGGAGCTTCTCAGTCATTCAGATCATGGTTGTCCCAAAGGTTCTTTTTCAAGAGACAACTGGACTTCCTTGTTTTTCTTTGAAGACATTTTGCTTCTCATCCAAGAAGCTTCTTCAGCTCTGACTGGATAGTGGGGAAGTCAGAGCTGAAGAAACTTCTTGGATGAGAAGCAAAACATCTTCAAAGAAAAACAATAACGTCCACTTACATCTTGAAAAAGCACCTTTATCTACTGAAGAAGTAGATAAAAGCTATTACTATTTTATATCTGAGAACACTTGTGTTGCTTCAGAAGATAAATAAATACCAATTGGTTCAAAAGAATATTAGATTTTTGATGCCTTGGAAATCAATGATTTCCAAAACCTTTTCAGGGTTTTTTAAACAAACAAGTAAATGACCATCAGGGGTGTGTGTGTGTGTGTGGGGGGGTAAATTAGAAGATTTGGAAGTCTATTGGACATACCTGACTCTTGCGCAACTAGCATTCTGGCATCTCTTCAAAGGAATCATAAAAGGCTTATGGTTAGGAGAAATAGGTGTGTGTGATTACCACAAATGGAACACAAATAAAAAAATAAGTGAGGTATGTATGATTATCACAAATGAAGCACAAATGAAAATAAGAGTCAGTCAAACCCAATAGGTCTAATCAAAACAAAATCTGTGGTGATACTATTTTCAGTTTACCGAACAATGTTAAGTCTGCATAGGAATTCCAACTCATTAGCTACAGGTCGGTTATATCTCCTAAAACCTTTAACGTTCCTCTGGTGTCTTAGAAAATAATTTTTTGAAGAATTAAATATGAAGAAGGTGGGAAGAACAACGTCTGAATCCTCTCCTTTCTTCTAGTGAATTCTCCATCAATGTGATTTTTCCCCTCCTCTCTCTGTTGATTTTGGTCCATTGAAATCAATAGCAGCACGTGGAAAAATTAAAGACTGAAAAAAGCCGTAGGAAAATAGAATAGAATAGAATAGAATAGAATAGAATAGAATAGAATAGAATAGAATAAATTTTTATTGTCACTTTGAATGTACACCAATCAATATACTCATTAAAAGTGAAATTTTGTTGCATACAACTCTCAAAGGGTCGCCACCTCCAATATACACCATGACAGAAAAATAACTAACTAAACTAACTACATGCATACCAGTGGTGGGTTTCAAATTTTTTTACTACCAGTTCTGTGGATGTGGCTTGGTGGGCGTGGCAGGGAAAGGATACTGCAAAATCTCCATTCCCTCCCGATCAGCTGGGACTTGGGAGGCAGAGAATAGATGGGGGCGGGGCCAGTCAGAATTTTTACTACCGGTTCTCCCAACTACTCAAAATTTCTGCCATCGATTCTCCAGAACTGGTCAGAACCTGCTGAAACCCACCTCTGAGGCATACATAGATACATACATAATTATGCATATGCCCACATATATTGTATGACACAGAGAGACAACACAGTCGACTTCGGTGTATAGCTGAACTGAATATTTTAATGCCTGCAATGAAAAACCATCTACTACTTCATCGTTACTGGATCGTCTCCTGAAGCCTCAACGGGCTGCCCCTTCGCAGCGTGGCCAATTCGTGCCAGACCGTCGCCGGCAAGCGGCGTTGTACTGACGGAGGGATAAATAGCCTGGAAGGGCGGAGGGAGTCATTCGCTCTGCACGTGACCGCCGAGGCGAAAACAGCCCTCCTTGCGCTGCCCGTTCGCCCGGCCGTGCGCCTGCCCTGCCCTGCCTTGGCCTGGCGTGGCCTGGAGCGAAGGTGGGAGGATCGGGGATGGGCAAGGAAGGTTGGCAGCGGCCTGTGGAGGCGGAGTCCGGCGCCCAGGCGGCGCGGGATATAAGGAAGATGTCTCTCGCTGGCAGGGCTGGCACCGAGCGAGTCCCCGACGGCTGCGGAGAGCAAGGGAGCTTTCGGGAGCGGCCAGGAGGATGGAGATGTACAGCAAAGCGGAGACCCTCGAACTGCGGAAGAAACACATCGGGTGAGCGGAGAGGGCAAAGCCCAGGAGCTGGAGAGATGGAGCGGGACAAGGGCGGTGGCATTGCCCCCCATGCAGACTAGTCGTAGGGGCGCCCCTCTCCTCCCGCCAGTCCGCGGCCGCCCTTTTGCCCGACGGAAAGCCCACGAAAGATGCTCTCCCCCCCTCATAGAAAATGACTCCGGCCCGCCCAAAATGGGATTAGGGCTTCCCACTGGACGGTTTAGGGTTGCGAGAGGCGGCCAGCCGGCCGAGACCCTTATGAAGGCAGGGAGGGGTTCGGTCCATTCTTGCCAAGTCAAGCCAGGAGTTGAAGGAGAAGCAATTCAAGACAGAGCCAATACTCAAACTCTCAGCTTTCTGCTCTACTGATACCTCAGGACCCGTTGGAATAAAGAAGTGCTGGGGTTGAAATGAAAAGATAAGCAAAGACAAAGATTCTTGGAAATACTGAAAATATTGCAGGCTTCCTTACTGGGAGGCATATTTATGTTATCAAAATGACATCTTTTCTGAGCCTCTTACTTTCAGAAAGTATTTACAATGGGAAATAGAGCTGCCTTGGTTTACAAGCTCCAGTGATTCTTCATTGTATTAGTTTAAAATTTCCCTACAAAACTTGGGTGGAGGTTTCCCTGAGTTCAGCAGGGCTTCTGTTGCAGCTGCGTACATTTGCAAAGAAATCTTATATAAACTAGGCCGATTGCTTATTGCTGATTAATTTTGCATTGGAGGTTGCATATTAGAAACACTTAATTTTAATTGTTCGTACGTTTACTAACTTTCAGTGACATTTACACTTGCAGTATACTTACTTTTATTTTGTAACGTGTGGAAGTCCTATGAATAACAAAAGTACTTTCCTTTTTCATTTAAAGGCACATGTTGAACTATAAAAGTCTATCTTCCACCCTAAAATCATCCTTGCTTTCATAGCTTGGTTTCCAATGATTTCACTTCTGTAAAAATAGTCACATTAACACCTAAAAGACTAGATCAGTATTGATTTCCCTAAAGGATATGTGATAAATATAGTAAGCACACTAAAATGCATGTATCATGAATTGGATTAGATGAGCCAAAGTTAGATGTCAGTGTCAGTGACATATAACCATCGGTTTATATAACCATCAGCAAGTATAGTTCTTGCATAACCAGCCTGCTGATGTTATGCAAAACTTAAGTTGCTTGCCAAGACAAAAATTCTGTACAAACAGATAAGGGTTGTTTCATCAGGGTTTTTGCAAAACACTATTGCAAAAAAAAAAACCAAAAACTATTTTGTTCTTCCTGGTATATAACCTTCCAAACATAAAAGTAGACAGACTTGTAAGTTACTTAGATTGGGTTTTTTCCTCCCTCAATAACAGAACTGTGTTATTGATTTGTCTTTCCTTGCACACAGTTTATCCCCCAAGGTGGAAGGATCCCTTTCATGCATCCCCAGGCACAAATCTAGGACAGGTCAGGCAGGAAGTGGGAGGGGGGGTTAGTCTCCTTTTTGTAATGTGTTTAAATGTCTATTGTTTCAAAATGATTTCTTGGTTAAAACTTGATTTAGGTTCTTAGCTTGGAACAGAGGAACCTGCTCACATGGTTTTCAAAATGGATTGTAGGGAAAAAAAGTTCTCAGTTAACATATGACAGTAGAATTGAGATTCTATCTCAGTTCTATAAGGTATAACACTATCATTAAGTGTTGTACCTTATGATTCTTGATGAACATATCTTTTCTTTTATGTACACTGAGAGTATATGCACCAAGACAAATTCCTTGTGTGTCCAATCACACTTGGCCAATAAAGAATTCTATTCTATTCTATTCTATTCTATTCTATTCTATTCTATTCTATATTCCAATTCAGACACCAACTCCATTAGTGTATCAACGCTTGCTGCCATTACTAAGTGTCTTGCAGATTAATGACTGAATTGGCTAAACTGAATTGTCATGTTTTGACCTGGCACGGCCTTTCCTCAAATTCCTCACACTCAACAATGAATGTGCATGCATCATGAACTTCAGCTCTGTTTAATGTATCGCCAAGCACATTAATAGGTCTCAGTGCTAAAGGACTACTGAAAGTAAAGAATGCAAAGCATTTTTGTGTTTGTGTACATGTAGGCTTAGCAACGCTGTTGAGCTGATCCAAACCGAAACAATTTGATGTCATCTCTTGCAGGCCATCATGCAAAGTTTTCTTTGCTAAAGATCCCATTAAGATTGTGCGGGCTCATGGACAATACATGTTCGATGAGAATGGAGAAAAATACTTGGATTGCATTAACAATGTAGCACATGGTAAGAATTAAGGATTCTGCTAATGTCCCAACATCAACTACAATCAAATTACCAAATTGACACATTCAGTAGCCATGGCATGAAGCTCACCCATTCTACCAGAAATGTTTCCATTAATAGACAAAGTACATAAATTTTCATCATCCTTCTTGTCAAGTTTAGAAAAGAAAGTTTAAGTAAGGGGGGGGGAGGATTTCCTCAAAGGTGTGTGTACAGATGGTCCACCATTTCTAGACCAGGAGTATCAGATTTGATTTTATTGAGGGCAGCATCAGGATTGTGTTTGACCTTGGGGGGTTGGTGTGTATGTGTGGCTGGGGGGGGTGGCCTGGGGGAGGGGTGGCCAGCTTGACGTCACTTGTCGAGGCTCCGTTTTTGGCCGCGATGGCCTCCTGCAGCCTTATGCCAGCGAAAACGGAGCCTGAGGAGGACAGCACACAGCCTGCCTGAGCTCAATTTTTGCTGGCAGAGGCACCGCAGGCTGGTCCTTTGTTGTTTCCAGGGAGACCCCGTGGGCCAGATCTAAGCATGCCATGGGCCAAATCCAACCCGCTGGGTTTGAGTTTGACATCCCTGTTCTAGACCCACAGGGACAGCAAATAAAATTTGATGTGTTGCAGGATTCAATATGAGTCGATCACCAAGACCAAAGGCTGAGTTTTCCAAGCTTTGGGGGCTCGTGCTGGAACCCATCCTCAGCGAATTTCTCTGTCTCCAGAATGTTTGCATTGGCTGTTCTATGTGTTGTATCTGTATAGTCAGTTAGGGTGTTGAGGGTCAAACATCCTAATTAACAACCAAAAGCCACACAAAATCAGGCAATAATTGCCTTCATTTTGATACATGTCTACAGCGATGTTGAAAGCAAATCATTAAGCCAGGACAGAATTAAGTATACTTACACTGTGTTGCTAGAGAGATCCGTGGACTAAGATATTTCCTATACTTGATCCTTTTTAGTTGGACACAGCCATCCTGATGTAGTCAAGGCTGCAGTGAAACAAATGGAGCTGCTTAATACCAATTCTCGATTCCTGCATGACAGTCTGGTCCAGTATGCCAAACGCCTCACAGCTACCCTACCAGAGAAGCTTTCCGTTTGCTACTTTGTGAACTCTGGGTATGTCAGAAGGATTTTTCTGCCAGTTCTCTGGATCATAGGAAGAAAAATCTGTTAAGAAAGAAAAAATATCTTCCTTTCTCCTTCATGTAGTTGAGGGCATATTAGTTTTGAATGACAAATAGTTGCTGCTATTTACCATATTTTTCGGTGTATAAAACGCTCCGGATTATAAAACGCACCCACCTTTTTTGGGGAAGAAAAAAAAAATCTGCCTCTGCAATTTGTCTCCTTGCAGCAAACAACAAACAGCCTGTTTCAGCATAGCCTGATTAGCACAAGGGAAAAAAAATCTGCCTCCCAGCAATTTGACTCCTTGCAGCAAACAGCGGAGTCCGTGCAGCAATAGGCAATGGCAATCCCTGCAACCTAAAATAGCTGATGGTCGGGAGGCTGATCCCAGATGCTTGTGCTAATCAGGCTCTGCTGACGCTGAAACAGGCTGCTTGCTGTTTGCTGCAAGGAGGTAAATTGCTGGGAGGCAGAAGCCAAAGGTTGGGGGCCAGTGGGTGGGTGGGACTACATTTGGTGTATAAGACACACCCAAATTTTCACCCTCTTAGGGGTGGGGAAAGTGTCTTATACTCTGAAAAATACGGTATTTAACATCAGTCCGCTTTTCTTTATAAATCCTGCTTAAGAAACTCAGTGAAAATTATGTTTGGAAATAATTAAATTATTTTTTGGCAACTGCCAAAGAGCCTTACACAAAGATTTAGTGAGGTTGTCAATTCTATAGGTGTGTGCAAACATGTATGGACAACGTTTTGGTTTTAATGCCCAAAGAGAATTCTGTTATATTATGCAACTTTGATTGCAATTCAGGCAGTTGCCCTGCTTTTATCTGATTGAATCAGATGTAACCTAACCAGCAATATTAATGTTTTAATATTGTGTTTATGCTATAAATACATTTCTGCTGTTTTTTTTTTCAATTACTATGTTTTGGGCTAAAACCCCTGAATTGCTTTTCTAATACTCTTTTACAGCTCTGAAGCAAATGACCTTGCTTTGCGCCTGGCTCGGCAGTATAGTGGTCACTATGATGTGATAACCCTTGACCAGTAAGTGTGCAGAATGTATAGATGAGGTCAGCTCTTTGCAACATAAAATAATAAATGCTACAACAGCTGATTCTCTGTTGCCTTGAATCACATAAATGCAGGCATAGATTATGATGAATTTTTGTTTTTATAGAAATGCAATTTGAGCTGTATACTGCCTCAGTCATTTATATGAAATGTGGGAAGACAAATTGGTTAATCTGTAATTATTCAGTAGAACAATTTTATTTACTTAGCATTAGAATTTGAACTCATACACTGTCCCATAGTGCTTTATAGCATTCTCTGGCTGGTTTAGAATGTCAGCATTATTTGTTTATTGCCCCCAACAATCTGGGTCCTCATTGTCCTGACATCGGAAGGATGAAAAGCTGAGTCAACCTTGACCCAATCAGGATCAAACTCTAGACTATGGTCAGTATGCCTGCAATCCTGTACTTAACCACTGTTCCACCAGTGGTTTATTTACTTATTATTATACTGATGATAAAGGGGACACAGTGGCTCAGTGGCTAAGCTGCTGAGCTTGTCAATTGAAAGGTCAGCAGTAAAGCGGTTCAAATCCCTAGTGCGATGTAACGGGATGAACTCCCGTTACTTGTCCCAGCTTCTGCCAACCTAGCAGTTTGAAAGCTCATAAAAAATGCAAGTAGAAAAATAGAGACCACCTTTGATGGGAAGGTAACAGCGTTACGTGCACCACTGGTGTTTAGTCATGCCGGCCACATGACCACGGAGACTTCTTCGGACAGCGCTGGATCTTCGGCTTTGAAACGGAGATGAGCACCACTCCCTAGAGTCAGGAGCAACTAGCACGCAGGTGCGAGGGGAATCTTTACCTTTAATATACTGATGATAGTCTGCTTTTCCTCTTGGTGCTGAAACAGATGGATAGACAGATAGAGACAGACAGACAGACAGACTGACTGACTCAGTCCTCAAGTTGGTATTTACTCTTAGCAATCACATAGATTTTCTCCATGGTCTTCAGCCTGGTCTTTCAGGTATTCCAAAAATGACACACAGAGGTCTCCTTTAACCTTATCCTGAGAACCCTGTGAGAACCATGTGAACTGAGACATATTAATGGGCCCAAGGTCCTCTAGTCAACTGCATGTTCATATAGAGCAGAGGTCTTCAAACTTGGCAGCTTTAAGACTTGTGGATTTCAACTCCCAGAATTCCACAAGTCCACAAGTCTTAAAGCTGCCAAGTTTGAAGACCTCTGATATAGAGACTTGGACCTTAGATTGAGTCTTCCCAATCCAAGTCCAAAATCTTAAACATTGTTCCTGTATTTTGAATCACATTGTACTCATACTTTTTTTCAGCGCCTATCATGGTCACTTGACCTCCTTGATTGATATCAGTCCATATAAATTTAATCAGCTGGGAAAAGAGGCCAAAAAGGAATTTATACATGTGGTGAGTATTTATAATATTTCAAGTTCTCCCTACCAACATAGTCTTACTGTCAATTCCTGCACATGCCTACCAGAAGTTGGATCTACTGAGCTAAAATGGGGCAGGCTTCATGCAATCTGTTATTATTTTCATGTAAAAAGTCTTAAAAAGAAAAATCAATACGTACTTTGCATACTCTCATATGCACAGAGAGAAAGATTGCTGGTTTTTAAGTATAGCTTTGCTATGCCTTTTGGAAGGGAACTTCCATTGAAACAAATATTTCAAAGATTTGTCTTGCCTTTTTAGGCACCTTCCCCAGATATTTACAGAGGAAAGTATAGAGAAGACCATGAAGATTCAGCAGGTGCTTATGCTGATGAAGTGAGAAATATTATTGAAAAAGCTCAAAAGAATGGCCGTAAGGTACATTAGCTCTTGAAACTTTTTTTTAAAAAAAAGATTTCTCTTACCTCTTCCCCATCCATCAATGTTCGTCCTGATTAAGACCACTTAACTATCTTACATAGTTGAAATGTCTTTCATTTTTTTTAACAGATTCTGGATTTTAAGGTGTTCCCTATCCCCTTTAATTCATATTTGTGAGTTTTACAAGCACTGTTTTAAATGAGGACCGACGTGGGTTGAATAAATCTGGATTTCCCCTCCCTCTCTTTACCTTCTTGATATCTTTTCGTGGCTATGAATAGGAAGTATCCTAGCAAAAGTCTGCTTTCTCTATCTGTGCTGAGGGATCCTCTTTTGCAAACTAATGTAATAATAGGTGAAGATGCACAAATCTTCCATCTGTGAATTATAAGCAGTGTTTGAAGGGATATCCTTTATTTGAACCCAAGCATGAATTGGAATGCATACAGTGTGCAACTTGTAGACAAATTAAAATTCCTATTACATCAGCCCATCCCACCCAGTCAGAAGGGAAGGTATGTTACATACCCCATCAGTTAAAGTAAAGTGACAGGTTCTGGGAAGAAGGCCTTTTGTACCATTGCCCCCTCCCCTTTTCCGCGTTGTGGAATATTCTCCCCACGAAGGTGAGGCAGGTCCCCCACTCTCCTGGGCTTCTGAAAAGAAGACAAAACATGACTCTGCAGCCTCGTGTGGGGATCCCAGGGAGCCCACAGATCCTCTGTGTATTTCGCTGTGCCCTCGAGACCCTGCTGTTCCGCCAGGCCGGGCTATCAATGAAATGATTTTAAATTGGGTGTTTTAAATTTCCGTACTACAAGAAGATTATGCTAAAAGCCCAACAATTTCACCACATGTCTTCTTTCAGATAATACTGAATTCAGAAAATCAGTATGGTTCAGTGGTTGGTTGCTACCGGTTCGCCCCAGATCGGGCGAACCGATAGTGGCGGCGGGAGGGTCTGCCCACTCGCCTAGACATTTTGTGCATGCAGTAGCGCCCATGCACCCATGAGCAAACTGGTAGCGACAGGTTTTGAAACCAGCTCCTGGTTTGGTTCCATGGATGCCCCAGAAATATGTTTTACACTCCAGTTTATGTCTGATCTTAGAAAAGGGCTTCCAATAAGTCATTATCTGTCTCACTGAGTTTCCAGCAAGTTACATAATTATACATTAACTAAAGGGAAACTAAATAGTATATAATAAAGCTGCCTTCCCTAACCTAGCACTTGCTAAAATTGTTAGATTACCACTTTTGGGATTCTCAATCATAATTAAAACTCTTTAGCATTTTGGCTGAAAAAAGGTGAAATAGAATTTAGAATTAGAAACCACAAAACCTTATCCACCAAACTCAACCAAAATAAATACAAAAGGATAAAAGGATAACAAAACACAATGTAGTGTGATTGGGTTTAAAATAAAACACTCTGGTTAACTAAAAGTCCAAGTAAGAAAGGCTGAATACCAGAGCAAAAGTTGCTATTTAAAACCAGCAATTACAACTATTTTAAAGTGATTTTAAAAAAGGAATTTCAGAAGAATAGACTTTGTCTATTAGCAGGTAATTAATTACGGTACAAAAATCACCATCACAAAGGATCAACAAAAGTGAAATTGCAACCATCAGCTGATCAGTGAGTTTTAGACTTCACATGAAGATGATGACAGTGCTGATTAAATTTCATTTTAGTTACTAATAATTATTGATATATTTTTTTGTGAGGATCCAATAAGTAGTATACTCACAAAGTTTAACTAAAAAGCAAAACAGGAAAACAAGCTGAAAATTAAACCAGCTAATAATTTAAAGTTAGCTAAATGTATAGAATTAAGAATATGCACTGCTTCAAATTTATTTGGTAAGAAGCACTTTGGAACATACTGTATTACAAATCTAACACTTATCTGCAATCATGTGATTAAGGATTGCCTTAATAATTCACAAGGAGGTACTACATTTCTGTACCTAATTCTTCCCAATCAGATCTGAAGCACTGCCCAGTTCTAACAAAAACAAACTATAAATAGTCCTAATAATACAGTTTCCAGGGATGCTTAAAGTCCTAAAAAGTGCTGCATCATTTTTTAACTTATTTTCTCCCAACTACCTTAAAGTCCAGAAATCTATCAGTCTTTAATTCCTTAACCAGTTTTTTTTTTTAAAAAACCAAAATCTAACAGGTAGTTTCTATTTTCTTCCCTTTGTCTGTTTCTCCCCTTTAAAAAAAAACCAAAATCTAACAGGTAGTTTCTATTTTCTTCCCTTTGTCTGTTTCTCTCCCTTTTCATATATATCTTTATAGGTTTGGTGCCGTAGACCTGTGATAACGTTTTACAGACAATGGGGAATCTTCTACTGCCTGGCTGTAGTGTACCTCTTCAAGTCTATGTGCGCTTCTTTACACGTTACCGCATGAGCTTCTTTCCAGGAAGACCCTCCTGCCCAGCTACCATGGAACCTACAGATTCTCAGGGAGGGTTGCGCACAGTGTGGGAGGCAGTCAGTTAAATAGCAAACGTACGCTGCAGGCAGTTTTGGGGGACAGCAGTGACTTAATGCTGAGGGCAAAAAAACAGAGAGAAAAAACGTAAGCTTCATGTTCTGGTCTACCAAAGTGCTGATACTGACTCTTGATTTGACATAATGTCTTTGTGTTTGTTTGCGTTGTTTTTATTCCCAACGACTGAAATTACTTTATCTGTAGGCTTCTTTTTGTCCAGTGGCTCTTTTTTGTGAACTTTCTCTTTAAGTCTTTTCTAAAGCAGGGATGTCCAAAATTTCACCCTGTGGAACATTTAACCCTGGGCAATATGTTTAGGTACCTTAGCTGAGAAAAAGAAGATGCAACTGGCTATCCCAGTGTGCCATATATGATAAAAGAATGTGCCAAATATTCTTTTGATTTTGGGGGTTTGGAATCATGAATGATTAATCAAAATATGGAACCTCATCATTTATTAGATAATCTGGAAGTAAAATCTCTCTGGGTATTCCATCTAAAGTAGATACTTAAATATGTTGGTACACTTTGAAGATCAGTCCAACACTTTCTCAATAAATGTTTTGTGGTAATTTAATAATTCAATTGGATGCCTGATCTGGCATTGAAAAATTGGGCATCCCTTACTTATAGTTATGCATACAATTGCCCAAATTCTTTGTTCATTTACTTTCCTTGTTTTGATAGTCTACATTTAATTGTTGGGTTATTTGCAAAAGACTAGGTTGAGGACCATTCTTTCTTCTGTAACACCTTCTTCTGCAACATCTTCTCTGACTTAGATTGCTGCCTTTATTGCTGAATCCATGCAGAGTTGTGGAGGCCAAATAATTCCACCTGCAGGCTATTTCCAGGAAGTGGCGCAGTATGTATAGTGCGTGGAATGGCTTAATTGTAGCAGGACAATTAGCAGGAGTTCTCCAATCTACTATCGTGCCTTCCTACAATTTTCAATATAGCAATATAACCAGCATCTAAGAGTCCCAATATATATGGAGGGCACCAGATTGGTGAATAGTAATTTAATTTTGCCCCATTCTACCGTGTTTCCCCAAAAATACAATCTATTCAGAGAAGACCTAGCTTGATTTTTACATGTGCGCCCAATATAAACCCTACTCCCAAAGTAAGCCCTAGTTAAGACCCCGCCCACTCCAGGGTGCACAGGTAAAAATTAAGCTAGGGTGGGGATGGGGGTGGAGCTGCCCTACTACTTACCTTCAGATAATTGCAACTAGGCCTTGCACACCTCGGCCCATTTCTTTTGCAGGTAAGTCTTTCCTGAACGCCTCTCTAGCCAGTAACAGAACTCTAGAACACTGTTATTGGCTGCAGAGGCCTTCAGGAAAGCCTTGCTGGCCTTGCCAGATGGTGAAGTTCCTGAAGGCTCTGATAGTGAAAAAGATGCCAGGGGCGACGCGTGCAAGTGAGGTGAGTCAGTGGATGACATTCCTCCCCGAAAATAAGACCTGGTGTCTTTTTTTGGTGGCAAAAAATATAAGACAATATCTTATTTTTGGGGAAACACAGTACCTATTAAGAAATAGTGGCTTGTGGCTGTAATTTTTGTTCCCTGAAGTAGCACACAACTTGTAACAAGATTTTGGCAAGTAATTCAGCCCAATAGCAATGATGGTAATTTTTTTCCCCACTGTAATATCTTAGTATGCACTGTTCCCAGTAATGTATACATTTAGGGAAACAGTGTTTGAGAAGAGTTATCGTGCTACTGAATATTTCCCTTGTTTTATTTTTAGCTTGTATATAGCAAAATAATAATTTGAAATGAATATTGTAATAAACATGTATAGAGTGAAATAATGCAAAGAGTGGTTTGGAAAAGCATTCAGACTTGGCACCCCTATGGATATATTGAGGGAATAGTTTTATGAACTATATACCTGATGATTTTTCTGATCAAAGGTAGCAATTTCAAATTTTTCATTTGATTTGGCCTTTCAGTAACTAAGAACCAACAGTATGTTGGGCCCCGGGCAATGTTTCAAGTCCATTTAGTTCCTTTCAGGCCCCGATGAATCACTCTAATAAAGAGTGCAGCATGTATTTTATAACAATAGCACTATTTGTAATTCTCAGATCTCAAAGGAGATTTTTAGGAGCTCTGTTTAAAGTTCATATAATTAATCATTTTATCATGTGGGGGAAGGTTATAAATCAATGGTTAGAAATTATCTAAGGTCATAATGAGACATCTGAACTTTTTCCCCCCCTCAGATTTGTCCACAAAGCAGGAGGAGTTTTCATAGCAGATGAAGTCCAAGTTGGATTTGGTCGGGTTGGGAAGAATTTCTGGGCATTCCAGCTACAAGGTGAAGACTTTGTGCCTGACATTGTCACCATGGGGAAGCCCATTGGCAATGGCCACCCAATGTCTTGTGTTGTTACAACAAGAGAAATTGCAGAAACCTTTGGTGCCTCGGGGTTAGAATACTTCAATACTGTGAGTATCACTTTTAGTGTTATAATCAGACAGTTAAATCATAAATTCTGATCATCAGAATACACATCAAGTTTGTAGTGATATATAGTCTTCCAAAATGGAAACTATGGTACTTATGCTATTAAAATATAAATCAGCCAGCCTGATTTAAAAGGAAGTGGAATATTTAATAAGGCAATTGAGAAGAGGTTATTTGTGTACCTACTCAGTCTGTTACTGAGATGCTGAAGGTTAGCTTTCTACTGTTTCATTCTTATCATCTCTAAATTGGACCACATAATCTTTCAAATAGAGAATTTTGCCAAAAACTCATCTCTTCTTGCAGCCGTTCAAATAGAGAGTTGCCCTCGGCGAAATAAGGTCACATTTAGGGGGAAAGAGATATTTGAAATTGCTGTCCTACATTCTCAACTATTCTTGCTTTCAGTTTGGTGGCAACCCAGTATCTTGTGCAATTGGTTTGGCTGTCTTGGATATAATAGAACAGGAAGATCTACAAGGTAATGCCACACACGTTGGAAACTACCTCTTTGGACTACTCAAGGAACAACAGAAAAAACACTCATTGGTGGGAGATGTCAGGTAAGGTAAAAAGTACTTTTAGGTTATTACCATCAAAAAAAGAGCCGAGGTGGTGCAATGATTAGAGTGCAGTACTGCAGCTACTTCAGCTGACTGCTAGTTCAGCAGATCAGTGGATCAAATCTCACCGGCTCAAGGTTGACTCAGCCTTCCATCCTTGCGAGGTGGGTAAAATGAGGACCCAGATTGTTGGGGGCAATATGCTATTTAGTATACTGTCTTTGGTGTAAGCCACCCAGAGTCCTCGGAAAGTGGGTGGCATAGAATATGACTAATAAATAAATAATAAATAAATCATCCAGATTAGAATAAACCTGTGCATTGGTCAAATAAACATTACTGTTACATACTGCCCTCAGATCTCTAGGCTTCACCAAAGTAATGCAAGACTAAAAAACTCCTTTGGAAGACTCTGAAGAAAAGATAGTTCAGGATGCAGCTGCCGACCTATTTACTGGTTATAGTGAAGATAAAGATATCTAGCCTATGCTGAAAGAATTTTACAGTTTCTAGATATAGTTTAGAATGATGATGCTTACCTTCTAAAGGTCAACATAGATTAGAAAGCGTGTTTCTGAAGAAGTAACTGTTACCAGTTACCAGTTGGAACTTTTACTTTCTAAGAGAAACAAGGAAAACTTTTTCAAGTTAACATTTTTATTGAGTTATAAAGTTATATAAAATACAAAATACAAAGTAAATAGGAAAGCAGTGGGGAGGGAAAGGGGAAGGAGAAGTGAGGAAAGATAAGAAAGAGAGAAAAGGAAGTGTTGACTTCCGACTCTGTTACAGTAAAACAAGGTAGTAACATCAAATCACAACTTTTTGCTTTTTCCTGATAGTATACACAAGTCATTTCTATAAATCTAATCAGTAAATCCCAAAGTCAAAAGTTTCATTCTTCTCTACATCAAGCACGAAGTTCAGAAGTGGTTTCCATATGGAAGCACAAGTACTTCAGAGGTGGGTTTCAGCCAGTGGTGAAATCCAAATTTTTTAATTACCGGTTCTGTGGGCGTGGCTTGGCTGTGGTGTGGCTTGGTGGGTGGGCATCGCAGGGGAAGGATATTGCAAAATGTCCATTCCCACCTCACTCTGGGGCCAGCCAGAGGTGGTATTTGCCAGTTCTCCGAACTACTCAAAATTTCCATTCAGAACCTGAGCTGGATTTCACCCCTGGTTTCAGCAGGTTCTAACCAGTTCTGGAGAACCGGTAGCGGAAATTTTGAGTAGTTCGGAGAACTGGTAAATACCACCTCTGACCGATCTATTTTCTGCCTCCCGAGTCCCAGCTGATCGGGAGGAAATGGGTATTTTTCAGTAACCTTCCCCTGGAGTGGGGTGGAAATGGAGATTTTACAGTATCTTTCCCCTGCCACATCCACCAAGCCACACCCAAAATTTTTGAAACCCACCACTGAAGTACTTGTGTTCTTTTCTTTAATCAAAGTGGTCAGTTTTGCCATTTCAACCAACTTCATTGTGCATACAATAGTCTTACAATAGAAAAACCTTTTCAAGGATGGCTACCCACTGCAAATTTTCTTCCTGTTGGTTAAGGCTAGTGTATACTTAGTTAATGTTTGATCACTCTCCAGATGTTACATTCTTAGAGATAAGCTGTTCTGGCATTCTTTCCTGTTTTGCCACATCTCTGCTGCATGCAGAGAAAGAATAGCCCTGCCTGTGCTCCAAATTCAAAGGAAAGCAGAGATGTCCACTTGAAGGTAAGGGTCAGAAAAGTTAAGATGTTCTGTGCAGTACATGTGAAAAAGAGGCAGGGGTTCAGTTGCATGGTGGTGATTGCCATCTTGACTTTTTTTGACCCCTAACCCCATGGACACCTTTGTAGAAAAGTCTGCCTAGCACTCCGCAGTTTTGCCTGCACAAGCATATACACAGAAAGACAGACAGATATAAACACACCCAGCTATCATGAAGTGACCTATTGTTTAATAGTGAAATGTGATTTTCGTGATTTTGTTACATGTCCTTCTTTATGTTTTTAGAGGTGCTGGCTTATTTATTGGTGTGGACCTTGTGAAAGATCAAATAAGGAGAACACCAGCTACTGCTGAAGCCCAGCATATCATTTACAAGTAAATATCGTATCAAAATGTAATGTTAAACTGAAGTAAATAAATTCATATCCAGCAGGTGCTCATTTTTACCTATTTACTTATCTTTGCCAAGAAATTAGCCCCACCAAAATATAGAGTGCATTACCTACTTTAGGCAATTGAGGCACCATGGAAGGGAAATTGCTGAATATATTATTGCTGTAAGATGTCTTCTTATCCTTAAGATCCTGTGTCTTCCTGAAAATTCCTGAAAGTCCCATGAATTCCCCTCCTATTATGCTTCCAGTAGTATGTATGTATGAATGTACAGCATGTATGTATGTATGTATGTATTCTCAAACTGCCACCACCAAATTGTTACTAAATTCACCCAGATTAAAAGTAGTTTTAAAGTAATTTCTTAAAATTAAATATCACATAGTTTTCTTAGTGTTCAAGAGTAACTTTTTTGCTTCTATCTAATTAGGCTGAAAGAAAGGAAGATCCTTCTGAGTGCAGACGGGCCTTACAGAAATGTCTTGAAGTTTAAGCCACCCATGTGCTTCAGCATGGAAGATGCAAAGTTTGTAGTTGATCAAATTGACGAGCTCCTTACAGGTAAAGTATTTTGGTAGAATACTGACTTTGTCTAGATTTATTTTAAAAGCCACACTCTAATAATACGCCACTTTTTATCAGGTCTGCCTGATTCTCCAGTTGCGTCCCTTTCTGGATCGGGACTCCTTATACACGGTCACTCATGCCCTCATCACTTCTCGCCTGGACTACTGTAATGCTCTCTACATGAGGCTCCCCTTGAAGAGCACCCGGAGGCTTCAACTGGTCCAGAATGCAGCCGCGCGGGTGGTTATGGGAGCGTCATGGTGCTCCCATGTAACACCTCTCCTGCGCGAGCTGCACTGGCTTCCGGTGGTCTTCTGGGTGCGCTTCAAGGTATTGGTTACCACCTTTAGAGCGCTCCATGGCTTAGGACCTGGGTATTTACGAGAGCCTTCTGCCACCGATAGCCTCCCACCAGCCAGTACGCTCCCACAGAGGGGGGCTCCTCAGGGTGCCGTCGGTCAAACAGTGTTGGCTGGCGGCCCCCAGGGGGAGAGCCTTCTCTGTGGGGGCACCTGCACTTTGGAACAAAATCCCCCCAGAGATATGGAGGATTCCGGATGTACGCACTTTCCGCCGCGCCCTCAAGACTTTTTTATTCCAACAAGCTGGGCTGGCCTAACTCTTTTAATTGCTAATTTTAATTCGTTTTTTAAAAAGGGGGTGTTTTAATGCGTAAGCGCCAAATTCATTTAATATGTTTTAAATTGTTTTTTAAATTTTATATATTGTTATGTGCTTTATTTGGCTGTTCACTGTCCTGAGTCCTTCGGGAGAAGGGCGGTATATAAATCTAATAAATAATAAACAAACAAACAAACAAACAAACAAACAAACAAACAAACAAACTGTATAATAGGAAGAGATTGGTACGTAATCATTGACCCACAGGAGAAGGAGTGGAGTTGGATACAGACAGTGGCCATAGCTTTGCTCAGTGTAAATAGGAAATCCATAGCTTTTTATCAATGGTTAGATAAGAGAAACAGGAGTTAGAACTTCTAAAATTACAAGAGAAAGAATAATTTTATTATTAGGGTTGATTACTGTAACTTATTAATTTTGATTAGTATTAACAATATGTATTAATGTTATGAGGGACAAACACTGTTATTATGAGATTACTATTAGAGAATATTACTCAAAAGAATTGTAACCAGACAACACACAGTCTATATGGATTTTGAACATGTTCTTTCTATTTATATTAATAAAAAAGGGGGAGAACCTGGCTAGTCCAAATTAGGGGAAAAATAAGACTTGCTCCTTAAAACAAACATATAAATAATTTCATAACCATCTGCATGATCATGATAGATAGGGTCTTAGATTGTATTTAGTCTAGTTGTATTTTGTTAATAAACAGTACTAAATAGCTTTCAGCTCTCAGGTAAGCTCTTTATGTAATTTAGATAACTGTTGTTGAAATGTATTCTTTGAATGGAATCCAAAGGGGAATAAAACAACTTTATTTCTTTACAACTTTGATAAGCTAGGAAGTAGTATTGGTTATGGACTACAAACTCCAATAATTTAATACATTTAATAAATAATTTGAAAAAAGAGCAAATTTAAAGAAGGATTGCATGGATTTGATTTGTCCAGCCTGCTGCTTCCAGATACATTGGACTTCAAGTTTAGAATCCTTATACTAAGTGGAAGTGAATTAGGTGATCTTCAAGATTCATGTGTGGAATTGTGTGATAAATTACTTATATTTCTTTACACTCAAAAGAGGTTAGTCATAATGAAATAAATTTATTTTGTGTTCTAGATTTAGAAGAAGCCACTCAAATCAGGGCTAAAAACAATCTATCTACAAATACTCAGTCTAAAAGAAAAGTAAGTTTGGAAAAAGCAAATTTTGTACTATTACCTTGCTTTCTTTTCTACATAATTACAGTAATACATGTACAGTCACTAATAATGCATTAAATATTTCCAGTCTGTGTCACTTTCTGTTTTATATTTTCATTAGTCATTCCAACACATTAGTTCACAAATAAAAATCTACAAAAATATCTTGAAATACTGGATATGTTTTCTTGCTTTCTTTTCTCTTCTCAAAAACTCCCATTTTATAAATATATTTTCTATATAAAATGCATTCTGATATATGTTTGTGTGTGTATGTGTGTCTATAGATGCATACATGCTGTACCCATATACACATACAAGAACTATTCTGCCAAATGTGAAGAGGTACAAACTCTGAATATCAATATTTTGATCAGCTCATTCATCCAATCAAACAGGCCAAATTGCATTCCTCTCTTGGAACTACATGAGTAAAAAGCAGGAATGAGAAATAGTTCTGGCTGTTCTGAATAGATCAAATATTGGTTGAAGTCAATATCTGCTTGTTTCTCAATTTACTCATTTCTTTCAGTTGCCTCCTTGTGGGAGTTCCCAGTTAGAATCCAACAATGAAAACATCAGTCCAATTAATGGAAACATCTGCAGACATGAAAATGGGTTTTCTGGTGAAAGCCATGCAATGCCTTGTAAAAGAATTAGGACGTGAAACGGAAGGATTTCCTGTGCAGCTGATGGTGTTTAAAGAAAAATGGCTTCAGACTACTATTTCTTATAATTTTATTTTATTTTTTAATTTTTGATTTATATGCCGCCCTTCTCCGGAGACTCAGGGCGGCTTACAATGCGTTAAGCAACAGCCTTCATACTTTTGTATATTTATACAAAGTCAGCTTATTGTCCCCACAAACTGGGTCCTCATTTAACCTACCTTAGAAAGGATGGAAGGCTGAGTCAACCTTGAGCCTTGGAGAGATTCGAACCTGCAGAAATTGCAGGCAGCTGTGTTAATAACAGGGTGCATTAAACCACTGTACTACCAAGGCTCTTATATATAATTCATTATATATGATAGAGAAATACCCATTTTTACCTATGGTCAACATTTGGAGCATCCGGTTTTGCAATACTATTTTATTAGACAAAATTAGTATTGCCTTCTTTGCTTGAGATGCCACGGATACATTTTGACTCGCCGTTTGACATTTCAGTGAGCAAATTTAAATATTAATGATGCGTCACATTTTAATGATGAACGTATAGTCCTATGCCTTACAAACATATAACTTGCACATCTCGAAAGTCGTCAAACAAAAGGACACATAGAAGAATCTATGATGGTGGGTACATTTTTAAGACTTATGAAATTAAGTCCCACCAAAAAGCCTCCTTCTGATTTGTGAATCAGATGGTAGGTTTTGTTGTGTTTGTATTTGTGTATATATGAAAGAGAAAATAAATTGTGATTCCTTATGTATACAATATGGAAAATAACATGGCTTATACTCAATGTTGGATTTGTATTAGTATAATGTAGCATGATAAAACCTCATTAAACTTGACTAAACATTTTGATGTCCTATGACATTTATTGTATACATTTTAGCAGATGTTTGTCAATTGTTTCTTTAATGTTATCAGTATTCTTTATTCTTTTTCAAAGAATAAAATTATCTAACCATGGAATCCTTGTGTATTTAAATGAATAATTTGCCATCAATGTGTAATAATTACTTGGTAATGTTACTTTCTTTTTTGGGTTGATCTTTACTCCCATCTCAAACTAGCATAGCTATAAATTAACATGGTTAATGCCTATGGACATCAGCTGCTTGGAATGGATGAATTATTATTTGAAGTTCAAACCCATATTGCTGTGAATTTTAAATATTCAAGGTAGAGCAATTACCTCAATTTGCATTCATAGCCCAAAATAGGAGGAGCAAAGTTTATATTTAACATGTTTATGAAATTATTTGTGTTCCCTTTTTTTCTGAAAAAGGAAGTGAGCTCTTTTATATTTCCTTCTGTTGTTGTTGTTAGTTACAAAGTCATATCCAACCCATAGCAACCCCATGGACAACATTCCTTCAGGCCTTCCTGTCCTCTACCATCCTCTGGAGTCCATTTAAGCTCATACTTACTGTTTCAGTGACTCCATCCAGCCACATCATTCTCTATCGTCCCCTTCTTTTGCCCTCAATCTTTCCCAGCATTAGGCTCTTCTCCAGTGAGTCCTTCCTTCTCATTAGGTGGCCAAAGTAAAAATTTGAGTTTCATCTTCAGGATCTGGCCTTCTAAAGAGCAGTCAGGGTTGATCTCCTCTAGGACTGACCGGTTTGATCACCTTGCAGTCCAAGGAACTTACATGAGTCTTCTCCAGCACTATAGTGCAAAGGCCTCAATTCTTTGGCGCTCAGTCTTTCTTATGGTCCAACTTTCACAGCCATACATTGCAACTGGGAAAACCATAGCCTTGACTATACACACTTTTGTTGGCAGGGTGATGTCTCTGCTTTTTAGAATGCTGTCTAGATTTGCCATAGCTTTCCTCCCCAGGAGCAAGCATCTTTTAATTTCTTGGCTGCAGTCCCATCTGTGATGATCTTGGAGCCCAGGAAAATAACATCTGTCACTACTGACTTTCCTTCTGACTTTATTTCTAATCTATTTTAGTCATTCTGCTTCTGTTGTGACCTAGGCTTACTGAGTCATTAAAACACATGAGTAGTCCCAAAAACCTTATTGCAACAGCTGTGAATTACTTTCATTCACAGCTGTGTCCCAATTAGTTTCAAAAAGTCCTTCAGGAGAAGTCCTTCGGGATAATCACCAACCTTTATCTCCTTTGACACACTGCCAAGACCTACTTGGCAAAGTCACACGAAGTCCAGAATCAAACAGAGATGCCGACTGGGAACAGAATTAACAACATTGCTTTCCTTCAAAGGGCCCATGTGGCTTTGCTTCTCTTTTAAGCCTTATGGGAGGGGCCAATCATTTCCAGGCCTTACTCCCGAGTCGTCCCTTTTATTTTAACTGTTCATGCCTTCTGGCAGCTCTGCGCATGCGCGCACTAGGAACAGGCTCCTCCTGTTCTTCTGCCTCTCTGTTGTCCGCCTCTGGAGGCTCCGGAGTCCGCATCACTCCAAGATGGCCCTGGCCCCATCTCTGCCTCTGATGCAGAGCCCTCGTCTGGGCCTTCCTCAGACTCCAAGAGTGGCCCATGTTCCTCCCCAGCCTCCTCACTGTCCAACTCCGCTGCCAGCTCCGCAGGCTGCTGGCGGACCACAACAGCCTCCTGCAGACTCATACATTGTGAAGAGTTTGAACCCAGGAAAAGCTTTGTTGTTTTAGTTTCTGATAAACTGTCCACAAACCTGGCTGGCACATATATTTTTAAATCTTTGTCAGAAGCTTGGATAAATGGAATAAAACAATGTTCTCTTCCTTCATGAGATTCTCAGTTCCAACCTTCTCATGAAGGTTCTCATGAAGATAGCCAAACAGGAGAAGAATACCTGCAAAACTGCTGAATATGTTTTCTCAAGATTGTGGGGTGCTTGGTGCTCTCTGATCTTAGGACCCCACAATTCAACCTTGAACTATAAATATTATTTTCTATTTCTCAAGTTTACCAATATTTGATTTATGGGTTTATCAATAATCCCATAGCAACCAGCTGTTAATGTAAACCTAAGAATATAGGCCACATTCTTGGGAAGCTTTTGAACATTCTAGAAATTTCTGTTATATACTTCTGAAAGGCACCATGTTAGGACACTGGGATAGGAAACCCTAGTTGTCAGCTATGACAACTAGGTATGACAGGTATGTGTTACAAGATCCAAATTATCACTATATAATAATCAAACAATTACTCTTCAATATCTCTATGATGCTCTGTTAATATTGTTATAGAAATTAAGACTCACAAGATTTCCACGGGTGATCAGAGAGGTTTATTGTGCAAGGTTCAGTGCAACACAAGAAGCAAAGACTGAACGAAAAAAAGATTCTAATGCAGTTACATTTATACATACTTTTGACATTTTAGGATTGGTTACATTTCTGACAGCCCATAGCGATAATTCCCCCCTCCCTTTGCTGCTATACCCTACAAGCTTACTAACGTGTTTCCCCTCTTAAGTGGGTCACAGGTGTTCTTGCAAACCTATCTAAGTTTCTTGCTGTTATATCTGTGGTTACCTTTGCTTAGCTAGATATGATATCTTGCTCGTGATGGTGTTTCCTGAACTTTCCAGCTGAGGAGGATTGCATTAACTCTGTGGTTCCACTTTTTGAACCTAATGCCAAAGAAAGGGGGCCCTCCAGGGATCCTCTAGACTGACCCAAGTATTATATCACTTTTATATCTAATTTCATTATTCCATTTGGTTTTGGTTTTCCATATTATTTCCCCCCTTTGGAAGTTTTTCCATGCAGAAACTTCCACTGCTTCCCATCTGTTCATGATTTTCAGTAGGTAACCATTCTATACTTTTTAATAAGTAAGCAAGCATATAATATTTTGCATAGCATAATCATTTCAGGATAGGGGTACATAATAAAAGAGACAGAAAAGATACATGTGAAATGACTTTCAATCCTCAATTTCTGAAGGCACTCTCTCCATTTCTATGGGTGCAAATTGTACATATGTATCTGTATCAGAACCTTCATCTTCATCAAGGGCATTAGAGTCCATCTGACGGTCAAGGTGGCATTCCATCAAAACTAACTCTTTCTCAACTTGTATCTCCTTCACTGCTCTTTTAGCCAGCTGTCTGAGTAGAGGGATTGCACAAGGAATAAAAGCGAGGCCCATTGTAGCACAGATCAATATGAATAGCATCTGTTTTATCCAGTCAGACCAGGCAACCAGGAAAACCACATGTCTGTTGTTTGTACCCTCTGGCCTATCCTAGATGCTCGGTCCTGCAATTCCTTGGCAACCTCTCTCACCATACCTGAGTTGTTCATGTAGAAACAACAGTCTTCTCCTAGGAATACACACAAACCTCCTTTCTCTGCCGTTAGGAGGTCTATGGCACGTCGATTTTGCAAGACCATGCTGCTAAAGAATCTATCTGATTTTGGACTTCTACTAAGGACCCAGCAATTTGATTCAGGCTTTCTTGAAATTCTTCTGACAATTGCTAAAACTTTATTATGGAGTGTGTCATCCCACTTAACACCTGTTCCAATTGCTGTTCCCATTCCTAAGATTACTAATAGGAGGATCAAGATAGGTGCCCTTTTCTGAACATGTCCCATGAGGGGAACAGGGATAGTATGTTCCCCACCAACAACACCCATTTCAGGAAACAGATATACTAGTGTGCATGTTCCTGTCCGATTTGTTGGTAAACACAAATATGCATTTTTCCCACACAAGAAGAAAACTCCATTTTCCTCTACACACACACCCATGCTCATGGAAAAGATTTGGACTCAGTGGTTCTTTTCATTAGTCCAAACCTGCAAAGTCCCTGCTACTATCATTCCAGTCAGAGGCTGTAATGGGACGTATAGTGAAGGATTCCTTTGTTTATCTCTGAGAACTGGACCTTCAAAAGGATAACAGGAAGTTATGTTTCCCGGGGGAAAGAGGATACATGGACGTGCACCTGTGTAGGACAGAGAGAGCCAGATATTATTTCGAGGGGGCTGGAATGGTCTTGGGCACTTTTCCTGAGATATATTCCATCCTCCCCATTTCTTAATAGTGATAGTTGATGGTAGTGAGAAAGTTAACTTCTGTTGAAATAAGTTGTAAGCAGAAGGAGAAATGGCTTTGACTAGGTTTATATCTCTGAGATCCGTCTTATTTCTAGGACCAAGGTAGATTTCTGATGAACATTGTTCTTCTGTCAGGGACCCTACAGGATTTCCAGGTTCCTGATATCTCTTTACACACAAAGAGGGTGGCCCTAGGATTTCCACACGAACAGCTATAGGGCCAACAATTGGGAGACGGCTTTCTCCCAGTCTTTTGAATGCATTATAAAAATCTTTTAGCAATTTGGCTGCTGCTGTTTTAGTTCTCCATCTAATATTTTTCTCAAAGACCATTGTGGTTTTGGTTCTCACCCAGAGATCTGGCTCTACTGGAACAGCATTATAAGATGAGGGACTAGCAGACAAACACAACCAGCATTTTTGGCCCAAGGCAGGGTCAGATTGGTTAACAATGCTTTGACCTAATTCCAGTATCCTCAACATGTAGTTCCCTTTTTGTAATTGTTGTAGGGGCCCGTTCTCCCTTTGTTTTACCCCTCCTTTTACTGGGATTGTCAAATACTTGTCCTTATGTCTCAGGGTTGTCCTAGGTCTAGAATACCGACCACACCTATCGATGACACGTCGTTGGCGGGAGTGGATCTGACCCATGGTAACCCCACTTTGTGACCTGTTCTTGTCTAATTCCGAGGGGTTCTTGACCTCCCTGGGTCCTCCCTCAAGGAAAGGGGAATTTCTCGGGTATTTTCACAACATTGGGAACTATTGTTCTGGATACTATCATTTAATAGACCCTTTGCCAATAATATCCAAAGCCACAGGAGGGTCATCGTTATCTCCTTCCTACCGACTCAGGGTTCTTATCCAATCCCAACCCTCTTAGTTTACAGAATTACTACGTCAGGAAGGGGGTTGGGAGAATATGTGACTTGTAGGGCAATATCAGTCTTAGGTATCCCACAGAACCAGTCCTTTTTTGTTAAACACAATGTCCACAGTCCCAGGAGTAGGACAGCGATACAGAGTCCCCACTCCCAAGTTTCCTCAAACATAAGTATCTACAGGAGTTTCATACTGGTTCCTAGCACAGCTACTAGTTTTTAACTCAGTACCAGTTCCTTTGGTTTTGGGGCGATTCCAAAATAATAGGTATCCTACACAGCAAATTACAATAAAAGCAATCACACACGCTAAACCTAACCCTAATGCACTTATAGCTATGTATGAGCGGATTTCCATTCCTTGACAAATGGTTAGATTCTTAATTCATTTTACTCTCCTCCATTCTCTTCTTCTGCCGTGCGCAGGGAACCAGCTTCCGGGGTGGTTCAGCAAGGCTCGTTGTCTTAGATTGTGCGTAGAGAATCCGTTGCCAGTAGGATTCAGCAGAGTCCTTCGCATCATACATTGAGAACCCTTTTCCGGTCAGGTTCAGTAGAATGCTTTCTGGTGAATTTCAGCACTAGGGACTTATCAGTGGCCTTTATTGTATACTGGACTGGATCAGTTTGTTCAGCACTTTTCAGTCTGGTCCAATGGATCCAGGATTTAGATTCCAAGGTCTTAACTGCTAAAGGAGAACACATTATCATAGTTTATGGGCCTTTCCATTTGGGTTTTAAAGGGCTATCCTTCCAATACTTTACCCATACTCTATCACCTATTTTGAACCAATGAGTTCCAAAGCTATTGGTGGGGGGGTTTGTTCCATCACATAATGCCTTAATTTTTGCTGTTGTAAATTAATTTGCTGTACCTGTTTTAACAATTCTTGCTGCCCTATTCCCCCCTTAATAGATAAATCAACACTAGAGAGTGTATTACGAGTAACAGTAGGTGGAAAACCATATAATAATTCAAATGGTGTAAGTTGAAGTTTGGTCCGTGGAGTTGTCCTACAAATATAAAGAGCTAAAGGTAAAGCTTGAGGCCAATGAAGATGAGTTTCCATACAGATTTTAGTAAGAATAGTTTTAAGAGTCCTGTTAGCATGTTCAATTTTTCAAGAACTTTGGGAGTGAAATGAACAGTGATAGCGCCATCTAGTGCCTATAGTGTCCGCTAGTTGTTGATTTATTTTGTGAACAAATTCGGGTCTATTATCAGAAGAAAGCTGTGAAGGACAACCAAAGCGACGAATGATATCTTTTAGAAGGCATTTGGCTACAGTTAGAGCAGTTTTATTGAGGCAGGGATATGATTCAAGCCAGCCAGTATAGGAGTCAATAATCATTAACAAAGCAGAGTATCCTTGGCATTTAGGCATATCGATAAAATCCAGAATCAGATAGTCCATGGGGATAAAGGTAACCGGCTGGACCCCGGGAGGGGGTTTCTTGCCTTGTCTAGGATTGACCTGGGCACAAGTAGCACAGGTCGCAGTTACAGAAGCAACAAGTGTGGGTAAGAGGGGAATGTAGAAGGCGCAATTAAGTAACTGTGCTAAAGAACTTTTTCCACAATGGTGAGAAGAGTGTGCTTGCATGACTAAAGGTTTGGCTAAAGATGCTAGGATAACAGGTTGCTGATTAGGCAAATAATACCATCCATTTCGGAAAGTCGCATCTAAGTCTGTTTGGAATTGTTCTGTTTCTGTCTTGGTGTAGGAGGGCGTATGTTGTTGGATGAAGTCATCCAGGAAATAGAGTTTTCCAAAGAGTTCGTTAGAATATGGCTCACCCTGTCTGGCAGCAAATCGGGCAGCTGCGTCTGCCTTACGATTTCCCTTTGAGATATCGGACAAATCTCTTTTATGACCGGGACAATGAATGAGTGCCAGCTTAGAGGGGAGTTGAGCTGCCTTTAAGAGGGCCTTAACTAATATCAAATGCTGTATGGGTTTTCCCAAGGAATCAACAAATCCTCGCTCCCGATAAATGGCAGCATGAGCTTGTACAGTGAGGAAAGCATATTTGCTATCAGTATAAAGATTCACGGATTTTCCTTTGGCTTTAATCATAGCTTTAATCAATGTCCACAATTCTGCAGCCTGTGCACTCCAGGAAGAAGGGAGGGCCCCAGAACAAATAGTGTCTTTCAAAGAGACTACTGCAAATCCAGTGTAATGGATGCCACCTTCCATGAAACTAGAACCATCTGTAAACCAGGTGTAATCAGATTTTGACAGTGGTTGATCTGAAAGGTCAGGTCTGCATGAATAAGATGCATCAATAGTCATTAAGCAATCATGTAAAGGCAGAGAAGTGTCTGGTGAAGGTAAAAGGGTAGCAGGGTTTAAAGTAGCACATTGATGGAATGTAAGATCCGGAGAATCCAGAAGTAACGCTTGGTATTTATGCAGTCTTTGATTGCTAAGCCACAAGTGTCCCTTGTTTTCCAAAATCGCAGAAATAGCATGAGAAGTGTAAACTTGAATTTTAGAAGCAAAGGTTAGTTTCTGAGCTTCGACTAGCAAGAGAACAATGGCAGCAATTATTTTGAGACAGTGTGGCCATCCCTTAGAAGCCGGATCAAGTTGTTTAGACAGATATGCTACAGGGCGTTGCCACTTTCCCTTACGTTGAGTAAAGACTCCTAATGCAACATTACGTCTGACCTCAACATATAAATGAAAAGGCTTGGTCAAATCTGGCAAACCCAAAGCGGGGGAAGTAGAGAGCAATGATTTCAAGGTCTCAAAAGGATTTTTACATTCCGTAGTCCAATTGAAGGAGTCAGTATCCTTTCCCTTGGTCGCTTCGTAAAGAGGAGTCGCAATCATTGCAAAATTAGGAATCCACATTCGGCAATATCCAGAAGACCCTAAGAATCCTTGAAGTTCATGCTTGTTTATTGGGATGGGGATCTGTTGTATGGCTTGAATACGAGCCGTTCCTAAAAGTCTTTTCCCATGAGTTAAAATAAACCCCAGGTAATTAACCTTATTCTGCACTAATTGGGCTTTCTCACGAGAGGCTCGATAGCCACAATCCTGTAGTCTATGTAAGAGGGCATTGGTATTTTGCCAACAGGAATCTTTTGTGTCACCTGTGATCAGAATATCATCTATATACTGTAAAAAGATGCCATCAGGCACTGGAAGAATCAGGTGGTGCAAATCATTAGCTAGAGCTTGAGAAAAGTGTGTAGGAGAGTTTTTAAAACCTTGGGGTAAACGAGTCCATGTATATTGAGTTTTAGTATATCTATCGGGATCAGTCCACTCAAAAGCAAAAAGAAATTGACTCTTTTCAGCTAAAGGAATAGTAAAGAAAGCATCTTTAAGATCAATAACTGAAAACCACTGGGAAGTAGCCGGGATATTACTAAAAAGAGTATAGGGATTGGACACGATTGCATGGACAGTTAGAACCTGCCGGTTGAGGGGTCTCAGATCCTGTACAGGTCTCCAATTTCCATTAGGCTTTCTGACAGGTAAAATAGCGGTGTTCCAATGAGAGCGGCACCTTCGCAAAATGCCTTCCTTTAAATATAACCTAATAAATTCATGTATACCCCGTACTGCTTCTAAGGAATATTGACGCTGCGGGATATTGACAGGATATGCTCCGGGGCATAGATCGACTTGAATTGGAGTGGCATATTTTGCAAAGCCAGGTGGATTATCTTCAGCCCAGAGAGAAGACACATTAAATGCTTTCCAAGAATTAGACGAATTGGGCTCTGACACATGTAACAAGCGCCAGGTTTCAGTATTCAGGTGAGTCAAAGTAAAATAATTGGAGTCTGCTAAGAACGTAATTTGTGCCTGCAATTTCTGGAGCAAATCTCTGCCTAACAGTGGAATGGGACAGTCGGGCATATAAATGAATTGATGTTGAGTCACCACTTTCCCGATCTGACATTGTATTGGTTGAGTCAGGGATTGGGATTGTATAGTACCAGCCACACCCTGAACTTTGATACATTGTTTTGACATTTTTGCAAGAGGTTGATTTAATACTGACCTACTTGCTCCAGTGTCTATTAACATAGGGACGGTATATTTTCCCACCCTAACATTTACAATGGGTTCCGGGGGTGTTTCCTGAGAACCCTGACCCCTCTAATCATCCCATTCTAATCCTCCTAGGGCCATTAGTTCCTCTGGTTCTTCAGGAGGGGGTGGTCGAGGTCGGTACCCTCCTTGGCACCCTTCACCTCTTTGACACTTCTGCCTATGGAATTGTCCTTGGGGAGGAGTTTGATATCCTCTTCCCCTTCCCCGACTCTGTCCAAAACCTCCTGTTCCACGTTCTCCTTGCCTTCGAGGACATTCACTCTTCCAATGGCCAGTCTGTTTACAATAGGCACATTGGTTCGGCCCCAACTGCATATGGGTTATTGCGGCTGCCAACATTTCAACTTGATCGGTTTCTATATACTTTGGAAGCGATTTCGACAATCTCAGCCAAAGATTTTCCTGCCACCCTCTCCACTTTTGCTAATTTGCGCTTAATGTCTGGCCATGCCTGGGTCATAAATCGTTCAGCAATCAAAAGGCAGTTTTCAGGAGCGTTGGGGTCTATTCCTGTATGTTCCCTGTACATTTGCATGATCCGTTCCAAGTAGGCTTGAGGACTTTCATCTTTCCCTTGTATCACTGTAGTAATGAGGGAGAAATTCTGAGGTTTCCTCCCTGCATCACGAAGGCATCTCATCACCAGTCCCCGGTACTGAAGTAATTCAGTTATATGATTAGCATTCAATGGATCCCAATCAGGATCATCTGGTTTTCCAATGTTATCTCTTTGTTGTTGGTCATTAGCTGTGTCTCCCGGGTGTAATTGGCAAAGGATCTTTTCCTTAGCTAATCTATACTTTTCCTGTTCTTCCAAATCTAATAATGTAGTCAAAAGAGTTTGAATGTCACCCCAGGTAGGCTGGTGACTTTTAAAAATAGAGTCCATTAACTCAATTATCTGTTGTGAATTTTGAGAAAAGGATCCATATTATTGTTTCCAATTTAAAAGATCAATTGTTTACCAAATTTCCGGCAGCATTGGTTGTAACTATTGTTCTTAGAGGAGCCACAACTTGGATTTTTTTTTTTCTTTAGAATCTGATACGATTCGACTCCTGGTCCTGTAAGCAATCGGACTCTCATTAGGAGAACCAACCCACACAGTTTCCTACCTATCTGGATTTAGGCACGCCTATCTGTCCAGTCGAGGATGTTCCTTCCCAGCTTCCAATCCTACAGATTGGGTACAGACCTATTCCATACTCGCCTGCAGGTCTTTTGGTCCTGGACGTCCACTCAGCAACCGGTCTGTCACCCTGAGGATCCTTGGCATGATTTCGAGTGCGGGCAATGTGATCCCGCTGTGGCTGTAGATGTACTGAACCCTTCAACGGAGGGTTGGCCGGCCTGGTAGATAGCGAGAGCTGTGCAGGACTAAATCTGCCAGGAGAGTCAACGGCTCCTTCTTATGAGTCCCTTCATGGTCGCCATGAAATGTTATAGAAATTAAGACTCACAAGATTTTCATGGGTGATCAGAGAGGTTTATTGCGCAAAGTTCAGTGCAACACAAGAAGCAAAGAGTGGACGAAAAAAAGATTCTAATGCAGTTACATTTATACATACTTTTGACATTTTAGGATTGGTTACATTTCTGACAGCCCATAGCGATAATTCCCCCCTCCCTTTGCTGCTATACCCTACAAGCTTACTAACGTGTTTCCCCTCTTAAGTGGGTCACAGGTGTTCTTGCAAACCTATCCAAGTTTCCCGCCGTTATATCTGTGGTTACCTTTGCTTAGCTAGATGTGATATCTTGCTCGTGATGGTGTTTCCTGAACTTTCCAGCTGAGGAGGATTGCCTTAACTCTGTGGTTCCACTTTTTGAACCTAATGCCAAAGAAAGGGGGCCCTCCAGAGATCCTCTAGACTGACCCAAGTATTATATCACTTTTATATCTAATTTCATTATTCCATTTGGTTTTGGTTTTCCATATTAATATGGTAGTCATCTGGATTTTTGTATCCCATCTCTTGTATCCCTTTGTATCCCTGGTAACCTATTAGCAAAGCATATATTTTCCAAATTCCAGGTATCTATGCTGGCTGGGGAATCTGGGAGTTGAAGGCCACAAGTCTTAATGTTACCAAGGAACTTCAGCTTTACAGTAATATCCATTGCATTTGGGGACTTGAAATAAAACCTTGGAGGGGCCTGTTAAACAGACAAAACAATAAAATGTTTGACAAAGGAGTAAAATAATGAATTTGTCTTGAATATGGCTGGACCCCAAAAAATCAAATAACATTATCTTTTGTTCATTCTTTCTTAAAATGAATCCCTGAACCAAATAAAACAAATGACCTAAAGAATCTTCTTGGCTGCTGGTCCAAATCTGTAAAGAAATTGAGCCCAGCAATCAACTCAGGAGTAACAAGTTCTTGGCTCTACGAACCTTGTACAGAATACGTTGGCAGCACTTTTTGCAACTGATCTGTAAATACTTCACTGTTGAGTTTCCAAGTTAGGTAATCAGATGATGCTATCTTTCCACAGGATTGATGTCAGGCCTAAACCACCTTTGTGCTTTGCCCATGAGATTGATTTGTGGAAAACCAGGCATCTCTTTTTATAAGATTACTATCACCCTATCTAAGTCATATACTCATAAGACAAGGACAAGATGGAAACTACATTTACAATCTTGCAACAGCTGCTTAAAAAACACACAGAGAGGTTAGCAGCATTCCTAGATCATTTAATATCTGAACAATGTACTTGAATGAGCACAAGTAAAAGAAATTTGGGAATTTCTCAGAACACAGCCCCCCCTCAACAGAGGGGAAGGAATCCGACACCACCTATTTCCTGTCTACTGTGTTGGAACACAGTACCTATTTCCTGGAACAGACAGAAAATAGGTGGTGTCAGATTCCTCCCCCTCTGTTGAGGGAAGGCTGTGTTCTGAAAAATCCCAAACTCCTTTTACTTGTTCCAAGAAGGTGCCACACCCATTGTAGTTCCAAGAAAGTTCCACACCTATTTGCACTCTGACACAGGTGAGCTTGACATATAAACCCCCAACTGGCCTCAGGGAGAGCTCTCAGGGAGAGTACTAACCACAGGTGGGTTTTAGCAGGTTCTGACCAGTTCTGGAGAACTGGTAGCGGAAATTTTGAGTAGTTCGGAGAATCGGTAGTAAAAATTCTGACTGGCCCCACCCCCATCTATTCTCTGCCTCCAAAGTCCCAGCTGACCGGGAGGAAATGGCGATTTTGCAGTACCCTTCCCCTGGAGTGGGGTGGGAATGGAGATTTTACAGTATCACCAGATTTTGTCTTCTGAGCTTTTGAACTCGTCCTGGAGCCCATCTTCAGGGAACTTCTCTCTAGCAGAGTGGCAAAAAAAATCAGAACACAAAATAAAAGCTGGATGGATATGACCTAACAGATGACCCTCACTCTGTCAAAGACCTTGGAGTACTCATTTCAAATGATCTAAGTGCCAGAGCTCACTGTAACAGCATTGCTAAAAAAGCATTAAGAGTTGTTAACCTAATCTTGCGTAATTTTTTCTCCGGGAATATTGAACTGCAAACTAGGGCATACAAAACTTTTGCCAGACCAATTCTTGAATACAGCTCATCTGTCTGGAACCCGCACTGCATATCGGACACTAATACAATTGAACGAGTCCAGAGATATTTCACAAGAAGAGTCCTCCACTTCTCTGCTCGCAACAAAATACCTTATGCCACCAGACTTGACATTTTGGGTTTAGACAACTTAGAACTTCGCCGTCTTCAGTCTGACCTAAGCATAGTACATAAAATCATCTGCTACAATGTCCTACCAGCCAATGAATACTTCAGCTTCAACCAAAACAATACAAGAGCACATAATAGACACAAACTCATGGTAGATCGATCCAAACTAGACTGCAGAAAATATGACTTCAGCAACAGAGTGGTCAACACCTGGAATTCACTACCTGACTCTGTGGTTTCTTCCCCAAATCCCCAAAACATTAACCTTAGACTATCTACTGTAGACCTCACCCCATTCCTAAGAGGTCTGTAAGGGGCGTGCATAAGCGCACCAGCGTGCCTACCGTCCCTGTCGTAATGTTTTCTTTTATTCCTGTCCTTTTCATGTATTTATAATTATGTTTACACTTGTATCTGTCATAAAATACATGCTTGATGAAATAAATAAATAAATAAATAAAAATAAATAGAGTTTTAGAACAGTGCTAACCAACAGATGACTGCAAAGAAATATGATTCTTCCGACCCCCACCGCCATCCTGTTGGAACTAATCCTTCCATTGCTCCCACCATCCCACCAGAATCTATGGAGCTTCTTGATGAGAAGCAATACGTTTTCTTCTTCCTCAAGGAAAAAAAAAACCAGTCCAGATGCTTTTTAAAAAAGCACCTTGGAGACAAGTAAAAGGATGAGATTTTTTTTTTCTAAGAAAGAGAAATCCTACATCAGTCTAACTACTCCATGCATCCAATGAAGTGACTGCAACTTGCAAAAACATATGCCTTTTAATTAAAAAAAAATAATTAAAAATGCTACTGTATTCCTTCTGACTCCCTTACTTCAAGATTATCCAAGGTCACTATTAGTCTTTGTCACTTTGCCACCTATTACTTTGGTTGAAAGCCAAATAGCTACAGGTAGCCTGATACAGAGTCATACAGAGGTAGAATAGGGGTTGAAAGCAGAGACAGCAAATTTTATTCCAGTATAGTTTTCTGCTGACTCAAGGGTGGATGGATAACACTTCAACTCAGCAGTAAAGAAAAGTTCTTTGACTTGTAGCACCTATAATTAATCTCTAGCTTTGCTATAAATAATAAAAGAAGGATCTGTTTTCTCTTTATCTCTACTCTGCTTCCAATTAGCACTTGAAAAAGAAATGTGCCCAATGTTTTTCCCAGTAACAATAGTTTTGCATCTTACACTTAT